TAGCTCTTCCACACAATGTGGCCCAACATGGATTAAACCATGACTAGTTACCCCAGATATTGATTATGAGTATACAGGCTATCAGATAGCAAAGATCTGATATACAAAACCACATACCAGATTCAGCTGTGCTATTTCAGTACTAGTAGAAACGCAGTTCTAAAGAGTCAGACACAAGTGATAGAAGCTAATGAGCACAACATATGGAGCTCACAATGCACAAAAGTAAATGTAAATCCACTTTTCATCTCTGTCTAGATAGTAGATACTCACACTACAACAAACCAAAGAGCACGCTGGCCTAGTATAGGTCAATTCCAGATCACCTTTCTGGAGGGGACGACAAAGATCTACAAGGACAAAGCGCCGGCATTGGTAGCCCGGGATTGCGCTCAAGGTTAATCTGGTTGTGGGATTATCCTAGTTGTAGGAAGGAGGAATATGGGCATCCCCGCAGACGAGAGAAGATGAGTTTGGATATATCCAGTCTATTGTCTGAACTTGTAATGATCGTCAGCCCACTTGATTAAGTTATGGGCAAATTGATTCTCTGCTTTGTATTAAGATTCCGAGGGCTTTGTGCTTTATGGTCCCTGTCTAACTCTGGTTTAATCTATACACTTACACTCCACCTACAAGAACTGGATAACAAAACCTCTGTATCAAGTAGATAAGGTTATGCAATGTCCCAAAAATCTTTAAGTAAAAAACGTATCAGACTAGAGGTCATTAGCTTATCTGTCAATGTCTCTGGTACTAAAGATGTTCTAGTGAGAAAGGATATATATATACCTACGGTGAAGAACAGCATTAAGAAGATCATTGAATGACTACGAACATTTATGTATTACTGAGAGATATACGTACCTTGTTATCAAAAGAAGTAGATTTTGCTGACATCTCATATCTTGGAATATCCATAAATCATTACCCAGCGTTTTGCTAGGACTAGAAAAGAGACCCCCCCGAGACGACCAAGTATTTAGAAACTTCTAGTGGATTATGCGCCTACAATCGATATGATGAAGCAAGTGCAGCCTCATTGACAGATAATGATAAGGATGTTCTTCCGGCCAACTCCATAATCGATAACCATGTGGTTAGGAACTATGGGCTAGATTCTTCTCATATAAATGGATAAGTCATGAGCTGCAAGGAACCCAGCCCATTGGCAGAATGATTATACGCATCCCTGGGGCGAGTACGAGAGATATTATACATGGAGCATCAGCCTAACAAATATCCGGCACAGATTGAGGCTTTTAGAGTCGAAGCCATTCGTCGTTGTTCTCTCGAGGGCTAGAATTTCTAGGGCGAAACGGGGAGAGGTACAGGTTTTCGTAATAAATACTTTTGTAAGCAGCAGTTCAAAAACTTTATCTACACGAGTCTGCTAGAATGTCATACTTTGTTGCTAAGAAATGCAATACACCCGGGACATATAGTCCTGAGGATGACCGGGAGAACTATGAAGTAGGCACTAGTACCGCCAAAGATAATCAGCTGCAAGTGGCTGCACTTAGAGTATCTTAATAAGGTAGCATTGATTCGTAGAAGGTCTTCAGTGATGTCAATAGCAAGAGCCCGGAACCCTAACCCCGTCTCACAATGAAGAGAAAGCATCAAATATCGTCTGATATTGAATAGGTAAATTCATGGAGGTTCGGCAAGCTAGTATCCAATTCAATAATTCCAAAATAATCATCAAATTTGTACAGAATATGTACTTGGTTTAGGGGTTCTTGCTATCACTGATTTTGTTGATACTTCTTATATTAGGGCATCATGGACTAAATAATGAACATCTATGGGTGCCTATTAGTTGATTGTCTTTTTATTTTAGACAGTCTTTTTTGTAGAAGAAAACTACGCAAAAAGCAGCATAATAATGTCCAAGGGTCAATACATAGATTTACTACAGTCTTCTGCTTTACTATAGGAAAAACCGAACGCCGCCTGTAGGTAAAATAGTAGTGATCATGACATTGAAAGTCAAGGCATACATACCGCCACCTTATCAATGTCTGAAAGAGAACGCTAGGTTATCATTGCTAGACTGCAAGTCCTCCTAATAATCGACCAATTCAGGGGGATCTCTAAGCTAGTACATAGGAGCACATGCTCTTAACATGTACTTATCTGATATCGCAGTTGCACTACAAGTAATTGGAAGCCTGTTAAACAAGCGAAGTAATCATTTGATCCATGTTATTCTAAGTGGTGCAGAAATCGAGTACCTGAGATCGCATGGCATGGCTATGTGTTTTTACAGTCCTTGGTTATTGTGCTGGTTCTGGCATTGATATGGCATATTATCTAGTGCGAGAAGCTGTAAACTCCCCTTGAAGGCCTGCCGATAGGGCTATAGAGCATGTATATGACGCCGCACAAGAAGAACATGTATAGTATTTTCTGAATACTGAATACTATCTACCCTACCTATATAGCAGGCAAACGGAAAAGGCAGTCTCATGGAAGACGAATGGTTAAGAGCTCCTCAAGGGAGTAGGAATGCCACAGAAGCTATACATACAAAAGAGATGTATTCTTCTTATTATTCTGTATCACAGGACGGGGTTTTGTAAAGCTATTAGAATAGAGAGATGAATAGAATATGGTCATAATATGCGAGCACTAGCACAGTATCGCCGTGCTCGATATAGTATAGACGCGATATGTAACAGAACCTTCACTTAGGACCATCGCTGTCCTCAGCTTCTCACTTACCTTGGATGTAGATTAATTCAATATCTTGTACGTGGCTACTTAGGGCACCATATCATATTCGAGAGCAAACTCATAGTGTTCAGACCATCGTTTATGATACAACAGTCTCACGTGTACATAGAGCTAATAATATCGCAGTTAGTGATGTTAGAGTGGAGATTTCTGGCACTTCTATACGGCTCATGATGCTCCTTTACTGTTGCACATAATAACAAGGCTCATATATATATTGTTCGGAATGATTGTAGTACAAGCCCCCCTGAAGACGGTGTCGGTTTTGTTTGTAAAGTAACTGAGAGCACACCACTTGAGCAGAACGCCGAGAGCTAGAGACAATATATGCGAAGTGAGGTGTATACTTAGATAAAGTATTAGGGTTTATTGGATCCTCAAAGGGCTATCTTTTGAGCTTAGATTTAAAGTTATAGATTGGGTTGAGCAAGTATACTTCCCGTAGTAGTTTATTGACTCAAGATAGCTGCTGATTGTGGAGTTCAGATAGTTCACAATGAAAAACTATATATCCTCTGTGAGAATATATCCCAAATAATAATGATGACTCAGTGTCATGGCGGACACCGACATATCTACACAACCAAAACAAGCTTATTAGCTTTGTAATGATTGGTAGTATAGTTAAATACAGCGATCGAGTCTTAGCTTTAACTTAGCGCAGGACCCGTAGATGCTGAACTCAGAAACAACGACACTTCTTCCTGTGTATAATTGTTATAAATGCGTCATTTGGCTTTTGGGGTGTCAATGTCTCTGTAGAGATTGCGACGTTTAACACATTATCCCCAGGTGCAAACCCCCTCTCAGACGGGGTCTCGATCAAAGTGGGGATGAACGCACCCCCACCAGCATGCTGACGCAGTATCGTCTGTATACTGATATATGAGTTCGGACAATAGAAGAGAGCCCGACATTTAGTCATCTAGACAATTTGCTTGTGACGAGCTGAGCTAATGCGGCAGGCATAGCTTTATATGCAGCATAGGGGGCGTGTACTGAGGCTTCAAATGCCCACGGGTTGCACTGTATGTATGGCGACTGGTGGAAGACTGAAGCATATTAGATCACCCTTCTGGGATGAGAAATCTTTTGTTACTCAAAGTTTGGCATAAAAATCCTCTGCCAAGTGCAGTTGATATAGAGTGGATGTTTTCCATTGACGGCGGACAGTTTGACGTTCATTAGGGATGGCGATGGCTGCGATCAGCAACTGCCTACTAGGGCTAAGCTATTGTAAGGGCAGGGTAGCCACAACGTGATCAGTTCCCTGCCTAGCAGATATATGCAGCGATCGAACGTGGCTCTGACTATTGACCAGCTTCTCCAACCTAGTCAGCCATGTGCATTGATGCAGCTCCTGGTAAGTTGACCCAAACCAACGGCTCTAGGAATTATAGCCAGGGACGTGTCCCAACTGCGGATGAAGTAAGTGTTTCTCTTGCGAGAATGAAAGATGGAAGGGGAGAATGTGCAGAACAGATTCCCGCTTAAGGCGTCATCCCAAAATTACTCCGCCACCTTGAGCATTACTGATAGCAAAGACACCTTTCCAGGCGCCCGGCTTCATACGACAGCATCTATGACTGCCGACTCCATCACCCAACTAGACTAAGCTCAGTAACACACCTTTGTCAGCTGAAGTCCTTCCTCCGATGTCGCAATGATTGCCGTTGTCTCATCCTTTGAGTGATCCTTCCGGCGCCATCATCTATACAGGCAAACGGCACGGTCCGGACTCCTCACGGTAAGCATGATGATAACTATGCATGTAACAAATTCCGACGGAAGAACGGACCATGAACCCTCTATCTAATTTAAAAGATACGAGCGCTTGCAGCATTAGCTTGCATCGTGAACTGGATTCGGCAAGTAGAATCTTGCAACCCTTGGCTTCTTATATTGCGATATCTCTTATCTGACCCTAAAATCTCACGCGGAATACTGCATAAGGCTAACGTGACGAGAGAGCTTGTTATATAGTTTATTCTGACATAGATCTGGTATGGGTACTAGTGCGTATCATGATTGATTACCATTGGTATTTTTCATTTTGGTTTAATACCATACATACAATACTTCATACAGTCAGCTGTAACCTGTCTGTTCAAGACTAGAGAGGTGCAAGGATATGGCGCTATTCGAATCCCCCAGACAGTCACGGAAATATAGTGATTGGCATTTGGCCCCGTCATTGTCCCAATACCGGGGCCCAGATAAATTGCTTTGGCACCATCAAGAGTGATCTGTTAGACACCATCATGTCTGCCTTTGTTGAGTCAATTGCTACAGTTCCCTGGCTATGGCTGGGGATACTCGGTGCTGCCACCGTGCTGGCATACCAAAAATGGTTCGGCTCGAAACTGGATATTCCTCATATTGGCCCAAAGCCAACGCTGCTGGGAAATACGTCCCAAGGTGAATTCTACCAGAGGAGTGTTGAAATGGTCAATGAGGGATATGCCAAGGTAAACACCTGTATATGGGTATATTGTGAGAAAAAGAAGACTGACAGCCGGCAGTACAAAGATTCATTATATTATATATGGACGACCAACATGGATCGGTTGATGATACCTGCAAAGTACATGAGCGACTTCAATCAGGTGCCGCGCAGCCACCTCAAGTTGACGGCCACCGTGCGATATTCGGGCAAATATACAGGAATGGACATTGCAGATGAAGGCATGCTCGGATACGATGTGTGTGCTGGTCCATTGTCGCAGAATATTGGTCGACTGGCACAGCCAGTTTACGATGAGATCGTACATGCACACCAAGGCAAAGTCAGTGAGGCAAAAGATGTCAATGGTAAGGGGATTGTCACAAACGGCAAGTCCAGTGGCTAATGATCATTAGGAGTATATACGGTCCCCATGTACTATACCATCCTAGAAGTCGTCACCGCCTCGACCGCTCGCATGTTTGTCGGACCTGATCTGTGCAGAGACCCGGAATGGCTGTCGACAGTCAGTGGCTACACAGGCGACATAGGTGCTGTGGTGAGCGACCTCCGAAAACACTACAAGTTCCTGCATCCCATCATTGCGCCTCGGCTCGAGTCGTACAAGCAGCTTCAACGGCGATTCGGCAAGATCTGTGAAATTCTTCTCCCGATATTCGAGCAGCGTCGAAAGACGGACAGTATGGAGCACGCGGACATGATTCAGTGGTTGATCGATACGGCCAAGGGCCCTGATACGGATAGTACTCGACTGGCCAAGAGAATGCCGTTTCTGAACATGGCTGCTATCCATTCGACGGCCCACACCACGGTAAATGTTATTCTGGATCTGTGCCAACACCCGGAGTATATCCAGCCCATACGAGAGGAAATAGTTGAGGCTATCAAAGCACACGGTATCATCAAAGCTTCTACTCTCGCGAGCCTGAAGAAACTGGATAGTTTCATGAAAGAAAGCCAGCGTCTGAGCCCGATGGATTTGAGTAAGTGATCCTTATCTTCTTCGCCTCCACAGGTTAAGGTGTCTAACTGGTCAGTGCTATTCAATCGCCAAGTCACCAAGCCGGTGACTCTATCCAACAATATCACCATTCCCAAGAATACCTTCATCTCGATGCCTATCTACCCCATGTGCAGAGACCCCGAACGGTACCCCGACCCCGAGACCTTCGACGGATACCGATTCTACAAACTACGCCAGATCAAAGAAGAAGCCCGGTACCAGTTTGCTGCATCCGACAGGGATGGACCGGCGTGGGGATTTGGCAAATTTGCCTGTCCTGGTCGATTCTGGGCGGCAGCGCAGGTAAAACTGGTGGTGATGGCATTGCTCGTGCAGTATGATATTGCATATCCTGAAGGTCAGACAGATCGACCGGGAGATGTTATACTAGGCGAGAAGCGGACTCCGGATCGGACGCAACAGATGGTGTTGAAGAGGTTAGACCCGGCTCTGTCGCTGTGAACAATATCCAATCCAATATTACAATGGAGATGGTACCGTAGAATGGATTATCAATCACAACCCTACCACCTAGGTAATCTCGCGTAAGCATGGCAAAACAAGCAATCATCGTATGCGATGTTTATAGATTAAGCCAATAGAAACTCAATTTTACGACCAGGTTTAAATCCAACTATCAAATGCACCGGAAGTTTCTCATCCGGTTTTAGTTCACAGTCGTCCATAGTATTTATTGCCCCTCCTCCTCCCGTTCGATCCATCATCAACCACCACGAACATCAACAACCATCACCAACATGGGTTCTCCTAAGCTCATCTTCGGCGCTGCCTCTTTCGGCATGAGCTTCGTCAAACTTGAAGACGTGCAGGAAGTTCTGGACTGTCTCAAAGCGAACAATATCACCCATCTCGACACCGCCGGCAGGTACCCGCCCACTTCACCTGGGCGCTCGGAGGAGCTGCTCGGAGAGACCAAAGCTGCGGCCCAGGGCTTCACGATCGACACGAAGATCCTCACGCTGTCCCCAGACCATCAGGGCGAGTTGGAGAGAGCTGCTATCGAAAAGTCTATCAATACCAGTTTGCAGCGCATGGGTGTCGACCAGGTCAACACTCTCCACATTCACTTTCCAGACCTAGCCACTCCATTGAAAGAGCAGGCAGAGACGTTCAACGATCTACACAAGGCTGGAAAGTTCAAAAATGTACTTCCCGTCCACGGAAAAGGCTACGTCAACACGGAGCTAATGTCTGTTTTCTAGCTCGGCGTCTCGAATTTCCAACCTGAGTTGCTGCAGGAGTTCATCGACATCTGCGAGGTCAACGGCTTTATCAAGCCCACTGTCTACCAGGGCGACTATAGTGCCGTCAACCGGGGCATGGAAAAGAAGCTCCTCCCCATCCTGAAGAAACACGGCATCGCCTACAACGCATTCCGGTATGCTATGCTCCAGCCACAGTACTGAGCAAATACTGATCTGATCCACACTGCAGAGTTCTAGCCTCCGGCTTCTTGTCCGGTAAACTCACGAATGGCAGCTCCGAAGGGACGCGCTTTGACGCCGATAGCCCCATCGGCAAATTGATGCAGAGTCTTTACAACCAAGAACCATTGCACAATGCGCTCAAGCAGCTGGAGGAAACGACGCGCGCTCTTGGCATTACAACGATTGATGCTGCGATGCGATGGGCGTACTATCATTCCTCGCTGGGTTCAAATGACGGAATCATTCTTGGAGCCAGTTCGATCAAGCAGATTAAATCGAATGTTGAGAGTATCCGCCAGGGTCCTTTGCCGCAGGAGTGTCTGGATACGTTTGAGCGCATCTGGGAGACGCTGGAGCCGGTGAGGGGAGATATTATTTGAAAGAGGTATTCTACGGGGAGACGAGAATACATCGCACTCGTATAGGTAGATAGTGTTTACGACAAGAGACCCCACTGGCTAATTACGTGGCCTGAATGACTTTGAAGCACGCATAGCAATAGTTTGAATATCACACTTTGATTCATGTTACGAAAATTTCGGCATAACCAGACTTATTACTATCGAGATATCTTCAACTATTCATAGATGGGAGTTGATGGCCTCTCCCTTTTGACATTCCGACATGAGTGTGCTATAATTAGCCCCCAAGCTACTTTTAACGCAAGAATAAACACCGAAAAATAAATCTACCTTGTGATTATGAGAAATGCTGTAATGGCATCTATCGACTATCTATTGTATACCGAGACAAGTATATAGCAACGCAGCATTCTAAGCAGTCGATATCTTGAACCCCGAATTCTGCAACTTCTGGAACACCTGCTGCGGATCATAGCTAGCAGCGACAGCAGCGAACTTCTTGAAATTCTCCTCTCCGTAACTCTTGAGCGGACTCTGCGAGACATCCGCATCGTTCTGGAACTGAAAATCGAGGTACTTGCCCGCATCCGTAGCCAAGTCGGTCATGTTTTTCACCATACCGGTCGATGCCGCATGAGCCGCTTTGTCGTCCTTTTCGTCGAACCAGGCGGCTACGACGTGCCACCAGTTAGTGCTGACGGGTTTCATGCCTAGCCAATTGCCGCCGCGCTTCTCGCCCGCTTGGACGGCGGCCTTGGTGATCGTTTGGATGCCGTACTGCAGGGCGCCCTTGGTGGGGGAGGTGAAGTGCTGACGGCTGATAAACGAGCCGTAGGCGCTCTTGTACAAGTCGAGGTCTGTCTCGTAGCTGATGGCAAAAGAGAGGTACCGGGCTGTGGGGGAGTTCGCGGTAAAGACGTCAACTAGCTTGGGAATGGTGCCGATGGTAGGAGGCGCAAGTGTCCGGACGGGCTTGAGGGAGTCGAAAGCTGAGTATACTGGGGGGTTGGCAGTGGGCTCGGCGTAGAGCAGACCGACCATCATGGTGCCGTTGCTTCCGGAGAAGAGGATGCCGGCGTTGCTGTCGTCTTCCATCCTGGCCTGCGTGGCGACGATGGCGGAGAGGACCTGCTTGTAGTCGGACTCGTTGTATTGGGCGACGTGGTACCAGATATTGGTGGGGATGGTGTAGAGGGTGAAGTGAGTGACAATGCCATAGTTGGGTCCACCACCTTTGAGGGCTCTGAAGAGGTCAGGGTGGGAGTTGGAAGTGGCTTTGACGACGGTTGAGTTGGCCAGCACGACTTCAAATTGCTGGACATTGTCACAGGCAAAGCCGTATTTGGAAGAGAAGAATGGAATTCCTTCAACTGGGACCTGTTAGAACGAATAGTTGATAGTCATCAATAGAAAAGACTCACCCCCCAGAATTAGACCACCAACGCCAACATCGCCAGAGCGTCCCCCTACGGCAGCAAGCCCGTACTTTTCCAACCCCTTGTAGACCTCACCCCATCGGTTTCCAGTCCCAAGCCGGACTGTTTTGTGGTCCTTGCTGAGATTGCTCGAGTTGAGACGGTTCAGATCAAGTACCACACCGTCTTCGATACTGGAAAAACCGACGTTCTGCTGGTGACCGCCACTGCGCGTCGCAAACTTGACTCCTAGCGTAGTCACAATTTTGAGGCCAAACGCAACATCAGAGGTCGTGTGAGCCTCAAGAAAACAGGTCGACTCGAGCAACAGGTTCCAGAACTTAGAACGATCAGTATATGTCCTTATTATCTCTGTTAAACACATACATTGGTCGCTCCACCTCAGCCGCATAGTCAGCGCTGTTCTTGTCCGAGTATCTGCCGGGAAACAAAGTGGCAAACACATCGCAAGCCGTGACAGCATCGGTTTCATCGTGAGTGGAGATCTGCTCCAGCTTGTCCTTGTTCTTCTTCGCCAGTTCAACCACGGGTGAGATATCAGACTGAGGCTGCGTCTCGCCGAGACTGTCGGCCACATCCAGCAATGCCGAATACAGGGTACTGTCGCTCGCAGCAGCTACATTGTTAAAATGTAGGACTGCAATAAAAGCCGCCTTGAGGCTGACCGAGGCGACACGCATTGTTTCAATGAATAAAGCTGCTCAGAGAAAAGAGAAGCAGATAAATGATCCTGATGATATCCAGACTGTCGCGAAGCCCTCCATCGGGAGCTTTGTTGACCGTTCCTATTTAGAGTCAAGGCCATAACCCCTTATTCCAAAAAACCGCCATTGTAAAGCTGAAGCCATCTCAGCTTTGGCGTGCTTATGTCGTATCGGAGGAATTTATTCGTGTTGGGGCTATGCTCGTGTTAGAATCGCTGGTTTACCAGATACCTCACGAGTATAGCTTAGCTTCGGCGACTCCACCGCTTGGAAGTAAACCCTGTGATCACCTAGATTACACCCGCTAATGGCCAAAGAAAAGAAAAGAAAAGAAAAAGAAGAAAAAAAGTGGGCATGCACTGTGTGGTCGAATACGGTGCATGGTCGGCCTCATTCACCACCTAGGTAAGCAATGTAGCAATCTACCCAACGAAACGCTAGCATGAGAAGGATCAGAGAGGAGAAGCCCCTCTCCAAATAGGCTAAAACCGATGAATATGTTTAATATATTTCGCGACTGCTCCCATATCCGTGTCGAGAGGAGTGGCGCGGAGAATTCTCGTATTCCTGCTGCCTTGAAGGAATCGCACCCCGGGCTATGAAGTGGTTATAGGAAGATGTGGGATTATAGGGTGCGTTGAGGTAGGATCGTCAAGATTGCCCATACAAGCTCCGCGGGGGGGACTGCCCCGAGGTCTAAGCTTGAGAAGGAGCAATATCCCTATGGTTAAGCAATGGGAAGTGGGGCGGCCGCGGTTGATGCCAATCCTTCAGGAACGAGTTCGTGATACGCCGATACAGCGTATCTTACCAGAATACACAGAGCCCTAACATACCGTAAAATACGAAATATACAACTAGAATAAAGTTACCATGATACTTCTGCCCTACTGGGCTGCATGACCCCCTATCTTCATGCGACACCGGCTACTCCGAAGTGAGCCATATGTGGCCAATGATAATGAATGGTTTTGTTCCTCATATTGTAACTTTAAGACTATGAGTCTTATGGGAAATCAATAGTGACTGGCTTTCCCCGCCCCGTGGCTAGACCTTTCGGAGCAAAAACCCGTCGCCCTGCAGAGTCTGGAACACCTGCTCGGCATCGTACTTCCTGCTCACCTCCTTCATCCGTGCAATATGTTGAGCTCCGTAACCGGTCAGAGGATCCTGCGCAAAAGTCGCATTATTCATGAAGACAAACGGCAGTAAGATGCCCATCTGTGCAGCATTCTCTCTCAGATAATCACGCAATTCAAACACCGCTTTCCGAACGCGTTCGTCGTCGTCCTCGTTCACCCACTGTGCCAGATAGGACATCCCTTGTGGAGTTAGCATAGATCATGACAGCATGTATTATGGACTTACATTGTTGAGGTTCCACCGCTGTGTTCAGGGCGTTTCCTCCGTTTTCCCGGCCGATCTTCATCGCGGATGTGGTCAGTGGCTGCACCACCATGCCCATATCACACCCAGTCTGTCCATAGAGCTCGTCCGTAACCTGACGCCAGCGGTCGTATGCCAGAGTATAAAAGTCGGCACTGGGCCGGGTGGTCATTCCAAACGCCTCGCGTCTGCATTCATCAGTCAAAAGATAGAGATATTGGAACGGTATGCTTAGACGGACCTCAGCTTCTGCGGTGTTCCTAGAACCCTGTTTGATGTGCTTTTGGTGAAATCAAGGATAGTGCCAATGGTCGACTCCACGAACCACGACTCATAGGGAATGTCATAGAACATTTCAAAGAGCGGAGGGAACTCCACAGGCGAGGAGTAGATCCATCCTAGCAGCGTTCGTCTGTGTCCGATATGGTGGATGATCGATCCCCGGGACTCATTCTCGGCAGCCTTTTGCCATTCCTCAATTGCCTTGAGGATTTGACCGTTGGCCGAGGGTTCGTAAATACGGGCGGCAAACCAGATCTTATCAATTGGAACGGTCCAGTAGGTGAACTTGGTCACAATACCTAGCCAGTGCGTTAGAAAAGAGAACCGTAACATCAAAGGTTTCCCAGTCATACCAAAATTAAAACCGCCGCCCTTGAATGCCCAAAACAGGTCCGGATTCTCCGTCCGACTGGCATTGACAATCGACGAGTCCGAAAGCACCACCTCAAAAGCTCGCACATTATCACACGCCAGACCATACTCGCTAGAGAAACTCGGAACCCTCCCCCAAGGATCAACCCGCCTATGCCAACATCGCCTGTGCGGCCACCGATAACAGAGACCCCAGACCCGTCCAGCGTCTCGTACACTTTCTGCCAGCGGTTTCCGGGGCCAATCTCTACAGTCTTCTTGTCCTGGCTAAGAACCACATCGCAGATGCGGTTCATGTCGATCAGGATCGCGTTCTCACCGGCGCTGGCCCATCCCCGGTTGGGGTTGTGGCCACCGCTGCGGATTGCAAAGGGAACCTTGAGTGTGGTGATGATGCGCGGAGCGCTTTGGCTACATCGTGCTTGTCTGCGGGCTAGATGATGCATGAGGGGTGCAAGTGGCAGGTTGCAGACCAGTTTGTTTCGCATGTGGCTATGTAGTTTTCGGATTCGGACCCTATCCAGCCGATGTTCTCGCGGAAGACGATCTTTGCGGTGGAGGTTGCTAGCGCCACGTTCTGGCCAGTGCTGCTGGTGGCTACCTGCTCGAGGCTGTCGGTGACTTGGGACTCGAGTAGGGTCCGGACTTTGAGGGCCTCGTTGTTGCTGAGGTCCAAGCTTTGGATGAATTGATTGAATGCCATTTTGTTGATAGATGGACGAGTATCGGGTACGGAGGAGAAGGTACCAAGATGGGAGAACGCCCATACAATATGGATTGCCGCGATTGACTCAGAGTATAGAGATTTCTATCCAAGTGTTTGTCGCGCTACTGCCTTGACTGTTTTCTTACTCGTCTAAGCAGGATCACTGTCCCTGTATGTTGTGCAGAACCGACCATGGCGTAACGGCAGGATCCCGCAGCGGGCATGTAGTGTAACCTACGTTACAGCAAGTATTTTTCAATACTCACAATACTGCCTAGTATCGTGCCGTTCGATCGGAGTCAACGAAGCCAAGATTGCTTGGAATTCTGCAGGATGATCCCCCCCGGCCACGTTCCTTCGCTGTCTCATCGCAGCAATCACGACACCTCGTGTCTACCCTCTCCTAATTGGACATCTAATGTCCTATATCGCAACATTCGTATCGGGCTTCCCAGCTCCGCAAAAGTACCATTTTGTATTCATACGGTCACAGTCCAGCTTCTTCCAACAACCTTAATCATTGGCGGACGGGCCTTCCTGGAAGCCAACATCGGCCAATGGGACAAAGGCGAGACCATCTGGGTGGAAAAGGTTTCGTATAGCTCCGCCGTCCTATCCAACGCCTACTGCATCTCTGCTGTCCAAGCCCCAACCTTGGCCTGGACAGCCACAGGCGACAGCCTCATCAACATCCCCTCCAAGGCCATCTCCAAGTTCGCTCAATTCTACTCATGTCTGCCGCTGTTCGCGCACGAGCCCAGCTGGCGCCTGCGTTTCTCCCTGATCGAAGGCTCGCTATGGTTCCCACGGCTCGCCGCCAGAAGACTCGATATCTTCCCGCGCACAAACATGGAAGAAGACAAATACCTACAGTATATCCCCCAGACATGGACCATGTCCAACAGCCTCCACGACGGCGCCCTCGAGCCAGACCTCATGTGGGAGATGATGGTCATCTCCATGCTCAACTACCAAGCCGACGAGTTCCTCGAAGCCGTCGTCGAAGAGCACCTCATGGACCAGATCGACGCTGTCTCCGCCCTCGTCGAGCGCCTCTGCGATGACTCCCCTGCCGAGCCCGTCTTCTCCGACGTCGACGGACCAGCAGCAAATCAGCCCATCTCACTCAACGGCGACAAGCCAGACATGCACCACGTAGAGCAAGTCCTCCGCCGCTTCGTCACCTACCTCCTGACCCACCCCGCCGTCGTGCGCTCCCCACCCTCCGTCCAGCGCACCCTCCGCCGCGAGCTCAAAGTCTTCATCCTCGCGCACCTCGCCCACGCGCAAGACAAGGCGCGGTTCCGCGCCCAGACTCTCGCCGCAGACCGCACCACTGAGTTCGCGTCCCCCCGCTCCTCATACTACACCTGGGTCCGCTCCACCTCCGCCGACCACACCAGCTGTCCCTACTCCTTCCACTTCCTCAGCTGCCTGATCGCCAAACCCGGCGAGCCGGCGTTCAAGGGCCCCCGCCAGAGGTACCTCGCAGAAGACATGTGCAGGCACTTGGCGACCATGTGTCGGCAGTACAACGACTACGGCAGTATCGCGAGGGATCGCGCGGAGAAGAATCTCAACAGCGTGAATTTCCCTGAGTTTTGCGCGGTGGGGGTAGAGGGGGCAAGTGCGGGTCTGAAGAAGACTGTTGTACAAGTTGAGCAGAAAATGAAGGGCGAGTTGATGTGGGTTGCGGAGTATGAGCGCGAGTGCTGCATGGCGGCGCTGGACCGGCTTGAGAATGAGACGGGCTTGGATGCGCGCACGAAGAGGATTCTGAGGATGTTTGTTGATGTTACGGATTCTTATGGGCAGATTTATGTTGCGCGGGATATTGCTAGTCGGATGAGGTAGATTCCTTCTGCTGTTTGAAATGTATGGCGTATTTTGGGTTGTTGTCCTATGTCGATGAAAAAATGATCAAATCGACGCCATTTGGTATGTAGTGACATCGGTAGGATGAACATGGGTAGATGTTATGAATGACAATCTTCGAGAAGGGACCTTCTGTATGGATATAGAACGAGCATAGATAGCTAAAACCTGTGCTCCCCTGAGGTAAGATACTGAGTCATTCGAGTTAGATAGGTAACTCAAGGTAGATTCATCAGACTATGAATATGCGTGCAGAAGTGATAAGGCATCAGATCCACATATTTCTGTTTGAGTATCCCTTTCCATCCAGTACAGGGAAGGGATCTAGGTATCCTGGTGGTGACATATGTCCCGCCAATCTTATCACTGCAATTGGTTGACTGCAGTCACATTGATATCATAGCCCGGAGGAAAAACCCACTACAGAGCCCATAATATAGGGCTGTTTTTCATACAGTGCTAGAGTTACAGTGTAAAACAGGGGTTCTTTGGACAAATGGATATCATATGTTGTCAGGTCAGGAACACCTGCCGAGCTAAGTACAGTAGGATTGGCTAGTTACAAGTATTAATCATTGTACGGCAACACATGCTAATATTCACAGTGACCATATCAAGGCCATGACAAATGCACAAAACATCACTGGTATCGCTGAGGGACCCGATGGACGACATCCCGGCCCCGGTCCAGGACCATCCGTTCGGGGTCAGCAGGATCGTAGTATCGTTCCTCTCGAGCCACCGGCCGCGCGGAGACGTACATCGGTCGTTCGATGTATTCCCTCGGACGACGGCTCCCGTCGTCCAGGTACACACCCAACTCCTGCCCGGCGGGTCGCACACTCTCCACCCGCTGGATCACTTCTCGAGGCTCCTCGTGCCGGGAGGTCGGCGGTCGCACGCTGGGCATCCGGACGATCCGTTCCCCACGCGGGATCTCGGTCTCTTCCACGTAAGGCACTTGTCGACGCACCGAGTAGTCGGCGACCTGGACGCTGTTGCTTCTGGGGTACGGCTCCCGATCGTCCATCGGCGTGGCGTACGGTCGTCGTTCCCCCAGGCTGGCCCCCAGGCTGGGGCGTGTGTAGTCGGCGACCCGTCGATAAGCACTTGGTGGGGGAGGCATCTCCTGTACATACCTCCGGCCGCCGTAGGGATCTTCCACAACAGAGGGCGCACGAGAGCTGGGCTGATGCATCGCTGGTGGGCGGTCCTCGTAGATCTCATTCCTCGGCACCCGAGCCGCTGGTGGCGGGGCCATGGCTTGGATCCTTGGAGGGCTCGCTTCGTAGTATTGGTTCCCGTGCTCATCCACAATGATTCTCCGCGCTGGTGCTGCCACGAGTCGGTTTACAGGCTCTTCCTCGTAGTATGCTTCCCGGTATCGCGGTGATGTCGCCTGCTCGCCCGCGGCTATGTAGCGTCTCGCGGGCTGCGGCGGTGGTGGTTCTTCATAATACCTGGTCCGTTCCTGTGGCGAGGGGTCGACAATTGCATAAGACGCCGCTCGCATTGCGCGAGGGCTGATTTGGTCAACATATTCCCGCTGATAATCGGGCTGTCGCGCGTGTTGCAGGCTTGCAACCCTCCGCAGGTCTTGATCGTCACGCATTGACCGCCTGGCACCGAGTTGCGACACCGTCCGTGGAGCCCCAAGCTCGCCCTGGATCTCATAGGGATCCACCTCATAAGCAGGGTCTCTGCTTGGTGGCTCCATCCTCTGGTAAACTGGAGTGTACCGAGGAGACGGTGCATCAATGTAAATCGGCCGTTCGTGAGTCGGGCGGCTGCGGAACATTGGCGGCGCATCAACGAAGGGGGGCGGCGACACCGGCTCCTCTTTGATGTGCGGCTCGGTCGCACCGCCGGCTTGCGGCCGGTACGGCGCTTGCCCGGGTGGAGCCCTATCCCCCTGCAACCTTCTACGCTTCCGCGGCATCAACGACTGGGGCGAGTGGTTTGGACTGGCCTGGTTGTCCGGACCGTAGCCGGGGCGAAGATCTCTGAGCTGGTGGACAGAAGGAACTTTAGCAATGGCCAAAGGAGAAACCCTGGACGGCTGTGGAGCCGCGGGGGAGGTAATATGATTCTGTACAACCCTAATGTCGTTTCGAGGCGACATCGACCTGCGATTATAACGCGCTCGGTCGTACTGCCGGCCATCATGGCCTCGTTGTTTGCTAAGATAATCTCTTTGGGGATCAGGGCCCTCCTGTCTTTCCATCGGGGCCACCCCCGGCGCCGGTGGGGAATACTCGGGTTCTTCCACCGCTTCGACCGCTTGCTGGGGTTCCTGGTGTTTATGAGGCCTGTGAGCCCCCCCCGCATGATGAGGTGGTCTCTGGACGCGATGCGGCAGTCGGGGGTCTGCAACGGGGTAAGTATCATGCATTTCCAGATCCGAGTCATTGCGGTTGAGGGCTTCAAGCCGTTGCAACTCATCTGAGTAGTTCTCTGCCGGAGAGTCAACCACTATCGGCTCCTCCGCAGTCATGGCGGGAGCTAGGGACGGCTGTGGAGGGCCATGCTGTGGAGAGTCCGGGGCTCTGCTAGAGTAGAATGAGTTATCATCGAACGAGTCGCTAGTCGCACCCGTGGCTGGCACATCAACCGAAGGCGATGGCTTGACCATCTCAAACGCCCTCACCAACACATCCGAGACATCGAAGTCCGGCTTTGTGTCCTGCAGCGAGGCTTTGTGTCTCGATTCTTGCTTCCTCTGATCCAGCTGCTCTCGCAGTGTCCTCTCCAAGCGTTGCCGCTGAAGCTGCAGCTCCGCACGGACTAGATCATCCGACTTGGTCAGGAAGATCGGATCGATCTCCGAGACGGGTTTGGGGATTATACGCGCGCCCGCCGTCGCAGTCGATGGGCTGTCCACGGGCGCAGTCGCCTGGGAGTTGACCGGTTGCGCCGGATTTGAGGGAGCCTGAGAGAGGTTCGCTATGGAAGACCCCGGTTGCTCACTTGGCTTTACCTGAGTAGAGACTGCGGCAGGGGCATGCGATGCGGGCTTGCGGACGAGGTGTTGAGGAACCTTCAACCTAGGGTGAGTCCCAGAGAATATGTCGTCACTTATTTTCAAGATCTTCACATACTCCTGCACTTCCTCATTGGTAGGTGGTGCAGGAGCCAGACTACCTGGTGGAAGATGAGCTGCTGCCATGATCAAACAGCTCCCAGGCACGTTGGCTGAGAGGATTGACCAGAAAATCGTGTTCCAGAACGGGAGTTGCAGCTGAGTTGTTCCCGAGCTCTGACTTGGTTGTGGTCTGCATATTCTGCCACCGCCTTGCACGTCCGAGGTTTATCCGACCCATCCTCTGCACGTGACTCTTCTTTTTTCTTTGCAAAATAAAGGCGGTGAGCGAAGCGGAGATAAAGCGGTGAACTATGGTGATCAGGTGATAGACCACATGACCTTGAACCACCAAAGTCACGGGATCTGATGCTTGGCTCTTATGTCCGCTAAACCCGATACAGAACCCGCCTCAGGCAGCCCGGTCTCCGCGGCTTGATCCGCGGAGTCAGCGAGTCTATTGGAGGTTCCTGGGTCTCCTAAGCGCAAGATGACTGTTTCGCTATGAATCATCTTGCCCGTTCCTTTTCTTCGACGGCATCTTTGCTATTTTCTGGATTTCGTGTTTCTTCTCGACCTCATTCTCTGTTAAAACCGCCTTCTGTCGTTCGTCCCCTATCTTTCCCCCCGAGTCGCATACCTACTACCCCGCGAACCATGTCAACCTCAACTTCGGGTCCTGATTCCAGGCCCATCTTCTTCTTTGATATTGACAACTGTGTATGTATCTCGGAATTCCCTTGCTATTTTTTGTATATGCTGACTTATACGGTCTCTAGCTTTACTCCAGAGGTCAGGATTGCCGTCGAGGATCGTTCTTGAGCAAGATGCGGGGTGCTAACAACTACGGGTACAGAATGCAATATCCACGATGAGATGCAAAAGTTGATCAGTGAGTCAGCCGTTATTCTATCTTCTTTCATGCGAGCTACAGTTCTAATCAAAAGTTTCTCTAGATCAATTCTTCCGAAAACACCTCTCCCTCTCCGCTGAAGACGCCCATATGCTACACATGAAATACTACAAAGAATACGGTCTTGCTATCGAAGGTCTCACCCGCCACCATAAGATCGACCCCCTCGAATTCAACCGCGAAGTCGACGATGCACTGCCTTTGGATACAATCTTGAAACCGAACCCGGGACTGCGGAAGTTGCTCAAGGATATCGACCGCAGCAAAGTCAGGCTGTGGCTGTTGACGAACGCATACGTCAATCACGCCAAGCGGGTAGTTAAGCTCTTGCAGGTGGAAGACCTGTTTGATGGTGTTACCTTCTGTGACTATGCGCAGCTTCCTTTGATTTGCAAGCCGAACCAGGCGATGTACGAAAGAGCGGAGAAAGAGGCCGGGGCGTCGCCAGGGCAAAAGTCCTACTTCGTCGGTATGTAGCCCATATGGCCTTGTTATCTCTCCGTATACTGACTGTTTGTGGTACAGACGACTCCCACTTGAACTGCGTACATGCTGCGAAGCGCGGCTGGGTCACCGCCCACCTTGTCGAACCTAGTCTCCCCTTGCCTCCCACCCCAGCATCACAATATGTGATCCGGGACCTGGAGGAACTGAGAACATGCTTTCCGGATTTGTTCAAGAGTTGATAAGGAGGTCAACTGATAGATTTCCGACTATAGAGACCTCAAATTAGATATTTTGGATGATTTGTACTTGGTGCGATGGAAAATGAATAACGGCCATGAGGTATACCAGTTGAATAGACAATATATATCCCTATCCACATCTCCGAATGATACAGTAAATGCCAATCTTAACGGGCTCTTGAGAACATGTAATAAATAGTCGTCTCATGGTATAGGAAATCCATCATATATCATTATCATGGATTGGAAGTACTGTATGTTATCGGGGGGGTGTTTGCCTGAGGCAGCCGTCGCGCGGGCTCGCGTTGTTCCTGAGGCTCCGAGTGGAGCTAGATTAAGGAGACAAACAACATCAACACCGCTCCACCTCCGTCTCCCCCAGATCTGACTTGACCCGGGTTTCTCTGCGCCAGCTCTTCCGCAGAGGCGGTTACTATACATGATCGACCATGGCGGACCTATCTCCTGGATATGTGGTTTCACTGACGGACGGTCGGCGGGCCACCGTCCGGTTTGCTGGGGCCACGCATTTCGCCGCGGGCGACTGGGTAGGTATTGAATTGGATGAGCCGACAGGGAAGAACGATGGCTCCGTTCAGGGAGAACGATACTTTGACTGTGAGCCGGGATTTGGCATGTTTATCCGGCCGTCTGCGGTCGCTTCGATTGTCGAACAGCCCGCGCGTGTCAGCAAACCGGCGGGTAAAGCCCCCGGTGCTGTTCCACCTGGAACCAGAGGTCGCGCGCAAAGCGGCATCGTCTCAGGTAGTACGGGGCTGAAAAAGACCAGTGCTCTGTCTGCTGCAAATACGAAACGGCATAGTGCGAGCTCTGCTAGCCCAAGCCCGGTTCCCAAGACCGCGGCGTCTCGACTGTCAATGAAGGTACGCTTGTGGGAGGTGAACCCGTGCGCCGTGTTATCTTGCTGACAGGTCTATGGGATAGTCCCCTACTAAATCGCCAACAAAGCAGCTGTCGGGCGCCTCCACGCCTATGTCCAGCCGTTCGTCTCTTAGTGGCACCCCGCGACCATCTGCCGCCCCCGCCAAACCCCGAACCTCCATCAGTACCAAGTCGTCCATGGGCCCGCCGCCCGCTCCCTCGGCCGCAGGCCGCACCGCTCGACCTTCGCTATCTGGACCCACGGGGAGGACAAACAGATCAAGTCTGGGTGCTGCCCCGTCGTCGACTGGTACTTCGAGGCGCCCGGCTTTACGGCCCACGGCCCCCAATAAGCCCGAGGAGGCAGATGGTGGAGGGACCCCACAGTCCGATGACCTTGATGGTGCTTCTCCAGGAGGAGATGATATGGCCGATGATGCGGACTCGATGTCCAAGCCGGCCAAGCCAGCTCCAAGCTCTTCGCGACCCGGCGCCTCTCGCCCGAGCGGCCAGCCGTCTACATTCCAACGACAGAGTCAAAGTGCTGCCGTAAGCAGGGAGCTTGACGAGCTCAAAACCAAGTTGAGAGTGATGGAGAAGAAGCGAGCCGACGATCGGGATAAGCTCAAGACGCTGGAAACGCTGCAGTCTGAACGAGACAAATTCGAAAGCATCATCCATAAGCTACAGAACAAGTACCAGCCTCAGCAGGCGGAGATTGGCGACTTACGCAAGAAGCTGAAAGAATCGGAAGCTAGGCTCGAAGAGGTCGAGCGTCTTGAAGCTGAGCATGAGTCTCTTATGGAGATGGCCACGCTCGATCGCGAAATGGCCGAAGAGACCGCGGATGCCATGAGACATGAATGTGAGACCTTGCGGTTGAAGGTCGAAGAGATGCAACTGGAGGTGGAAGTCCTGCGCGAGGAGAACGAAGAACTTGGCCAGGTCATGAGCCCGGAGGAAAAGTCTAGCCAAGGCTGGCTGCAAATGGAGAAGACAAACGAGCGTCTGCGCGAGGCGCTGATACGTCTTCGTGATATGACCCAGCAACAGGAAACGGATCTGAAAGACCAGATCAAAGAGTACGAACAGGACTTGGAGGAATATGCAAGTGTCAAGTCTCAGTACGAAGCCACGAAAGAGAAACTACTCGTGTCGGATGAAAACGTCGAAAATCTCAAACAGCAGTTAGAGACCGCTCTGGGTGCCGAAGAAATGATCGAGGAGCTTGCGGATAAGAATCTGCGATATCAGGAACAGATCAACGAACTCAATGCTGCTATCGAGGACCTGGAAGATCTGAAAGAGATCAACGACGAGCTCGAGAACAGCCATGTTGAGACCGAAAAGCAATTACTCGAGGAAATCGAGCACAGGGAAAGCGTCTACAACGAGCAGACCCGGAAAATCACTCAGCAGGATGAGGTCATTGACGATCTGGAATACACGCTGGTTCGTTTCCGGGAGCTGGTCTCGACTTTGCAGGCAGACCTGGAAGACATGCGAGCATCCCAGCAGATTTCCGAAGCGGAGGCCACCGATCTCACGACGCGCTCTCGAGCCATGATGGACCTCAATCTGAAACTCCAGGGTTCTGTCTCGAAAGCACAGACAAGGACCATCGATGTCGAACTCGGTCGTATGGATTTTGAAGAGGCAACGAAGCATTTAGAAATCCTGAAACTATATCTCCCGGATTACTACGAGAGCGAGAAGTACTCTGTTCTGGCGCTGCTGCGCTTCAAACGCGTCAGTTTCAAGGCTTCGCTGATGAATAACACCATTCGTGAGAAACTCACCGACCAGGCGTCCGTTTCCACCGCACTCGAGGATATCTATGTTGCCTACGATCTCGTCGAGAAACTGTCATGGATATCCGCTCTTTGCGAGCGGTTCGAGTCCTACATCAATACCTGCTCGGCAGAAAACTTTTCTGAAATCAAAGCAACATTTTTCGAGCTGGAGCCAGTGGAGCGCACGCTGAATTTCTGGATGGAGGGGCTGAAGAAGAACGAAGTGAACATGAGGAAATGGACCACCGAGTTGTCAAGATCCATCGCTCTCTTATCCCATCTCGCTGAGACTGTCCTCCCAACCTCGCTGGAGACATTCGCCGATGAACTTTGCATGCGCTCAATGCTAACGCAACTATACATCGACAATTGCGCGTCGTCAATGGCACGGCTGAAGTCGTTGCTGCAGTCCAAGATGAGCGTGCCAGAAGGAGGGGAAGAAGAAACCAATTACCTCCTGGGCAAAATAGACGGCTTTGTTTCTCAGACTCGTGGCCTGAAAGTTGCGATGGGGAAGATCTACCGATCGTTGGATGAACTGCGATCGAGATCTTTGGCGCTCTCGCACGATGTATCGGGCCCATTCAAGGCTACTTCGGAAGCTGCCCAAGAATTGTCCGCTGTAAGCCGACACATCGGCGAGAGTATCGTGGCGCTGATCAGCGACGAGAGCCGCACGGAGCCACTTACTCTGGAGGAAGCCCTGACGAACATGATGGCTCAGTTGTCCTCACTGTACTCCCAGTCTTCCGACTCAGGGACCGAAAACAACGACGCGATTGCCTTCATGACCAACAAGCTACGTGCCCTAGGCGGCCACCTCGAGGAGCTGGACTCAATCTCGTCCGACTTATCTATCACTTCGGAATTCGAGAGACGGCCATCCCCGTGGATCGCGCGTGCCGCAGAACTGCGATCGAACAAGATTGTCCCTCCCGACACGGACGAAGAAATCCGACACATGAAGAACGAGATCCACGAAGCGTTCACCGCCCTAGGCGTCAAAGACAAGATCATCGAGGAGCAACACATCAAAGTCGAACTGGTCGAGTCGCGGATGCGCGAAGCCAAAGAAAAAGCAGCGATGGTCAAAGATCTGGAGAGCAAGATCGAGTCGATGCAGGAGAAACAGGCACGCCTCGAAGGGCTCGTCGAGAAGCAACGCAAGGACCTCCAGAGCATGGAAACCGAGCGCGAAGAGATGAAGTCCCGACTCAATCAGATCAAACGCGCTTCCGGAGCGACAGGCGTCACCACCACAGACGGCATGGTCATCGACACAGGCGTGTCGCTAGCAACCATGCGCGAGAACGAGACCCTCCGCTCAGAAGTCGAAAGCCTACAAGCCGCCGTGCGCTTCCTGCGCGAAGAGAACCGCCGCTCCAACATGCTCGACCCCTTCTCCATCCAGCGCTCCGCAGACATGCACTCCTGGCTCGACGTGCCCCTCACCCAGTCCGCCGCCGCCACCAACACCAAGACCCACCAGACCGCCTCCGAAAGCCGAGACGTCTTCGCGCACCTCCTCAAGTTAACCCGCGACTCGGACCCCTGCGACCTCAAGACCACCCTGTCCCCCGACAGCACAACCCCGCGCACCGCCTGGCGGCCATCCAAGACCAAGCTCCGGTACCAGGTGCTCCAGCAACGCGAAGACCTCGCGCGCTGGACCGAATGGCGCGACGACATGGTCAGCTACGAACGCGAACAAGACCGCCTAGCAGCCGCAAAGCGAGACCGTGTCTCCCACGACCGCGTCCGCAGACACGCCCCCAAGCTCTCCCTCTTCGGTGGCTTTCCTCAGGGCCTCGGGCATGGCATGATGGGCCGCGCTTGGGAGATTCTAGGCATGCAGCAGCATCCGCGGAAGGTGGCTGATAAACCGGTGGATCCGGCTATTGTGCAGTCGGATGCGTCTCAGACGTGGTAATCTATCACTTTTGATATCACTTTTTGACCGGAACTTGACTCTTCCTCTTCCTTTTCTCGCTTGATTCCCTTCCTTCCTCATCATACTTACTTCAACTTCCACTCTACATGGCCGTTCACTTCGATGAAGTGCGCGCACCGTCTCCATATACAAGCTAGTCAATCATGTACATTCACCATTCACCAGCACAGATGGAGTTAAGTTGAATAGCAGAGATACCATGCCAGTACCAATACTATACCAGTGCTTTGTTTATTTACTTATTTTATCCTCATTACTATATGTATCCCAGGCAAGATGGGTCCCCTCATCGTCCCTACCGGAGGCAATCCAATCCGCCCAGCAGACCCTACCCTTGTGTCCTGGTGAGCTGAAGCCGAGGCTGAAATAGCAAACACAAACAAACATGATTCCCACTGAGGAATGATTGGCACAGAATACTAGAGTGGAGCCCTTTTCTCCCCAGATCATGGATCAAGCAACATCAGTCCCGACCCCGTGTCCCTGGGTCAGCTTCTGAACAAGAATGTGTCGCATCCCTAGAGTGTGGTCAGTACATACCGATCACAACGTGGAGAATGCAAGGTCCGTAATAGTAAACTTTATATCTACTACGGTCGATGCGGCAGAAAATGGTAGGGCTGGTCAGCAAACCCCATGGCATCCAAGTACTAATCTGGTGATTATCCACTAGCCAGTGCCCCGGATACCAGGTAGATACTTATCATTGATTCACCGCCATCCGCTCAGAATTCCCCATGCCGGGACTATCCTGTGATCAAGTTATATAGGTCATTCAGCTCTGTCTTGCGCAGGACTAGGAGAGCAAAGAGGAGGATAAGATAAAGATTAAACTGTTGGTTAGGTAAGGGCTAAGATGAGAAGTCCAACTCACTCTTTGGGTGGTGTGGCGAGCTGGGGTCACTTATATACTCATTCAAGAGCAGGCTGGTTGACTTTGGGGTAGGGGGAGTAAACTGCGCTGCGTGCTGACCTCACTCTTTGAGCTTGAGTTCACATACCTAATCTTTAAGGTTGGGGCTAGCTGGCCAGGGACACAGCTGAGCCGGTATGTTCAAAAGCTGAGCCAGTATGAGAAGCCCAAAAAGTGGGTCTCATGCCAGCTCAGCCATTGTCTTGGGACTGAATTATGAAGAGCTCGGCTATTTTGAAGAGTCTATACCGGGTCAGTGATTGACTGGAGCGCCACCACATACCAGCCAGCTATAAGGCTGGCTGACCTCCAGTCAGGGGTAGGTTACACTGCATACTACCAGGGATGTACTGCATTCTACTATGGATGCGCCACATTAATGCCGGCTCAATCTATAGTATGAAGACCGAAGGGAAGGCATGAATATGGATAGGAACAGAGGCCTGACTCAACTATAAATACGGATGTTATGCCGGCCTGGAACAGTCGACCAATTTCCATCAAATCAATCTGTTTACACATCTTCGCAAGCTATCACAGCTATCGAAAATGAAGCTTCTCCTTAGTGTCTATGCTGCCATGGCCATGGCTGCCACTACCGTGATGGCCCAAGCGGACTGGAGTTGGTGCAGTCCGGACGTCATTGTGAGGAGGACTGGCCCTCATTGCACTAGCTGTCCGATTGAAACTGACTTACTCTTGATAGTGTAACAATGACGGAGATTGTCGAAGCAGCAGTGATTGTTCTGACAAAGCAGGCGTAAGTGAATCTCTATTACTCCGTCTGGAATGACCAAGCTAAGAAAGATAACAGGGTGACGTGAGTCGGGTACACTGTGGTCAGCAGTTGCGGCCGCACAGCTGCTGGACATATTCTAACTAGCCACAAATCCAATGCAGTATACAGAGGGAAATCGTGGAGAGTGACTGTGATCTGATGGATCTTTCCTATCACAGTGCTGCGCATATTGTAGAGACACCACCTTCCCTCTGTGGCGCAGTTATCATCACTTTTTGTCCTATAGCAACCATGTTCATTCATTTCAATTAGTCTTCTCGCAATGCTATCAAGCTCGGGGGATTTTGTCCAGCCTGAATCATATGTAGGCTATGATTGGAAGAATCCCACTGAGCTCTTGATCCCGGTTTACATTCCTATAAGATTGCTGCATGGGTAGCATTCTACACTTCATCACGCCTTTCCAACAGGTTGTAGCTGTGTAGAAACAGTATCTCTATATCTATACCCATATCTATAGATGTAGATATATATAGATATATTATAGATCGACATCTATCTATCTACCAAACAGGACTAGTCCGCTAGCTACCTCAAGTGTCGGTTCATCCTTCTCCCACAACCTCATCTCACAACCTCATCTCACCACCTATCATCATCATCATCATCAACATCAACAGCAACCCCCTGTCTACAACCTATACAACATGACCCCCCTCACAGGCTCCTGCCTCTGCTCCAACATCCAATACCGCATCGATCTACCGGACTCAGAGCCAACCCCCAAAGTAAGTACCTCACTCCCCATCACCCTTCCCCTACAACATCAAATCCCATCATATCCACCTCTACCACCCCCTCCCTCACCATCCACCCATCACAAACCATCTAACCAACCCCCAGATCGCCCTCTGCCACTGCACCAGCTGCAAACGCGCCACCGGCTCGAGCTTCTCCTCCAACATCCTCATTCCAGCCCCCACCCTGTCCTACACCCGCGGCAGCCCCAAAACCTACAACTGTCCCTCCGACCGCGGCCCACCCGTGCGCCGCGCCTTCTGCGCCGACTGCGGCTCGCCGCTGACGACGCAGATGAGCGATAACCCCGGGACGCTGATCGTCAAGACGGGCACGCTCAATGAGGGGGAGAGGGAGAGGGTAAGCGAGCTGGGCGTGGAGATCTATGCCGGGAGACGCGATGCGTGGCTGGGTGCTGTTGGGAAGGTGGATAGTGTGGAGGGGATGATTTGATGGGTTTTGATTTGGTTATGTGTATGTGTATAATTGTGGGTTTGTATGTTGTGCTAGCAGTGCGAAGGGTTGGACTGCGCGATACTTAGATACTTAGATACTTGGATACTTATATACTTATATACTTGTACTTATATACTTGTACTTGACACGCTTGCAGTGACATATGCATATACACTATCTATCATATACCGAGAGCAAAGTACTCCATACTGGGGATAGAAGAAGACAAGTGTCAGGTTTCCTCCCCATTGATTCAGTCAGGTCCCTGTTATTGTCAGCTTTATTTCCATATGACTCTTTTTCTAGCGCTTACTCTCTAATTCTAGCGCTTACTCCGTTACCAACCCACACCATATGATGCTACTCGGTCATTCAGCAACAGTAATCAATGGTTAGTTAACTAATCAACATTTGTGCGATAGTATTGCCGGACCTCTATTCTATTTCCTTACCTTGTTGATTTTATCACGAAGACTGCACCAGGGAGGAAGGCCTGCCTGCCTGCCTGTACATGCAGGTCAGTCTCATACAAGGATATATGTACTTTATATATACCAGAATAGTATCTTAGCCACTACGCCGAACAAAAGTTGACCAATGTTTGGTATAGGGCTGGCTTAACCTGACTGATACTCTAACATATCTTGACCTCTCTCTCTCAGCTCAGCCAATATCTGCTTGGTTTGTGATTCGTTAGCTAGGGGGGGGCTTTTCCAAGGTGTGTCCGTGTTCAGTTCTATATATCTATATATCTATGTATCTACTCCGTGGGCGCTGAAATGGAAAGAAAGCATTCAACCAGTCAATGAAATCAGGTATGAATGTGTGTATGTATGAATGTATGTATGTATGTATTATTATTACACAACTGACTAATTGACTAACTCGCTCCTAGTACGCACCCATCAATAAACTTCACCTCGTAGATAACTACAAATTCAGAAAAAGAAAGAAAGAAAACAAGACCCGAATGCAATCCAAACAAACACACAAGTAAACAGATCAATGGCTTTATGAAACAGGAATAGAAATAGTAAAGAAGACTCTCAACAAAGCAAGCAAATTTTGTACATTCCTTCGTTGGGGATGATTATGCTGGCTCTTTCTTTTGAGATGATATGATGATGCATATTATGGTGATTGGTGATCGTTAGGTTAGGTAGGTAGGCACTGATATACATAGACATCATGGGCGAGATGGAATGGGAAATGGGATGGGGAAATGCAATCATAGCGCGCCGGAAAGGACAGCTTCGGTGGCTATTTCATAGTTAGCATCAATTTTCCATCATCATGTCATATAAAGTAGAAAGCATACCTGAGTTGATGTACTGCCGCCTAGCATCCAAGTTCATACCGAACCGCCTCTCCAACTCCTGCTTGATGCTCTTCTTCGTCACGCTCATCAAGTCAACCGTGCGGAGGATTTCGCGAATCTCAGCAAGAATAGCATCTTCGCTAGGAAGATGGGAGAGGTCTTCCATCTCCATATCCATATGGCGACTCATCATCTCAGACGGGGCGATAGACATGCGGGACCCGCCGTAGCGAGGCAGCTCAAGTTGAGACATCGGCCTCGAGCCCGGGAAGCCGTACTCCGACTGCATGGGGTGGTAGGATTTGGTGCCGTAGGATACGCCGGATACTTCTGAGCGGTCGTCGCGCGAGGTCTGCGCTTCCCACAGCTCGGTCTGGTATTCTTCCCACTTCTTCTTGGGGATTGAGGCCGGGTCGAATTTGCCTTCGTCGGAGATGACCACCTTGCGGCCCTTTTCGCCTGTGATGACGCGTGTGTTGCCCCAGGAGAAGTCGTCCATGTTCCAGAAGGAGTAGAGGGGTAGGGCGAGAGCGAAGACTGGCATGGCGCAGATGTAGATGATCATCCAGCCGATCATTTCCCACTTGCGGCGGAGGATGAAAATGAGACCCTGTAAGCCGTAAATTGCGGCGAGGAGAATGAACGCGGTATACGGGATGGTGGATGTGTCGCGAACAAGCCACACGATGAGGTAGACGACATATGCGATGGTGACAGGCTGAATGACGGTACTGAGAAGGTCAATGAAGACGATGAATCGCATACTGAAACAGCAGAAACCACACAGCTGCTGAAGCGGAATCAGCTCGATCAGGTTATGGACTGTAGAGTTGATCCATCGACGACGTTGGGAGAGGAACACAGCGAAGTTCTCTGGCGCAATTGTCCAAGCATGGGCCGCGAAGATGAACTTTGTCTTGTACTTGGGGTGGTGCTTCAAAAGCAGCGTCGTCAGGTAACGGTCTTCACCCAGATGCAGCAGGTTCTTCATGTGAAGTGTGTCCACACGAATTTCAGAATAAGAATCGACAACCTCCTTGCTGACGAACAGCGGTTTGGCGGTTTCAGCCGAGCGGATGCGGTACATGGTAAAACAACCAGGCAAGCAAGTGACGGACCCGAAGAGACTCTCAAACGCCTTGGTGAGGTTGTGCGAGATGTAGTATTCGTACACCTGGATCATGGTCACTGCGGACGTCTTGGCGTTGGTCAACGCAGTCTCGCCACAGACGCCGATGATGCGAGTGTCCGCGAGGAAGGACGACACCATGCGTGTTGCTGCATCAGGCGCAACCACTGTATCTGCATCGACTTGCAAAATGAATTCGTAGAACGTCGGATTGACGCCGATGATATTGCGGATTTGATGATGCATCTCCAGCTCCATAGGGCTCATGGGAAGGTTGTAATGGATGCGATTCAAGAACCGCATCAGGACCATCTGCGAATCACGCTTGCCTCGGTTGCCGGGCCGCGACACCTCGGAGGGCTTGCCAACCTTGACCACGACCAGGAACGGAACGATGTGACCCTGCACTTCGTACAGGCCCGAATAGACCTTAGCCATGTTATGCTGTTTCATACCTTCGCCCAGACTGTCAAAGCTCAGAGGCTCCGGGTCCACGGTCTCGGGCACACCCAGGATATCGAGAACGATCCTCGGCGTGGGTCGATCGTTTCCTTGACCAATAATCATACCGTCACAGATCACAACGAGCAGCTTCCGCTTATCGTCATACTGCATACGAGCCATGGAGTCGATAGCACGACGGAGAGACTCCTCGTCTTCCGTGTAGGCCGGGACCTGGCAGATAACAAACTTGTCCAAATGCTCAGGGACATTCTTCTTCTGGAACTGAAGAGCCGCCAGGAACTTGAAGATGACCACCGCGCAAATGAGAATCGATATCGCCAGAATAAAGTACTGCGCGAACTGGCACTGGGCCGAGTTACGTGTGTCGACGTGACCGACAAAGAAAAGGTTATCCAAGCACAACTTCATTCGATCGCGCAAATCCTTGTCGATGTCTAGATTTTGCCAATACTTGGTCAAATCCTGACCAGGACGTTGCTGGAAGAGCTCCACCACGACGGAGTGCATGAAGTCGCGATCGACATTCCCGGGCACCTTCTCTCCAGGCGGGGCCTGCGTGCGACGGCCGCCCGTGATGTAATTCGTCATGTCATACACTTTGCCATCGATGCTTGAGATCGACTTCGACTTGCCCGCTAAGGATTTCATATACTCAGGAGTGTATCCGATGTAACCCTTTTTATAATTCGCTTTCAGCATTTGCATCTGTTCAGCAAACCAGTCCGGTCGTGTGTCGTTCGTGAAGTGGCGGAAGTCGTGATATCTCGAATTAACATCCCCCGAACTGATAGTAGTAGCCGAGCCGGTGATGTTGGTAGGAGTATAATCCAAGAGCACCGTTGGATCAACGGATCCCGATTTGCCCTGACACAATGCCGACACCTGGACCGGGAAGAGGCCAGTGGCGTCGATACCGGCATATTTCTTCAAGGCCTTTTCGGGTACGATGTCCGGGTAATGGGCGGGGATGAAAGCATCAAGATCAAAGACCACACCGCGAACGGCGACAAACGATTTATGGCCGTGTTTGCCGTCGTTTGAAGATAACTCCGACGCTGAATAAACGTGCTGGGTCGGACAGACCAGGCCCGGGAAACCGACGATGATGAAAATGGCAACTCCACAGCTGAACCAGATGATCAAGTTGATCGCGAACTTCTCGCGCCAGGCGTCGCGGACGTCCTTCCGCTTCATCCGACCGACCAGCTTGATGATAAAATCCGGAAGCCAGAAGGTGAGCAGGTAGACGATGGCCAGCCAGCGTTTGCGACTGCCCGAGACCGGCGCATCATCCACCTCTTCCATCTGTTTTTCATTGCCCTTTTCCAACATCTGCTCCCGCGTCTCGAGGTTATGGAACATGTCGCCCGAGTTGAAGGCGGATCCTCCGGCCTCGGAGCGCCCGTCAAACTCACGGGCCCCAAAGTAGCCCTGTTTGCCTTCCTCGCCGTAGATAAAAGCGCCGGGCGACTGATCGGCGGGGTTGAGAAGTCGGACCTTGGAATCCATATAGCCCGGGCTCCGTGCGTGCGGGACGCTGTCAGCACCCTCCTCAGACCCAGTGCCAACGCCGATGGGCATCACACGCTCGCCGACCTTGGCCAGATCGGCCCAGCAGCGCTCACTGAGGAAGACACCGGTACTGCCCACCCGGGCCTCGTTTCCAGGCCATCGTTTCTCGTCCAGGACGACCTCCGATTTCTCCCGGTCACTGCCGACCACGATATTACCAATGTCCGCCAGGCCCAGGAATTCCGCGAAGGGCAGAAACACGCTGAAATCGGCATTCCGGAGTCGCTGACTGATCTCGGCGATGCCGAATGTCTGGACCTGGGCTCGCACGCATTTGCTGTCGAACTGGTTTGCGATGCGGCGGTCGTTGGGCTTCAAGCAGAAGATGAAGTACGGGTTGGAATTGCTGGAGCTTAGGCACTTGTTGACGATGGTGAGCGACGATAAAAATTGCCCGGCGGCGCCCTGCATGCCATTCATGAGCGCCCCGCTCTTGCGTCGCCCGGAATTCTTCGCGGAGCTGCCCGCGTGGCTTTCGTATTCTTCCGGGTCGTCGCCGATGGCGGCATCGAAGGCCAACCGGGTAGGGGGGGTGGTCTTCCGTCGCGCCATGCTCGGCATCCGCATGGGCTTGGAGCTCACTTGGGCTTGCATGATCGCCGTCCGCTCCTTGGGGTGAGTCACCTTCTGCAGGGCCTCTTGGCCGAACAGGTCCCGGACAAAGTCACTCTTGGTGGTGTTCACCAGGTTCATCAGGTCGCCGGAGATAATCTCCCCGTTGTCCTCGATGAGGCCACCGACGGAATAGTCGACCTCACCGGCAAAGTGCTTCACGGTGAACGCGGCGCGGGCCTGCTGCGCGGCGTAGCTAGTGCCCTGTTTGGAGCCGGAGCCGCCCACGGAGATGGCCGGGTTTTTGTTTTCGAAGCGCTTCTTCAACGATTCCGCGAACTGGATATCCGTGCGGCCCCGCCGCGTCTGGTCATCGAGGATACTAAGCAGCCCGTTGCCGTGCTTCAGCAGTCCGCGGACAGCGTCCGTGTTGTCGAAGTAGCTCGTTGCCGGGACGGCCACGTCTTCCCGCTCCAGGTTGTCGGCTTTGCGGTCAAAGAATGACTGCAGGCAAAAGTTGTACAATGACTCTGTGGCCGCATTGCTCAGCAGCTGGTCCAAGGTCGAGCCGGTAGCACAGGACTGGGAAAATCCGGGGAAGTCGACGATGGAGACGGTGTTGGCCACGCTATCCTCCGCGGCGCAGATCTTCTGGTTGATGCTTTCCAGCACGTAGGCGACCAGAAGCGAGTAGATGGTGCGGGCCAGTTCATCGGCACTCTGGCGCGCGCCGCTCGGGTCCAGCATGACCGTGACGCGCTCGCGGTGGATCGTCTTGGTGCGATAGCGGAAACTGGTCTCGAGCTCTTCCACCCCTAGACCTAGGAAGGCGGCAATGATGGAAAGGACATCCTTATTACGGACGATGGTGACGGTTTCGCCGCCTTCGTGGGAGTAGCCTCCAGACTCCTCGGCGGACGTGGTCGTCGCTTGCCCGCTGATGAAATCGAGCTGGCCCAGATGCAGGATGGCCGCGAGGATCTGGCAGATCTCGGCGATTTCGCTGCGGGGAAACTCCAGCTTTCTCAGAGCGGTCTTGAAATGCTGGAAGCCTTCGGTGTCGTTGATGCCGACTTTCATCTGCGTGGGATGGCCCAGATACCTCCACCGTTTGTGTTTGACCGAGGTGCCCGACAGTTTCCCGCCGCCGGTCGTAATGTGGATGGTGTTCTCGAAGCCCAGATGCGCCTTTTCGGCGGCGCTGGTCCCGGCCAAGAGATAGTAGAGGACATGGAAGCTTCGCTCGCCGGTGGGGACAGATGTGATCCGGCTGCGTTCCAGTCTGTGATCGATAATCTTGCCGCCAATCAGCGTCGGGTTTACCGAGGACGACCCGTCATACTGTAGCTCTAGAAACAAGCCGGCTTTGGACGCGGTGGGGGTGGTCAAGGATTTGGTGGTGGTCAACGTGTCGAAGACGAACGCCGCATAGGAGAGTTTGGAGGACAGGGGGGTCGATGAGAAGGAGAGAAAGGCGGACAGGAGGTGTGATCGAATGGTGGTTTTGCCTGAACCACTCTCACCACTGGACGTTGTTAGACCAGATCGGTCTGCATCGGGGACTTGATTACTTACAGGAATACAATGGACTGGTTCTCCCCGCGCGCCCCTAAGCGGGTAAAAGCGCGGCGGGCCAGGTCCTCCGCCTCCCCCATGGCACTGCCTTCCTTGGCGCCATCGGGACCCTTTGACGACGAGGTGTATGTGTTGAGACTGATGAGAGCCTGCGAAGACAGGCGAGCCGTGGGGAGACCGACATGGAATCTGGCCAAGCGTGGTCAGTTGGTCTGTTGTCAGGCGGATGAGGGGAAGAGAATATCACGTACCGACTGGCCAAGTGGGCGGTTAGATGGGTGTCAGATTGAAGATGTGCGGGCAGCGAGGGCAAGGACGACTGTGCGTGAGAGGGAACATGTCCTCCCACAGGCGAGATTCCCGCCATGATGAGGATGAGGTTGAACCCCCGACGGTGAGACTTCGAGGGTCACTGAGCGGTGACAAGGACGGATCGTGTTCCAGAAGTTGGTATCAACTGTTGGTATTAACCGAAGACGAGAGAGAAAAGCTCGTTGTATGGTTCTAAGTCTTCCGCGATAATTCTAGCTGGGTGAGGGATGCGAATGGCCGTGGTCTATTTTGGGAACAGTATCTGTGGCCGTTTGAGGGGAGATGCAATGTCTAGCGGAGGCAAGAGATCAGCAGGTTGTTGGATTGATTGTACAAGCCAGTCAGTTCACTGTGGCTAGATTTTTTCCGCTGGGAAATACTATACAGAAATCAGTAAGGGTGAGAGCAAGCAGGTCGGAGGAGCGCAGGGCGATAGTGGTGTAGAATTAATTAAGCTCCGACTGAGGATGGTATCTGCACTGTGTACGGAGTAGCGAAAGTGAAGCTAAACTCAAGATATCAAACGAGAGTGAGGACAAAGAACAGAAAAATCAAATCAAATTAGAATAAAACCAGACCAGATCAACGAAAGAGGAACGAGAAGACGAAAAAAAAAGGCAAGTAAAAAGGCAAACAAAGACCGAGAGAAGAGAAGAGAAGAAAAGCAAGAAAGCAAGAGGGACAGCGATAAGAAGGACGATCATGAATTGCTCTGGGGAATGACCGTACAGTACGGTATCCACTGTATAGTGTATCCACTGATCTGTGTCTGTATTCCAGTACAGTTCAACAAAGTACGGTACAGTTGAAAATAACTGGTCTGTTGATTGGCTCGGCTGTCAGATGGGCCCGTTCGGGTTACCAAACTTACTAGTCTGGTGGTTCGATCATTACCAAACCACATCACTCGTCTATTTTGGGCGGATCTGTATGAGAAGCTGTCATTGTCATTGTGAGGATTGACATTGGATTGTTTCAGTATCCATGATAGTCATGCTGACAACAATTCTATCCATCCCGTTGTAGATGCATCACCAGAAGGACTGGATTCAAAACAAAATAAACAGATAAATAAACGGGTGGATACCCGCCGGTCGAACCAGTGTTAGTCTGTCCCATGGTTACTCAACTCCAGTCTGGCGTATTCCCCGTACAGCTAGATTAAATACATTCTATCGAGTCTCACATTGATGGAGGTCGGAGTCAGGCATTAGACTAGTTGAGTCGAGCATTGACTACTGACTATTTCTTCAATATTGTCCATCATTCGGCGCCACCCTGACCGGCCCTAGTCAGGGGGCAGAGATTCTATCCGAAATATCCCTCCCCCTATACTACCCTCGCTGATGAAGTTTGTCTAGGAGTACTCTATTTTTTCGTGGATCAATCACGAAACCTGAAACCTCGTCAATAAATGAGGACCTAGGTCAAAGCCGTCATGGGTGGAGAGATGGCACAGTACAGACTCCAGGTCCAAAGCCCTGCAGCTGTGGAGGAAACATACGACGGTCAATCGATTCCACGTCCACTGGACCACCGTGATCATCGAGTATTAACAATCGCTGGGGCTATAACCGACCCGAGAGGATCGCTACTATTTAATACAGGACCCAGTCCATGATAGAAATGGAGGAGGAAATGGAATGACCCAAAAGTACTCCGGTGTTTCGGAAGGTGGATCGGATCATTCGATCGACTGGATCAAATCGGACAAGTGTGAGACTAGGCGGGTTTAGTCCGCCTGTCCAACAATGGTCTGTCCGTGTCCTCCGTACGGTGGACTCCTTTGTCCATCCGTGGACGCTGGATGGGAATCGAAGGCGTTCCATTCTTTCCTTCCACCGGTATTGGGATGATTCCCAACCGGCCTAGAGGATACCTGATACATGGGCCATACCTTGCGCACTTAGATATTTGCCACCGACCGTGGTTCGTGATCCTTGATTTAGGTTCTCTAGGTATGCGAGCGAGGAATGGCATGGCAGTGCGGCAAGGCGGGTATTCTGCAGTGGACGGTCCAGACTCTCGAGAAAGATGCCACCGAATAAAAATAACAACAGATATCAAGGGTGTATTGATATCCAATCCATTCTTATGATACTTGGTACAGAGGATATGCTTGGTATAATATTGAATGATTACCACCCTAACTATTGATCCTTGGGCAGATGACAACTCGTCTAATTCCATTGCAGAAACAAAAAAAAAAAACTTGCTGAAAATAGCCAGTAAAAGAAGCTAAAGTGATAAACTGGTGGCGATTGGGCCAGGGGTGAGACAGTCAGGCATTGATTGATGATAGGTTGCGGGTGAGGTGAGACAGGATGTGCCAATTATAGGGGTCGCCCAGGGTCTAAGGCCTGATCCACTGGATTTCTCTTCGCTCCATTGGACAGTCCCTCAGTTTGATACCCGCCACCTGACAGATGAGACTTTGCTGGCTAGAGCGAAGATGGCCTGAGTCGTTCATGCACCGAGTGCATCATCTGCCTCGGTTTGTCCCGTATAAAAATAGACAGAAAACTCAGAACATATGGAACAATAATACCTAAAAAATAAAGGAAGAAAAGAATAAACGGTACGGTCACAGGCAAAAATACCAACCTGTATTAAAAGGGTGGTTGTGAGATGGCCTGAATTTCCAGTCCCCCGTACGCTGTACATCGTAAATCGACCGGGACTCGGGATGATCGCCCGGATACAACTGAAGTGTTGTGAGTGTTGTGAGGGAGGCTGGATTTGCAATTGTCCTTGTCTAACCTCAACTGATTTGGGATGTGCCAATGACAGCTCAGATGGGAAGGAAAATCCTCAACTTAATGGGAAAAATAACAACAAAGCGGACCCTGGTACTGTACTGTTGGTAATTCTGGTATGATCATCATACACCGTGATAAGTTCAATACGACAACTTCAGTTGATCGCAGGACGCTAACCATAAGGACAGTCCTGATTGGCTGGATACAGTACCCCAGTACTGTACTTGTTACCCATACAGTCACAAAAAGAGTCGCCGTCACTCCTACTAGTCAATGCACTTCTTGGGCCTCGTCTTTTCTCTTCCTCCTCTTCTCTCCATTCTGTTTGCTGCGTGGATTCTGTCCTCTGTTTTGCTCGTTGCTCTGTGTTTGTTACCCTTGCTCGACTGCTTGTTTCTCTTCCCTTCGTGTCTTTCTCTCCACTACCATAATCAACCTGCCACAATCGACCTGGATACGGTTGATTTGGTAGCTTGGATAGTCGCTCGCTTGCAACACTTCTGTCGCCTATTAAACAACTCGACTTAATCATAATATCCCCCCCCTTCTACGGTTGGGTTCAACACTCGCTACACAAAAACAAACCCTCGCTTCCAAACGTCACGCTGGTGAAGCTTTGTTGACAACGCAGACCCTTGATCTCATCCCACTTACCCGTTTCAGAATCATCTCATTGCTACAGGCCATCGTCTTTGAATATTGCAGACGATCAAGGAGCTCAGCCGTTTTCTGCATCGTCGATTCGAGTGGCGGAAGAAATCCAGCGTCTCATGTGTTGACGCCCGGAACGCGCCTCACCGTCGCTGGACTTGGCTGTCCCGCATCCCAAAACACCCAAGCCGACTTGCGTCGTTTCCGATCATCATGTCCAATCGTTATTCCACCTATTCGAGCCACTCCGCTGGATTTTCCACCGGAACTCATCATGCCCCGCAGCCTACTGGCCCGGTGTCCACGACGACCTTGCTAAACGCCCTCCATGTATCCTACAACGCCGGACAGCCCTATCCGCTGGATGCGAGCACGAGTTTGGTGCTGAATTCGTGGTTCACCGCGACCCAGACTACCCCGGACGGTCACACCGGGGGAATCATCGATCGCGAGTTGGCCGTTAGGGCGTGGGAGCATGCGCGACGGAGAGCGGAGGATGGTTGTATCGTGCTTTGGTGAGTGATAATCCTACAGCCCGGGGAGGGACTGGACAATGTCAGGGCTAACGAATGATCAGCTCGACGCATCAATCCACCCCCTCCGTATTCGAACCATTTCTGGCCGCACTCCCGCTCTCCACACCGAGTATCACTTTCACCGCGCTCGCCGCCCTGCGACCCTTTCTCTCAGCGGTGACATCTTTCAACCCGTCCTACTCCCTCTACTCCGCTCTGTCAGCTTGCTTCTCCTTCACCTTGAAGGGCGACATCGCGGGGTTGACCCTCGCGCTCTCCACCTCGGGCATCAACGTCGAAAAGGGTCTCCTCAACGTCCCCAGCGAGCCCGGGTACCGTGCCTTCGACGTCTTTTACTACCTCCTGACGTCTGCGTCCACGCAAGCCGAACGGGAGTTCCTCGATCTCAAAGAACCCTCTGCCTATGCACTCCTCAACAGATCCGGGACCTTCACGCCGCCGTCGTATGTCCCCACCGCCGACGACGCCGCCGCCGCGGAGGATTTCAGAGCTGCCCTCAAGGCACTCGGCATCAAAGGCGCTGCGCAGCGTGGACTGCTGTCGGTCCTTGCTGGGCTGCTGAAGCTGGGAAATGCGGCCGGCTACGTGGCCGACCAGGAAGAGCTCGAGGAGGCATGCGAGGATGTCGCCGGCCTGCTCGGATTAGATCCCGAAATCCTTCTGAACAAGTGCTCCACCGATGAACGTCAGGTGCTGATTGCCGGCATCTACGAGGCGTTGGTGGACTGGGTCATCGGAAAGGCGAACGAGGCTATTGCCAGCGAACTCCAGGACCATGACTCCAGCCACAGTGGCTCGGGCCCGACCACCCGCGTGTCCGACGAGGACACCGTGAGTGTCACGGTGGTCGAGATCCCCCGACCCGTTCTCGGAAAGGCTGTGTCCCTGAGGAACGTCTTCAACGATGACGTTGGTATCAACGCGGAGATGAAGGAGGACGGTGTTCCGGTTCCCCCGGTGGGCCAAGCAATCACTACCGACATGTCCGCTGCCGTGGGACAGGTGGAGGCGGATCTGGGCATCACCACCGGGCCGGTCTGGCACGAGCGAGAGTACGAGCTCGACAAGAGACAACAGGTTCTCGAAAAAGTCGGACTGGAGGTCGAGACCGACGCATTCCTCCGCCAGCTCCTGTTCCCCGTCGAGTCTGAAGGCATCACACTCGGTCGGAAAGGCCGGTTCGATCTCGCCGCCACCCTCGGGAGCAGCCGCGTATGGCATCACGTCTCGATCCACCCGACCGATGACCTGCCGGACCGCCTCAACACCACCGCGCCGACGGCGTCGTGGACGGCCGGTGCCGTGTCTCGCCAGATCCGCGAGTGGAGACTGGCGGAGTGGGGTAACCGTCGCCTCAAGCAACTCGACTTCACGGCCGACTTCGACACGGACGAGTTCGTCGGTCGCTACGCTCCGCTTGGCTGCCCCGAGGGTCGGGATGGGGTGGAGAGCTGGCTAGTGGAAAAGGGATGGACCAACGGGGATGCGCTCGTGGGCCACCAGCGGATCTGGATGAGGGAGAACGCCTGGTGGGAAGCCGAGACTATGCTCGATCTCAAAGGAGAAGAGCAACCGATCACCAACCCCTTCATGTATGGCAGCGGCATGTTGGACAGCGGTGTGCATAACAGCTATGCCGCCAACATGGTCCCCGAATCGACTAGTCTCCTGGGGAGCCGCGATAATCTCCTCCAACGGCACAGCACCATGGCCCCCAGCATCGGGATGGGCGCCAAGTCGATCGCCCCCAGTCTGCCTCCGACCGTGAACATGGGCGGTGACTACGGTCTGGGCGCGAAGGGCGACGACAAGAAGTGGGACAGTCACGCGTACTACGACGAGAATGGCCGGTACTTCGGGGAGTTCGACCCGGAATTCGGAGATCCCAAGCACATCGAGAAGAAGGAGATCACGGTAGGCCGACGCGTGTGGACCAACTTCGTGTGGGCGTTGACCTTCTGGATTCCCTCCTTCGCGCTCAAGTGGGTCGGACGGATGAAACGGCCGGATGTGCGCATGGCATGGCGAGAAAAGTTCGTCCTGGTTGCTCTGATCCTCCTCTTCAATGGAATGGTCTGCTTCTACATCATGGCCTTTGGCGACCTCCTCTGTCCGAACAAGGACAAAGCCTGGAACGAGAAAGAAGTCGGCTGGCATCAGGGCGATAATGATTTCTACGTCAGCGCCCACGGCAAGGTTTACGACATCAGCAAGTTCTGGAAGATCCAACACAGCGACAACTCGATCGACACGGATTCAACGAACATGCAGCCCTTCGCGGGGACGAACGTGGATGCTTACTTTCCGCCCCCGCTCACTCGATTCTGCGGCGCATTTGTGGACGATGAGGCGATTGCCCTGCAGCCGAATGACACGGAGGCCATGGTCTATGGTCATGCGAAACACGACTGCGGACCCCGCAACCAGCCCAACCCGAAGACCAAGCTAAACGACATCCGGTGGTACGAGAAGAGGTTCCTGCCCAAGATGAACGACTACTACAAGGGCGATCTTGTGTGGACGCGCGACGCGGTGAAGAAGCAAGCCGACACGCGGGCCCGGGCCTGGGTGATTGTGAATCAAAAGATCTACGACCTGACGGACTATTTCCACACGCTGAAGATCATGAACAACATCGACAGCTACAAGTTCCTGCCCACCCCCGTGACAGAACTGTTCAGGAACCACCCCGGCGAGGACGTCACGAGCAAATGGCAGGATACGCCGGATTTCCAAAAGGCGCAGACCTGCCTGGACTACGTCTTCTACAAGGGCAAACTGGATTTCCGCGAAGGCCCCCGCTGCCAGGTCAACAACTGGATCTTGCTTGCATTCACTATTCTCATTTGCGCCGTCATCGTCGTCAAGTTCCTGGCCGCTCTCCAGCTGGGATCCAAGCGACGCCCGTCGCCGCAGGACAAGTTCGTCATCTGCCTCGTGCCCGCGTACACGGAAGGCGAGGACGCTCTGCGGAAGGGACTGGACTCGTTGACCGCTCTCCAGTACGACAACAAGCGCAAGCTCATCTACGTCGTGTGCGACGGGATGATCGTCGGTGGTGGCAACGATCGCCCCACGCCCAAGATCGTCCTGGACATCCTCGGCGTCGACCCGAAGATCGATCCCCCAGCGCTCCCATTCAAGTCCATCGGCCAGGGCAGCGACCAGCTCAACTACGGCAAGGTCTACTCCGGCCTCTACGAGTACGAAGGCAACGTCGTGCCCTACGTCGTAATCGTCAAAGTCGGCAAAGAATCCGAGCAAAGCAAACCCAAGCCTGGAAACCGCGGCAAGCGTGACTCCCAGATTCTGCTGCTCAACTTCCTCAATCGTGTTCACCACCGCGCGCCTATGTCCCCACTCGAACTCGAGATCTTCCACCAGATCAATAATGTGATTGGTGTCGACCCCGAACTCTACGAGTACTGTCTCATGGTGGATGCCGATACGAGTGTCCGGGAAGATTCGTTGAATCGGTTGGTTGCTGCTTGCGCCAATGATGCCCGTATTGCGGGTATTTGCGGTGAGACTAGTCTCCAGAATGAGGAGCGGAGTTGGTGGACTATGATTCAGGTCTATGAGTATTATATCTCGCATCATTTGACCAAGGCTTTTGAGTCGCTGTTTGGCAGTGTTACCTGTTTGCCGGGATGGTAAGTCCTCCCTCTTGCATTTCCCTTCTGTCGCTTTCCTTCTCCACTCTCCTTCCACTTGCATTTTCCATCCCGGGTTTACAACGTACTGACTCCCCAGTTTCTGCATGTACCGCCTGCGAACCGCCGACAAGGGCCGACCGTTGATCGTATCGGACAAACTGGTCAAGGAATATGCGGACAACGACGTGGACACGCTGCACAAGAAGAACCTGCTCTCTCTGGGTGAGGATCGCTACCTGACCACCCTAATGACCAAGCACTTCCCCACCATGTCGTACAAGTTCATCCCCGATGCATACGCCAGCACCGCCGCCCCAGAGACCTGGTCTGTCCTCCTCTCCCAGCGACGACGGTGGATCAACTCGACCGTGCACAACCTGGTCGAGCTGGCCGCGCTCAAGGATCTCTGCGGCTTCTGTTGTTTCAGCATGCGATTCGTCGTCCTGGTGGATCTGCTCGGAACGGTCATTCTCCCAGCCACCTGCGTCTACCTGGGCTACCTCATCTACCGCGTAGCCAGCCACACGGGCCCACTCCCCCTGATCTCCATCTGTATCCTAGCCGGCGTGTACGGTCTGCAGGCAATCATCTTCATCGTCAAGCGCCAGTGGCAGCACATCGGGTGGATGATCATCTACATCTGCGCGTACCCGATCTACAGCTTCATCCTGCCGCTGTATTCCTTCTGGAAGCAAGACGATTTCAGCTGGGGCAACACGCGCGTCGTCATCGGCGAGAAAGGTTCCAAGCGCGTTGTCGCAGTCGAAGACGAAGTCTTCGACCCCCGCAGCATCCCTCTGCAGCGCTGGGACGACTACGCCATGGCCAACAACCTCCCCGGCCGCCGCGGCGACTTCGGCGGCAGCCAGGAGAAGGTGTACAGCGGGCGCTACATGGACGACATGGCGATGGAAATGGACGACATGCACTCGACGTACTCGTCCGTGAAACCCGCCTCGACAATCCTCACCGGCTTCCCAGGCCAATCCCGCAACGTGAACCCCTACATGCCGCCCCAGTCGCCAATCCCCTTCGGCGCCAACGTCCCCGGCAACAGGCACTCGCATATGTCAAGCTTCTCACGCTACACAGACCAGCCCTTCCTCGGCCACCAGCCGCGCCAGATGTCAATGGGCCACCTGAGCCAGTTCCAAGACGGAGGCATGAACCCCAGCCGCCACAGCGTGGGCCTCATGCAGAGCACAGACAACCTGCTGGGCCGGCCCAACTCGCGCAGCCCCGTCCCGGGCGGCCGACCCGTCAGCGCGTTCGACTTCCGCACCGGTGGCGGGCCGGACGAGGGCGCCATCACGGATGCGATCCGGGGGTGTTTGGCGGAGGTAGATCTCGACACGGTGACTAAAAAGCAGGGTAAGCCATTCATTTCTTAAATGTCGTTTGTTTGGGTGTGTGGATGAATGCTAACGATGAAATGGTACAGTGCGGGCCTTGGTGGAACAGCGCCTTCAGACTACGCTGACGGGCGATCGACGGGCGTTCCTCGACAGACAGATTGACCAAGAGCTGGCCAATATGTAATATATGCCATATTTCTCTCTCTTCTTTTCGATGTTTATTTTGCGACATTTTTTGCGAGTTGTTTGTTTATTTGACGGCGCTGCCACTACACCGCCCACATCGTATCGATCTATTGACACTTGATACATGATCGGATAATGGCAGGAGAGATAAGATAATTTGTTTCGGCATGGCGTTTGGGACAGCAAGCACAGCACAGCATAAGCATGAATACTACATACATCATACATATTATTTATTATTGACATTGACATTGACATTGGCATACTATGATCCGGGCGAGTTTGGGTCTGATGTAATGGGGGAATGATTCCATGGAATGGGATTCATCTATTCAACCAAATCTATCAGATCAATACCGTAGTTAGAATGTGTAGGAATATCACAATCATAAGTCACATCACAATCACAATCATATCTAGAATTATGCATGCATAGTATAGCATAGCTAATATTCAAGGAGAACCACAATCATCCAACTATCCTTCTTCTATCTAACTATCCCCTCACCCCCTTAACTCTACATACACATTTACAGCTATTAGTCAACCCATCGTTATGTAGTATGAACTCAGGGGAAAGCAACGACATACCAAAAGCACGTGTGAACAAACCGATCCGGCTCCGCGGAGCAGCCGGAACAGAGTGCAGCAAGCAAGCAAAGTGGAGAAAACAAAAGGACGGAGATCCACACCACCCAATTCTCTGCCTGGCCGGAAAACGAATGACAATATCTGCCAAGGAATATCGTTTCTCTGTTTGAGGAAGCAATTACATCAGAGCTTGGTTTTCTCCCTCCTTCCATTATCTCTTTCTTGATTGATTCATCGCTTGCTTGGCGCCTGGTAGAATGATGGCATGGAATGATGGAGTTGGAATCAGGGGAAATTAATTAACCCCACTTTCTTCTTTCAGCCTTGACTATGGAGTATTCGTCTGCTTGATTGAATGCTGTTGGCTAGGCGTGCAGATCTGTTTCTCCTGCTGGCCAGTTATAGGAGGTGGATTTTCATTGCGATGGCTTAAGTTGACCTCCCTAAGTCTTCCTTCTGATCCTGCTGCAGTCATGGACTACACGCAGTAGCTAATGAACCACGTAAGTAGCTGACTACCCAAGTAACTAACTACCTCAGTAGTAAATAATAAGTGGATTAATCCCATCCTCGGCACAAGAAGAAGTAAGTAATCGACACAACTAAGCCATGAAGTCCACAAGATCCAGGAACAGGAACATTACTACACTCGGCTATCCAGCAGCCGATCATAACAGTCGATCATAACCGGTCCAACCCGGCACGAGGGCCCTCACTAGCCGAGCCACGCGTCATGCGTTCCATAGCCTTGTGGATCGCGCAATAGTTGGTTCTCTGGTCTGGCTCGGTCTGGAAAGGAGAGGGGGGAGGAAGAGGGGAGATGGAGACGAAAACTGGGCGGATGACTCCGCTGCTGGATCGGGTTTCTATACTTAGTTGGTTGACTATGTATGGTTGGATGGATTAGTGGGACAGGACTCCGGAGAAGAAGGATATCGAACGATCATCATTCTAGATCGAATTAAATAATCAGGGGAATAAGGGGAACGGGGGGAGAGGAGGTGGAGGAGAATGGTATAAATACCTGGACGTCGTCCCTCTCTGGATCAAACTATTCTACTATCCTCTCATCAATCAATCAATCAATCAATCAATCTTCAACCTCTTCCACCTCTACCACCACCAAACAATCACAATGAAGCTCTCCTTCCTCGCCGCCATCACCCTCGTCGGTGCCGCCATCGCCTCCCCCGTCGCCGGCGGTAAGGAGCAGAAGCCCGTACGTTTACATCTCCGTCTACTAAACAAGAAGGAAGAAAGATAACTAACAACGACACAGGCCATCAAGGAGGGCCAGCCCTGCAAGCAGGACGGCAGCATGGGTAACTGCGAGACCAACTACTGCGAGGTACTTACTTCCCTTCCCCCTTCCACATATCCCATCACGGAGATGAATGGCAAGCTAATGATGGAATGAACAGGCCAAGGGCGACGCCGAGGGCACCTGCAAGCCCATGCCCAAATAGATTACTGGGCTGACGTCCTCCACCTGCGGACCGAGATCGAAATCGATCGATCGTTCAATCGGATGGATTGATTGAGGCTGGCTCGGTCTGGGGCTTTGTTTCATTGGCGTGTATTTTAGGTTCGGTTGGCTGGGTTATTGGATAACTATATCGATATATATATATATATATAATACATATTATCAAGAGAGATCTTGTCTTTGGCGTCGTGTAGTATGTTTGTAGGTCTAGTGGGGAATTGATTGACCAATTACTCAAAGTATTAGTTTATGCTAGACGATACTGCAAAGTATAATATGGTTGAATCGTACATATCGAGGGATCATAGGCTTATATAGCCCTGTTATCTTGTCTCCACCATGATGTACGTTTCTTCATGTTCACGGAGCAATCCATGCACCAGTATGAGTAAATACAACGATTGAAAACGAGATTTCCGCTGATGCTTGATCTTGGGGTATTGATGCAGGGTGTCCAGACCATGGTCTATGTGGTGCCCTTGCAACGGGCAGATGTGAGAAATCTTTAGGCAATGGAAAAGTGGTGAAAGATTGCTAAACCACCGCCGTCCAGACTCAAGCTTAACTTGATGGCATTTGGTTTTCGGTGCCTGGGAACATTGTGGGCATGCGTCGCTGCTTCTCATAGGGGTGTGGCTGTCGGTTTGCACCAGAAGATAGTATTGAAAGCTTGCTCACTGAGAGAAGGTCTTCGACCCTCGTACTTCCATCCCTAGAGAGTCCCCCACCCATGCCACCTAAATGTCGCTTGAGCTCTTCAATCTTGTCTCCACGGCCACTTAGGTTCAGAATGTTCCCGATGGCCGCATGGACAGCAAGGAGAATCGGGCTGGGGAGGGGATATCTCCCGTCATGGCTTGTCAATGTAACGAACCCATCAGGTGGCAGAAACCGCAAATACAGGCTGGCGAACTTTGAAAATGTTTTGACGCGATACCGATGGGGGGTCTGGGTGGCTTCCAAAACGAAGTGGAAACTGCCAAATTGGCCGTGGAGTCCTTCAACCAGCATCATGACGTTCTCTTCTTGGTTGATATCTTCCGAAGAAAATCCCATACGCGAGCGAAGGTCAGGAAAGTATCGGTTGATGTTGACCCAAATCATTGCGTGGCGGTATCGCTCGTCTGCACTATTTTCTTGAAAGACCCCCAAGGCGAACGGGATTATATGAGCAGCTTCTAAAGGAGCATGTATTGAGTCAGAGGGGCGTTCGTCGTACCCCGAACTCCAAGCTTTTGTCACAACACACTGATAACCGTCCCTATCCAGGCAGTGGTTGCGTAGTAGTTGTTGTTCGGATCTGCTAGCAGTCTGGGTATCGTCGGAGAGCAAAGCTTCAATGGAATCCTCGACGCCAAGCCGAGGAGATAGAGTTACGGCGGGCGTGGTGCCACCATGGGCTAGCATAGGCCGCAGCAAGCCGGTGTCGAGGCTTTCAGCCAGCTGCCGTAGTTCTTCATTATCAGCACACCGCTCGACATCTTCTGCTAAGTTGACTTGTCCTTGTAGCGGTAGGTATTTGTGAAATATTCTCAAAAAGCTTGCGGTATCATCTTCCGGATGAAGTGGTTGGTGTTGCTCTAACTTCCTGTCCAGGGTTTGTTTGGCCTCGGCGAAAGTCGCAAAGACGTTAGAGGACACCGCAGGGCTTAGGCTTTCCTGTGATGACATCTCCGTCAACTGTAATACAGTAAGTATAATGGGAGCGGAGATTTGATGAACAAGGGGTCTAGACAAAGATGATTCGTTATGTTAGCTAGTGGACTATATTATAAGTGGAGACGACGGTGTATACGCTTACCTCTTGTAGTCCGTTGGTCCGTACTCCGTACTGGTAGTGGCAAAAGGCCCTGAGAATCCCTGTGGGTCCCTGGGTGGCCCCCTTGCCGAATATTAAAAGAAGGCCTCAGCAAGAGTCCAGTGGGCCCGGAAGCCTGGAAAAAGATTCACTTCTTGCGCTCCAGAGAATACAGCTACGGTTGAGGATCAATGAAAATGAAGTTGTTCTTTGGCGCATGGTACAGACGAAGGCAAGAGAGAGAGAGAGGTCCACGGTGGGGAAGGAAGAAGATCAAGAGCTGAATGGCTGAATTCCACTTTCTCGTGGGTCACATGGCCAGATCACATGACACCACTTTTGCCCCGATTCCACTGGACATCACTCCGAGTTGACGTTGACGAACAGGGAATCTATGAGGAGTGAGTGATTCGGCATGAGTGAAAGCCACTGGGCGACATTTCTTTGGAAGGATGGAGAATAGATCGCCTTTTAAGCTTCTCGCTTCCAGGGGGTCGGATTCCATCAACGTAGTAAGTATGGTTGAATGTATAATATCATACTAGAGTAGAAGGAAACGCTCGATGATGTCATATATCGTCGACTATCTCTAATATCAAAATCATTTTAGTGTGAATGATAGACGATGAGAGATACATCAGACAATATGTAGCTTATCATATACGAGCCAACCGTTGTCCTGGTAACTGAGGACTGGGGATAGGGTTACTCGCAATTTGATCCAGCGCAGCAACTGTAGACAACAAGAGAACTGCTATACCATGGGCCACACCATGGGGCAATATACTAGATTAACTCTCTTCAATCCATGGTTCTGGTCAAAACGCCCTCGACCCTCTCCTCCCCGGTTAAGCTTCACCACAGCAAGATCACATCGCCAATTTGATACAGAACACCATATTGTCAAATACAACTGGATTGACGGCGCCGACACCTTAGAAAACTACAAGCCCGGAGGCTACCACCCAGTCCTCATCGGCGATGTACTCCACAACCGCTACCGCATCGTAGACAAGCTAGGTTTCGGAGGGTACTCAACAGTGTGGCTAGCACACGACACACACCAGGAAGAATACGTCGCCGTCAAGATCGGCATCGCAGACTCGCCCTCCATATCCCAAGAGCTAAAATGTCTCCGAGCACTCTCTGCTTCTTCGAAACCAGCCCACCCCGGCCACGAAGCTATCCCCACTCCCCTAGATGAATTCGAGCTCTGTGGCCCGAACGGGGTTCATCCGTGCTACACGATGGTACCGACACGTTGCGATCTGAGAGAGGTGTCATTCGGCCACTTGTTTCCCCTCGAGGTGGCGCGGGCGTTGGTCGGGGGTCTGACGAGGGCGATTTCGTATATGCATTCGTGTGGATACGTTCATGGGGGTTGGTTACCTACCTACCTATCACACCTATATGCTTTATATCGCAACTTACCAACAATATAGACATCCACCTCCGCAACATTCTCCTCCAGCTCCCACCCAGCCTCAACCACCTCTCCATCAAACAGTTCTACGAGAAATACGGCGACCCAGATGCCGTCCCCATCACTCTCCGGGACGGAACAGCAGGGCCCCTATCACCCAACGTCCCCCCAACGGCAGTCACTCCTCTCTATCTAGGCATAGATGCAGAGGACTTCCAGCTGCACGACGCGCGCCTCCTCCTCAGCGACTTCGGCGAGTCATACGCCCCGTCTACTGAGCTCCGGCGCGGCGAGGACTGCCACACGCCACTAGCGATGCGCCCCCTGAGACGCGATTTGGGCCGCACGCACCGCTGTCGTATTCGGCTGATATCTGGTGTTTGGGGGTCGCAATTTGGGAGATCCTAGGCATGAAGGCCCTCTTTAGCAACGAGTACGTCACTGAGGATGAGATGGTCTCTCAGCATATTGATGTGCTGGGACCGATGCCTGCTTGTTGGTGGGAGCGCTGGGAGGGGAGGGGGAAATTCTTTGAGCCAGATGGTCGTCCGATTGAGGGTAGGGAGGTATGGCCTGAGCTTGGGCAATCGTTTGAGTACAGTATCCAGCATTATCGACGGAAGTGGCAGATTGGGGTGTTTGGGGAGGAGGAAACGCGGGCGATTCTCGATCTGGTTCGGAGGATGTTGGTGTTTGAGCCTGACGAACGGTTGACGATTGAGGAGGTTTTGAAATCGGGGTGGATGGTACGATGGGTGATTTCTGAGGGAGGACAATAATTACTGTACATAGAATTGTGTAGGACAGCTGTTTGGTAATCTATACTTTTATCATCGACCTTTTCTTATATCACAAGATTCTTTTGACTCTGATCTTTCCTCACGTCGCCTTTTTAGTCTTAAAGGACACGCCTTCCCTATTTTCACCACTTTCAGTACTGGAGCCGATCTTTATCTTCAGCACATCTTTTTCCAGCTCCACCAGAGTCTCCTTTTAACCTAAATTCTCCATGAAAGACCTCGCTGTCGGAGTCTTCCCCCAACTGCGCAAACCCTCTTTGAAGAGATCATTCATTAGCTGTTCTATATCTCTACCTCTGCCGAGTTAATATTCATGAACATGAGACCTGATGACAGAAATCTTATTTGTCAATCCTTAGATGGCCACGCTGAGACTGAACAACGCTGCGCAAGGTATGACATCCACTTTGCTAACTATTTGGCTAATATTTATATTAATAGGATGGTAGGATTTAATTATAACTCGGTGATCCAAACGCTTATAACTCATGCCTAGTAGTGTGTATGACATTCACCAGCGGTGGATAGACACCTGCATTGTTGAATGGCGATATAATGGCCTCATAACTCGACAGGAATCACAACTGTTATGGAGCGGTGTTGGGACCAGTGTTTATATATCCCTTCAGGATCTAATAGGGTCATAAGGGATAAACCCGGCCACCATCCATACACAGCGCGTCACTATACAATCGCGGGATCCCACATATCTGCTTCATTATGACTGGTTCTGAAATTCCAGGCTGTCGCGCGGGTTGGTGTGTGGTTAACAGATACACCGGGATTTGTTGGCTTAGGATCTTGGGTGTCTTAATCAATATGTTAATAGATAGGCCAATACAATATATAGGCTAATACAGATCTCTTTGAAAAAAGTTACTCTGTAGGAAATTAATATAATAGAAGTATAATAACACATGTCGTGATAGAGTGCTAACCTTGACTCTAGTACTTTTATTACTGACTTCAAGTATTAGGAATGACTTTATATATTATAGTGGAGTTGATCAACTTCCTGAACTTCTCGGCCATCATTACTGTCCGAATCCATTACAAGGAGATGAGTGGCTAGATAACAGGAATATGAAGAGGTCTAGCAGAATCCTTGCTCAGCCAGCTATTATTATGTACTTTTGTTAAGCATGGTCTTCATGATCATCTCAAGATAATGAATATCTCCACCTCCTAATCTACTTAATATAAAGCATGATCAAATAAATCATCCGCCTCGAGTCGCTAACTACTCTGGCTGTCATAGTATATTATTCAAAACTAAAATAGATAGCTTGCTAACACCAAATTGGTAGGTATACTTTTCTGCATGACAAGTCTCATGCAGCCTATCATCAACCCCTCACTCACCTAACTTCAACCTCACCTTTCCCCACCATTTTACACAAACAACAAAACCATCTTCCATCCACTCATCCATCATTAAACCAAACAAGAAGATACCCCCAAAATGACAACCCAAACCAACCCCCCACCCACCACCTCCCCACCCCCTCCCTCTCCCCCCACCACAACAGATACCAACAACCAACAACGCACAGCAGAAGCCAAAGCCGCATTCACCGCCTCCCTCCGCTCAGCCGGCGCCCACCACGACGCCGCCCTGCGCGACCGCGCGCAGACCCTCCGCGCCAACGACGCCGCCCTCCAGCGCCAGGAGGCCGAGCTGGCGCGCACGACTGCCCAGCTGGGCCGGCAGAATGAGCAGTGGGGGAAGGTGGCGGACCAGGCGCGCGATGGGTTGAAGGAGATTGGGGATGTGCAGAATTGGGCGGAGCTGATTGAGAGGGATTTGTTGGTTGTGGAGGAGGTTTTGAGGGAGGTTGAGGGGGATTCTCATGGGCAGTATCGTGATAGTGATGGTGATAGTGATAGTGATAGTGATGGGGGAATGGTGGTGGGGATGGGAGGGGGCATAGGGGGGAGAATGGGGTTGTTAATGGGATGGCTAATGGGAATGGAAATGGGAGTGGGAATGGGTGGGTGGATGCTAATGGACATGTTAAGGTGGATGATGATGATGATGCGAAGAAGAAAGATGGGAAAGGAAAGGCGAAGGGCTGGTTTTCCTGGTGGTAGTCTATCAATCTGTGTATACCGATCTATTCCAGATACGACTGATGAATTAATGATGACTCTGAACCAATACTATTGATTATCGCAATACTGTATATACTAAACCTCATTCGACGCATACGCCACCCTATCCAGCCCAACATCAGAAAACCCCTCCTTCACAGTCCTAACGCTCACAAACCGCTGCAAATGCCCCATAGTCCCCGTCTTATCATTCGTGCCCGAGTCCCGACTCCCCCCAAACGGCTGCTGCGCCACCGTCGACCCCGTACACTTCGTATTAAGATACAGCATGCCCGCCGCATGCTTGAGCGCCGTCTGCGCCTGCCGCGACGCATACGGATCCCTGCAGAACACACTCCCCGTCAGCGCATACCGCGACGTCCCGTCGACGAGCGCCAGCGTCTGCGCCCACTCCGCGTCCGGATACACGTACACGCCCAGCACGGGACCGAACAACTCCTGCGTCATGATTTCGTGTCGCGGGTTGCTTGTTCGGTAGACCGTTGGGTGTACGTAGTAGCCTTCGTCTTTGGACGCCTGGCCGCCGGCGATGAGCTCTAGCTCAGGGTCGTGCTCCGCGGCGGTCAGCACGGACTGCAGTCTGTCGAACGCGCGCTCGTGGATCACTGCGTTCACGAAGTGCTGGTATTCCTCGACCGGGCCGACGGTCAGCTGCGCGATCTGCTCCTCCAGGTTCCGCCGGAACTCCGGCCATGCCGACTCCGCGACATACACGCGCGAGTTAGCAGAGCACTTCTGGCCCTGGTACTCGAAGGCCGCGCGGATGGTATGCAGCGCGGCGCTGCGGACGTCGGCTGAAGGATGCACGACGCCGAAGTTCTTCCCGCCTGTTTCGCCGACGACGCGCGGATACGAGTCGTAGATGCCGGCGCCGATGCCGTCGCCGATCTTCTTCTGGATGCCCTTGAAGGTCTGCGTCGAGCCGATGAATGTCAGTGCGCTGAACTCGCGCCGGCGTAGTAGTGTGTTCGTCACTTGTTCTGCGTCGCCGGGGACGAACTGGATCACGCCTTCTGGGAGACCTGCTTCCAGCAGGATCTGATGCAGCAGCCAGCTGGCGTGGAGGGCTGAGTCTGACGGTTTCCAAATCACCACGTTGCCCATTAGGGCCGCCGGCCCGATGAGCGTCGCGCCCAGCGCAGTGAAGTTGAACGGTGCGATCGCATACACGAAGCCCTCCAGCGGACGGTACTCCATTTTGTTCCACTGGCCTGCAGGCTGCACGCGCGGCTGCTGCGCAAAGAGAGACCACGCTTCGTGGATGTAGTGGCGGAAGAAATCGACCGTCTCGGCTGCGGCGTCGATCTCAGCCTGCCAGATGTTTTTACCCTGGCCGAGCATTGTGGCTGCTACGATGTCTGAGCGGTATTTGCCGGCGATGAGCTCCGATGCGCGGAGGAAGATGGCTGCGCGGTCTTCGAAGGGCGTGGCTTCCCAGGAGGGTTTGGCTTGAAGGGCTGCGTCTACTGCGGCGTTGACTTGCTCGGGACTTGCTAGGGCGTATTCGGCGATGGTTTCGCGGTGTTGGGAGGGGTTTTGCTGTTTTAGGGTTTGGTGTGGTTTGACCTGATTCTGTCAGTTGTTGTTTCTCTGCTTTCCATGGCAGGGCTTCTTACTGCGGACCCATTAATGGTAATCGGGATCTGAACGGGGAATTGACTCTTCATCTTTCGTAGGGTGCGAGTCAACTCAGCCCGCTCTGGCGACCCTTTGGCATAATCCAGCTAGACCGGTTAGCTGAGAAAACTCCAAGTCATGAGATTGCGTACCATCTTCTCATTCTCAAACTTGGGCGGGTGCAAGAGACTCAGATATCTGTATATTGGTCGGACAACTCGGCCTTGGGACCGGCGGCTGGCAGCACGCATTGGAGGTAAGAAGAAGGCCCGCATGGTGGAATATGCCTGTTCGGTGAGATGATGTGCTTCGGTTTTGATTGTAGTTGGAGGGCAGTCTATATTTGTATTCAATCAACAGCTGTCGCTCGGAGCATGATCCGAAGCCCAGCTTCGTTATCATGTACTCTCTCCGCATCTTGACCAGTCTTTATGGAATGGTAGCGGGGTGGTGTCGGGATCGTAGAGCGAGAGCTGCATGATCGTGCATCTCAGATAGTTGTGCATGGAATTCCTGCGGTTGGCGACGATTCGGGTGTCGATCCCGAGCATCGTGCTATCTTGCTCTGCCAATTCTTCGGAACCCCTGCCGAAATATGACCACTCGCGATATATACAGGAGTTCATGGAGATAATTTGACCAAATCATATAGCAGAAACCGCCGGTGCAGCGCGCTGAGTATATCCAATGTATCAGGTTGTAAATGGTATATGTAAATATCGAAATATGGCAAGTCGTATCCCAAAGCTGCGCCAGCTCAGCTTTCCATCGCATCACCATCTTCCTCGTCAACTTCTTCCTCGCTGTACTGTCCCATCTCTCCCAAATAATCCCGCCAAATCCCTAATCGGTCGACAGGAGTCTGATCGCCGTCTTCAAGACCGCCCCCAAACTCATCCCACTCATCCCACTGCCCCAAACTCATCAGATGTCTCATAGTCGGTCGACCGTGCGGACAGTTCCACGGCTTATCGATCGTCCCCATATTCCGCACCACCTTGACCATCTGTTTCTCCGTCAGGTTTTTCCCGATCATGATGCTCGACCGACAAGCGCGCATGGCGAACATTTTGCGTACTTTTGTCGGCCGAGGGACGTATGAGGTGGATCCCGAGTGACTGCTGCCCGCTGCAGGCGTTTCGGATAGAAGCACAATGAGCTCTTCGAGGTCTCGCACCCCGAAGACGACCTCCTTGCTCAGTGGCAGTGATAGAAGCTTGCAGCGGCGGCCGATGGGCTCGTCTCCGCTGTCGTCGACTTCCACGATGAAGCCGTTCTTCTCTAGGGCAGACTGATTCTCAATGACGATTTCTTCCTCCACGGCGGTGAGATCGAGCCGTTTTGGTTGCACCAGACGCTGATTCTGGACGATGGTTTCGGACTGTAGACGCTCGAAGTTGAACTTTTCGTCTGAGGCGTGCTGGTCGATGATGAAGAGTTCGTCTTTGGAGTTGGATGGTCCTGGCTGCGATGGATCTGAGGGTCGAGTCGCTAGGATGAAGCCAAGGTTGAATTGGCCGATGATTTGCATGTTTGCGAAATCGTCTTTGGTGACTGTTAGCGAAAGGCGCTCTTCCGCTGTCCCGTGGGATGTTGCAGCTGCGTCCTCGTCAGAGCCAGCGGCGGGCGCAGCGGAAAAGAGACGCATGTGCTCCTGGTGCTTCTGTGCCCGAGACTGGATATTGGAGATCGACCCGTCGATGGTGGTTACCAGCTGGACTGTCGCATCTCGGTGAGCAGCTCCTTTGTTCATTTTGTTCGCTCGGTTGATATTGCTTTCCTCTGGAACGGCAGCTTTAGCTTCTGCCTCTTGGATCAGTCGTTGGACTTCAGCTTCCTCGTGCTTCTTTTTCTCCTCGTCAGTCATGCTCTTTCCGGTTGGTGTATGGGGGTCTGGAGATGTCCCAGCATCATCCACTTCAGATATATCATCAGCAGCGTCGTAGGAACGGTCGCTTTCGTGATCAGAAGTCGCTTGAGATGCTTTACCAAGGGCATGCTTGGCCGGTTGGCTGGCTTCTGGTTCCTCTTGTTCTTGCTCACTCTCTTCCTGTTCTTGTCCCTCTTCCCCAACTTCCTCTTCTTCCTCCTCTTCCCCGTATTCCTCTTCTTCTTCGGCCTCCTCGGCTTCTTCTTCCTCGACCTCCTCCTCCCCCTCATCATCAGAATCCTCTAACCTCGCCCCCGGGGCCACAAACCCCCTCATATGCTTCCCAAAGATACTAGGACGAGAAGGTGTATGAATCCGTCGTTTCCGACTCGAAGAACCAGAACCACCAGAGACGCCAAAATCATCAGCATCCCGTTTGCGAACTGGACCGCTTCCCACCATGGACGTAACTGTCCTATTCCCGATCGTGATGGTGGCCATCTCAGCCGGTGCCCGTCTGGGCCGCATTCGGTCGAATGCGTTTTGTATAGTATTGGGGGTCTCTTCGGGAGAGTGCACTTCCTGCGTGGCACTGCTTTGGGGGGTGGGACCGTCGATGCTCATTTGGGTGTCGGGTTCATGTTCTGTGCCTTGGGAGGACTCCAATGCGGATTTTCTGATGTGTGGAGAGGTGTTTTCTGGCACGAAGAGTTCGTTGTCCTCGTCGGGTGATTGTTCCCGAGCTTGAGAAGAATGGGCTATCGGGGATGAAGGCCCGTCCCGTGAGAATGACGATATTTTGACAGACGAGGATGGCGCGTCTGCTGGGCCACTGCCGGTGACATTATCCGCTTTGTCTTGGGTAGCGGGTTGGCTACTTTCCGCTTCTGTATCTCTAGCCGTGTCGCTCTCCCTGGCTACATCATTATCGCTAGACAAAGCCATGCTGGATATGCTTCGCTGCAATGGCAGTGACCGCGACTTAGCAGTCTGAACTTGCGACTGAGGCACAGTCTGATCCGCCGACTCAAACAGCTGCGTAAGCGAGGTCTTGAGCGACTCGATCAACGCGCCCGCATCATGCAGCAGAACCGTTCGCTTATCCGGAGACACGTTAACGTCGTAGGCACTCGTATCCATATGGAAATCGGCAAAGACGAACGGCGACTGCGAGACATTGAAAGACTTGTACACCTCGTTGAACGCCTTGGCGATCTGCGGCAGTCCACAAGGACGAGAGTTCACGAAGAACATCTGTCGATCGGGCGTCTGCCGACCCTCTCCGAAGACCGGTCGAGAGACGTGCCCCCGGACCGCAAGCGTGTTCGACTCTCCCGCACTCGCACCCGCGCCAGTCGTGCGATGCAGCGGTGCAGCAGAAGGCTCAAACTCCAGTTCCAGGTCCAGCGGAATCAGCGCCAGCAGCGTCTTGGCACCGTAGACATTGGCGATATTCTCCTTAGTCGTCTGATTCCCTTTCGTCGAAAACACCACGACATTCTTAGTCTTGCCCGTCGAGTTCTTAACGGTGAACCGCACGCCCGTCATGATACATGCGTACGCATGCAGAAGATTCAACACCTTGCCATATTCGCGCTTGATGTTCTTCTCCAGCTCGCGACGCCGCACGGGCAGCTTCTTGAATAGTCCCGCCACGGAGACTGTCGTGCCCTTCTGGCCTGCGACTATCTGTGTCTTCTTCAACTTCCCTGAAGTTTCGAACTCGAGACGGTTGGCTTTGGGAGCTTGGTGTGCTTGCGCGGTGATGACGTGGAAATCGCCGAGTGCGCACAATGACGAGAGGGCTTCGCCTCGGAAGCCGAATGTTTGGAGTCGGGAGAGATCATCGTAGGAGGAGAGTTTGGAGGTGTAGTGCTTTAATGCTGTAGATAGGAGATATACAATCAGCACCACATCTTCAATCGACACTGTAGATAGAAACGTTCCCAGAAAACATACCAAGATTCTCGTAATTCTCCGGCGCGATCCCACCCCCATTATCCTGCACCTCGATCGAATCGAGCCCATTATTCTTAAACCGGACCTCTTCAAATATATCAAAAAAACGACATTAGCAATTCCGCACTCAACACATCCTCCCCCACATATAAACCCACATACCTATAGACGTAGCACCAGCATCAACGCTATTCTCAACAAGCTCCTTCGCGACAGAGCACAGATCGACAATGACCTGGCCGGATTGGATTTGGTGGACCTAAACGGATAGGATGTTAGAATGTGGGGAGGTTTCGCAGGTTCAAGAGGTTAGACGCACCGAACGGGCCTCGATGGCCTTGATGGTTGCCATTGTTCATGCCATGGCGAGGGATTTATGGGCGGTCGATTGGGGAGACGCGGGTGGTTGTTTGTCGCGTTGGGCGGACCACTTTACGCGATGGCGCGATCAGTAAGCATTGATATGACATGACATACTAGGTAGTGGATATCTCTATAGTTGTTTGAAAGGATCATGGCAGTATATTTAAGTTATTTTATAATATTTTCATTTCCAAGTTCATACTGGTGTATTGTTAGGTTGTTAATTAATTTGTAGGTGTTGTATCTCGAAACAATACAAAAGTTCCTCTCACTGACAATTTGATACTGACTAAACCCCCATCATCAGTATAATCCCTGAGAATAGGCATAATAGTCATCGGCATACTTCCCAAGTACAGGAAACCGAGGCAACAAGCTTCATGCACCTAGACATTGAACCTGCTGCGTTGACCAACAGTCAAAGCTACACTATTGGTAGTAGATAACACCGGGTCGGGCGTTGCTGGACTGCGACTGAGATAAGATAAAGAACTGAACTAGATACAAGTACAGGTGGTAATACATCATCGGAGGGATCCAAGAAGAGGCAGATCGTCATAATAATAGCGATAATCAGGATAAATAAAAAGTAATAAAGTTCACAAAAAACAACACGGGAGAAGAGGAAGAGTAGTAGCGTCAATAAGTGTGGAAAGTCAGGTCGTGTCTTTTTTTTCTCTTTTCTTCCTTTTTCGGTTTCTTTTATATCTCCTCTTTTTTTCCCATCAACCATGTCGTAGGAGTCCACAGTATCATAGAACTTATGGAGGAGATCAGACACCCCGCCAACGTCATGCTGGCCAGACTCCGGCGGTCATTCGCCCACGGCCTCACCCTAAGTCTGATATCCTGCAGATGAGGGAAGTCGCAGAGGATCGCAGTGAAAAAACGCAATCAATTCAAAGTGGGAATAGTAAGCACAATTACTCAACATAACAATCACCCTCCCCCCGCCGCCGTAACCCCATTTTCGTAGATTTCGTTGCTCCGTGTATTGCTGCCTCCACGTGATCCCCTCGGTCCCATGTCGTAATTAGAGGTAGGGCTCGATGATTCGAGCACCCTGAATATAAGAATGGATAGAGATGGAGAATAAAGAAACAAAGACCGGGGAGACATTAATTTAATCCGAATTTGCATCCAGCCGAATGACAAGAAATGCGATGGGTATCAAAAGAACCAAGGAAGATCGAGGAGTTCAGCAAGTCGGGGGCAATGTTGAAGATATTTTTTTTTCCTTTTTCTTTTCAATTCCGTCTTTTCTCGAGGGGTCCCTTTTGGTTGCGATAATCAGAAAAGACACGAGTGGCGCGGCATTACCGTTGATCGCTGGAGGCCTGGGAAAATGTGTTAGATGAATAGACAATAAGAAGGAGAGACATATGCGGGAGGTCGCCATACCGCATCGCTCATTCTCATCCGCTTCGCCATAGGTTCCCCTGGGCTATCAGTGCCCACCGAACTACCCAGCCCGCTTTGGTCGGAAACCTGCCGCTCAAGTTCGCCCACACGCCGCTTCAGATCCTCCTCCCGATGTTGTGCCTCCTCGAGTGACCGACGGAGACGGACTTCCGAATCGCGAACGATCATCTCGGAGCGACGCGCGGTGGCATCGCTCTGCTCCAGCTCCGCGACCCGCCCCCTGAAGAGACCATTGATCAACTCCAGTTCGCTCACACGGGTCTTGAGCGACGCGTTGGCCGCGAGGAGCCCCTCGTATGTCTGCGGCGAGTCGCCTTGGCGATCCGCGACAGCGGATGTGGCCGTCGGCGAGGGCTGGCGCAATTGACCGGGATGAAGGCCATTCGACGGATTGATGGCATGGTCCCCCAGGGTCACGCTGTCAAACATGTGTTGCGGGGCAATGTTGGAGTTGTGTTGCGGTTGTGGTTGGTGCATGGGTGGGATTCCAGGTGTGTCCGTTCGCGACACCGGCGAGTTCGAGCGATCGGAATGGCCCGGGGACATCTTTCGCGACGCGCGACGGTAGCCATGGCCGCCCAGCGGGGGCGTGCCGGCTTCCGATCGCGTTGTCGCGAGTCCATTTGCGTCAGCGGTACCACCAGACTATGATGCGAAAATACTGGTTAGCGACCGTATCCTCGGAGCCCTGTTCGTCCCAGGGTTGAAAAGTTTTCCGGCGGGCCGGCTCACCTTGCGTTTGGGGCCTTGCCCAGCGGTCTTGACCCTGTTGCGGCTCTTGATCACGTCGGTTTTCAAGCTTATCGGGCGAGGTCTCCCGTGGAGTTTCAGGAAGAGCCCACAGGCGTTACAGAGGACGGAGCCGAGTTCATCTCTGCGCCAGAGAGGTGTGGTGGACGTCCCGCAATTTTGACACACGGGCTGTAAATGAGGACGTTTTTGGTCAGCCAATGTTGTTGCCATGATAGTCGGAAAATGGAGGATTAAAACACCCGAGGGAGTTGGGAGCGAAGGGAATAGATAATGGATGAGAGGAAGAGCGACAAGGTGATAAGATCGGGAGAGATTTGATGGGCTGCTGCGATAAGACCGGGCGCTGGGCGGGTGGTGCGGCGCCAAGACCCAGTCGGCAGCTGATAACAGATTTGGGAGAAAATTCGGGGCAGAGGCTCAAGGGTGCAAAATCCGCATATCGTCCACGTAGATAAGACCGCGCTCGCTCGATAAGGGATAAAACAGGGCAAATCGATTTACTTACCGGACTGCTTCCTTGTCCACCAGTCGTCGCTGCCGGAGACGATGTCGCGTATGTCATATTCCCCATACTGGGAAGTCCATTGCTTCCGGAGCCGCTAGACACATAAACACCACCCATTAGCAAGTAGAACACGATCAACCACGCCTGTTTTTCTTTTGGTCCTTTAGAAGTTCTACCGGCGATGATGCGCGGCAGGATCTATGATATACAAATGCAGGGTCCCATACGCGCCTCGCCCCAGGTATCTCGCAAAGGACAGTTCGGAGCGCGAGGGTAATCAGCGAGCCACATACCGCAGATTGGAAGTCGGCGCGGATGCGACCGATGCTAGAGCCGATAGTCCTGGAAGCGACGGGCCTAGCGAGCTGGAGAAGCTGCCACCGTTGTTGCTGCCACCGGGACTAAGATTGGACTTGTCTAGAGAACCTAAATCAGGCATTGGCGCGGAGGTTTGTGACGATGCGGATGACGCACCCACTGTAGCATCCGTCGCGGACGGACGGTCGGTCGAAGAGCTATCAATGGGAGTGGAGGTTTGGTTGTAGGACAATTCGTGGGACTGGGTCGTGGAGGGCGACGGAGGCCGGAGGGCAGGGTCAATGGGCGAGGCCCGGAACAGAAGTGAAGCCACCGTGAAAACTTCTTGGGCGGAAGTCAATATAAATCCGGTCTGCTAGGACCGAACTGAGGTCAATTCGAGGGAGATCACGGAGACAAGTGTGGTTCGACGCGGCGACGGTCCAAGAGGACGATGGATACCGGAGATACCAGCCACGTCGAAACAGGAAGGGAGGGATTATGGGACGCCTTCGCGATATGTTCCACCAGTCGCAATGAGAAGAAAAGGCTAGGGATTCTGCTTATGTTTTGATTTCGCTTCACTTGTTCTGCTTACTGATTGATACAGGTCAGAATCAGCCAAATAAGGAGCGATAAAACCTCAACGGACCTTGGAAAACAAGAAGATCGACCCCGACAATAAACAACCGCGAGGAACAAAATTTGGTAGACACGAAATCGAAAGAAATCGCGAATGATCCAAGCGAACGAAGAGGATGCGATTGAAAACGCAGGAAGAGTCGCAGTTGGTGGTGGTTTGGTCGTTCGTCGGTAGCAAGGCTAACAAAACGGGGGAAGATTGATTATCGCTATCGCGCGTCCTCGGAGACTATCGATTATTTATCGAAATCGCAGGCGGACCGACAGGCTTGGCTTCAATCTCACTCGGTATGTATTGCAATTATGGGCGTTTGCTGTTCGATTTTACTCTCTTATCAATTTGTCTGTTTGTTTCGGAAATTATCTTTTTATTACACATCTCTACTTTATATTTTGTCTAGTACGTCGCAATTGAATGCCTACAACCTCAGCATTGCGTGACGATCAATAATCCTGACAAGAGATAACCAAGGCATGGTATCCGATCGAGTCTAATCCGGTTTCCCAGCTCCTGCATAATATGACAAGGGTTATAACCAAACACGGTATGGGAATGAAAGGAGCCTCGAAATATAGAGACGCTAACAGGGACGGAAACTGGATCTCCTCGCTATCAAGGAGACCGTTATTGATAGTTAAGGAATGTCTACTGTTCCAATCCACAATTCCAAATTCCTCAGTCGTCCTCAGTTACGTGGTAGACGTTCGAGACCTGCAGTGGTGCTCAATGCCATCATAACAAACAGGATATGGACAAGTATGTGTAAAGTCGATACTGGCAGTCCATCCAATACACGGCGGGATATCAGTACCGTCTGTAGATATATGTGCCCCTCATGGGAAACAATCACTTGCAACTTCGCTTTGGAGGGGAAGATGAAAACAATGGAGAAAAAAAAAAAAAAACCCCCCGACGATCAATCGGGTCAACCAACCTAGTACACCTCACTGCAAGTCTGAGTAAAACCGATGCTACGATTCCCAAGGCTCAATAATAGGGTCTGGGGACAAATGAACACTCTAGGGATACCTGGACTGCCGGGCCTGAAGTGTGCCTGGGGATGCGTGCCTGGGGATGCCAAGGCTGCTCATAGGGCTTCACGGATGGAGTATTTACCACCATTCCATATGATTAAACCATCCTAGAGGCGAAACCATCATACATGATGCACGATTCACCTGCATCTCGACGTTGGGAGGCCAAAAGACCATGTGTTCTGCTACAGAACCAGATGGAGATTTGAGACATTCCACCGTGGCCACTGCATTCGACTGCATTATGGCTACTCCGTACAGCGGACTCCACAGTACTTTGACTCCGCAGACCTTATCAGGACTGCGATAGATTGATATTGAAGAGTCAATTCGAGACCGTTATTAATACAAACGAGATAGAAAAAGATAGATGCAACTATAGTGAATTTGGATTGTTGACACAATAGATGAGGACTAATCATTTTATTACACATCCGGTGGATGTTGCAACATAAAACAAATCATAAAACATAAAACGTCTATCAAGTGGGAACGTTTTCACGTGAATAACGTGATGGGGCCAGTATTGTCAGGATACAATGTCAGTATTGGATGTTTTCTATTTTATACTCATTGATTTATAATTGATTTATGTAAATTTATGCCCCTTTCTCGTTCCAAAATACAATGAATTCTTCTTCTTCCTCCAAATCCCAGGGTCATAAATCCTGGATAACCATCCCTTTGCCAATCATTCAGGGGCTTTTTTAAGCTACAGTGGAGCCACACGGTAAATTATGTGGCGGTGCGACAATGCGGTATCATACGGTAATCCCCATGTGGCTGATGGGGACATCGACCGGACTTTGGCAGAAAACAGCCAGGTATGGTATGGTACGTGATCAAAATAAACCCGGCACCCCCAGTTAATTAATGTGTTGGCCTAAGGACTTTGTCCGCGGTCGTCATCCACCAAATCGTGGACGCAACTCGCATTCGCCTTAGTTCAACCCATTTTTGACCCTTTCTTTCGCCTTCTCTTCTCACCATCGTTCAGTAACGGAGTAATGCCTTGAGTTGTATTGCTTTCCTTCCTCTGTCTTATTATTTCCCTTTTTCTTTCCTTTCTTTACTTCCTTCAATTCCTCCCAATCCTAACCCGCTACCAAATCCCCCTTTCTTCCATTCTCTTCACTCGTTCGTTTGACAGTGGTTCGCTCGTTTGGTACTGTCTAACCTTCAGATGGTGTCTTGCCTCCCACGCCTCCTCAGCGCATAAGTAATACCTCGCCCCGACCATCATGCCGAAGAACCGGCCCGCAACGTCGGGATACGCCCGCCTCGCTCAGGAGGAGGAAGATCGAGGCCAGGATGTGTACGACTATTCAGAAGACGACGACGATGTGAATCAAACACCGAGCACGATATCCCAACCCGCCCAATATGCCCCGATCTCCTCCCGAGCCCAGATGCAGGCGTCCGCCCCGGATTATCGCCGGAGGCACAGTGCGCAATACCGGCGGGGACGGCGGAATTCGGGCGTGGATATCAAGGCCATCAATGCGCGCCTCGAGCGCTGGGCCGAGGAGATCGCCTCCAAGTTCAAGATCAACCGCGTGAAGGGGAAGACAACGGAGGAGGAGAAACTGGAGATTCACCACTCCGTCTTCCAGGCCCCCGACGGTGTGCGGCCCATCTCCGCCGAGACCCTCGAGTCTGACGAGGTCGAGGGGGCGGCGCGCCGTGCGCGCGACGAGTTCGAGGAGGTCGTGGAAAGCGTGCGCCTGGCCATTGAGCTGGGCGTGCAACCTCGCATGATCTCCCAGGGCAGTTCTGGTAGTTACTTTGCGCGCAACACTGAAGGCAGAGTGGTCGGGGTCTTCAAACCCAAGGATGAGGAACCCTATGCCTCCCGCAACCCGAAATGGACCAAATGGATCCATCGCAACCTGTTCCCTTGCTGTTTCGGCCGCGCGTGCCTGATCCCGAATCTGTCGTACGTCTCCGAGGCCGCCGCCTACGTCTTGGACTCTCGCCTCAATACCAACCTCGTTCCCTACACCGATGTCGTCTGGCTGTCGTCCAAATCGTTCTACTACGACTTTTGGGATCGGAGAAAGGCCTGGATGGGCAAGAAGCCGCTGCCCTCCAAGGCGGGCAGCTTCCAAGTCTTCCTGAAGGGCTACAAGGATGCGAATCTGTTTCTGCGCGACCACCCGTGGCCCGATCAGAACAATACCGGTTTCCGTACAGAGGACGCCCCTAAACGCAAGAAGCGGCCTTGGAACGAGGCGTGCCGGCCTTCCGGGGCCGTGTCCGATGACGAAGATGAGGAAGACTTTGAGACTACACAGATTCCGTCTCCCGGGGAGGAAAGCCGGGAGCAGCGGTTCTACTGGACGGAGGGCTTGAAGCAATCGTTCCGGGAAGCGCTGGAGAAACTTGTGATTCTGGATTATATCATGCGAAACACCGACCGCGGTCTGGATAACTGGATGGTCAAGATCGACTGGAAGACGGAGGAGGTATCCATCGTCGCCGAGCCTCCCAAACCCAACGGGGTCCCCGCCGAGGACGATGATGAGCATCTGGTTCCGCCTCGACCGGTCTCGGTCAACAAGGAGCGCACTGCCTCGGGTTCCCATCCGTACCGACGACACGAGATGGTGGCCATTAGCCGCACGGGAACGCCGTTGAACTCGTCGGAGCCCCAAGCCTCCATTCAAATCGGTGCCATCGACAACAGTCTGTCATGGCCGTGGAAACACCCTGATGCTGTAAGTAAACCCTCCCCGCTAAGATGGCTCTGCGCGAGGTCGGACTGGACGCTAATTCGACTGCGTAGTGGCGGAGTTTCCCCTTCGGATGGCTCTTCCTGCCCGTCTCCCTGATCGGACAGCCCTTCTCCCAAAACACGCGCGACCACTTTTTGCCGCTTCTGACTTCGACGGCGTGGTGGAGCGGGACTCAAATGGCGCTCCGGCGTGTCTTCTCGCAGGACGATGACTTCAAGGAGAGCATGTTCGCGCGGCAGATCGCAGTTATGAAGGGTCAGGCGTGGAACGTTGTCGAGACGTTGAAGCACCAGGACCACGGCCCGCTCGAGCTCACGCGGCGCCCCCGCGTGTGTGTCTGGGACGATCTGGTGGACGTCCCCGTTGCCATTCCCCTCCGCGGGCCATCGACGGATGCGCAGAGGCGCAAGGTGAGGAGTTACGAACGTTACGACACACATGATGCAGATGAACCCGACGACGAGGAGATGGACATTGGCGCCGCCAAGTCTATGGGGCAAGGGCCCGAGAGCGATCTCCTTGGCCTTGGTACCTCCTTGCCCAACCCGAATCGATTCGAGCTCAACCGTCCCCGAGACTCGAGCGTGACTGCTCCCCAGAACGGCAGCCCGGTCACGTTGAATGACTACCGGTTCAGTCGGGAGAGTATCGATGGCGCGGGTCACCGGGACTGGCCTTCCCTGCCCCCGCGATCCAACAACAAGCACCAGAAACACAATTCGGTGTCCAGTTTACGGGGGCGATCCAACCCGATCTGGACCAGCGACGACCTCGAAGGAGACCTGGGCTATGCCGCCGCGGAGGGGATGGAAGGGAATCAGCGCAAGGTTATCGTTGAGCGATTAGAAGCGGTGAAGAGTAAAAACCCCGTTTTCACCTGGTGCTGAGCCATGCGCTCTTTGATTCTGAAGAGCCTTTTCTACTTTTCTTCTTTTTCCCCTACTTTCTTCCCCCTTGTTCTTTCCCACTTTTCTTCTTCTTTTTCTTCTCCATCACCCTGTTCTTATCTGTCACCGTTATTTAATTTTAGCGTGCGTTACGACAACTGGCATCGGGAGTCCTTTGATGGGTGCGATCTTGTTGGGAAAAGCCACCATGTTGTATATATAGACTTTATGTGCCTGTTTCTACTAATTACCAAATTTGACCCTGAGGGACTGGTAATCGTTCTTGAAGTACAGAGTAAGATCTTCCTCTGGGCCCTTGAGGTATCCCAATGGACAGTACTAGAGCAGTTCAAACCTACCCACCTTGATAAGGTACTGCTAGGCTGACCAGAGTCTGTCATAAACACCAACAACATATGAGTAACCGATGTAGATGCTGTACATAGAACTTCAACCCCCATAAACCAAGCAGTGAGGTCGAAGTGACGAGTGGTTTGATAAGCGATCGCAAGGGCTGGCTTATCTTATCGGCTTCTTGGCAGTTCGGAATCCGCTGCATACTCTCACCCATCCAACTCCCTCTCTCTCTTTCATCAGCGCCCCTCTCTCTCACTTCTGAGGCGGATTCCTTCTTAGGTATCATTCGCAACGTCTCACTAGTCTATCACTGATTTCTGTCTTTCTTTCGCGAGGTCGTCGCCGTCTGTCGCGATTTGCGCGATGAGAGTGGCGTGAAGTGACGGATCCCTCGCTCGACTCACCTTTCCCACCCTCGAGCCCTCAGTTCCAGCTCGGCTGTGCCTTCTATCGGCGGAGACTACGATAATCACATCTGCCAGGTCTCGGAGACCCCTTTCTTCTTTCGCTCTACATTTTAAAGCCGCCTCCTATGCCCCCGGATTATCCGTGCGCTTTCTACCATCGGTTGTGACCCTTCACGTGCAAACGCCGTTCGAGTTGCAGGTCTCGTCTCGGCTACGTGCATATACATCGAATGAATCATGGCATCCAACGCGGCCATGCTCTTGGACCCACGGGCCTACAGGAAAGGAGCCCAAAAGAACGGTAACGAGCAAGACCTCTCTCCCGCACCACCAGATCCAGACCGCAGTGCAGCCACCAGTTGGGGGAGTTACAACGAGTCTAGTTTCTTTACCTCCCCATCGTGGATGCGCTGCCCCTCCCCTCCCGAAGATCCCATTTGCTCAGACTCAGAACGCTCATTTCTTCAAGCCCCAGAGCAGCAGGACCTTGAACCACCCCACACCGTCGCATCTACCACCCCTACCGTTGCCCCGCCGGGTACGGCTTCCGCGGCGCATCGTCTTCTCAGCCCTCCAAAACGACGATCCTCTCGCAGGCCTAGCCCGAAATCGCAGATTCGGTCGCCGTCGAGTCGCTCGAGTAGTCGGAATAGTCGGATAGTGTCGCCTCCGCGAACGGCTCCAGCGATGCCTGTCGTGGATGTGGAGTTTGCTAGCAGTAATGATTTGGAGGATGGTAGCGATGCGAAGCGTGGCTCTAGTCAGGTCGACGGGGATATTGAAACGCGTCATGGGAGCCTCATCGAGAATATGTACGGTGTTGAGCGGCGTGTGCACCCGGTTTACAAAAAGTTGAAGACGGAGAAGGACTTGGGAGAGACACCAGCGCAAACGAACAGAGAATTTTCCGCGAGTGGCAACACGGACCTGGGGAAGTGGATGAAGGAAGATGAATCGAAGTCGGGCTCACCGATACCTTCGCCTAATGTTGTGGACTTGACTCTAGGTATGGAACATGTTCAATGCGCGGCCAATTGAGGAGGTATACTGATCACGACAATCTGCAGAGTCGGCCGCAGCCAATACCGACGACGATATACAGGTCACGGGGTCCAACAATCTCAGTCTCCAAAGGGTGTGCTACGGCAAGTTGGAGAACGCGATGGTCCAAGCGCAATTGGTACCTAAACCCGGGGCCCACGGTATACTTGGGGAGTCGGCGCATGACTGGCCGTCCATGAAACTCGGGGTGCATCGAACGCCGAACCAGGGGAACAATCGAATTGACGTCTCTGACCCGCACGGTAAGATATTCGGTGCCGTTGACGCGAAGACGGCAGCGGCCATTGTTCCGATTATCGATTCCCCTGCGGTGAAGGTAGATATCACGGCCCGGCTCGATATGCGGAAGAAACTCCCGAATGAACGGCCGTGGGCGCCGTGTTCCGCGCTATACCGAGCGTCGATCAATCTTTACGGCCTACGCAAGGACGCAGAGCTTATCGGCAAGCATCTCGGTCACCAGAACGTGTGGCTGGGGACACCGTTTTCCTGGGAGAAGGGAGTCATGTTGTTCAATCCTCATGCGGAAAGACGACGTGCCAATGCGGCATTCATGCCAGCGGCTGCGGCAAGGGGCCGAACGGGAGTCAATTGTGAGGTTCGCACAGCGGAGGAAGTAAACGATGCCGTGATGAAAATGTTCGACCAGCTGCAAAGTGCAGAGAACCTCCCCGAGATGGAGCCGTCCGACCTCTTGTTGACGCCTTTGCTTCGCCACCAGAAACAGGCTCTCTGGTTCATGACGGAAAAGGAGAAGCCTCGGAAGTTTGGACGTGATGAGAAGGACAACAATTCCCTGTGGCGGATGGAACTCCGATCCAACGGCGCCAAGCGCTACCGTGAGATCATCAGCGGCACCGTGACTGATGAGGAACCGCCCCAGGTTCTCGGAGGCTTGCTAGCGGATATGATGGGTCTCGGGAAAACTCTCAGTATACTATCTCTTGTGGTTTCGTCGTTATCCGAAGGAACGGAGTGGGCAAAGATGATCCCGCCGCAAGACTTGGTGCGCAACCTACCCGGAATACGAAATACGAAGACCACCCTCCTGGTAGTGCCGCTGAGCGCGGTCAACAACTGGGTGTTCCAGATCAAGGAGCACTTGCAGGAGAATGCGGTGTCGTATTATGTTTTCCACGGGTCGTCGAGAACAACCGATGTCGAAGAGCTATCCCAGTACGACTTGGTCATCACAACGTACAGTATCGTGCTCAGCGAACTTTCCGGGCGAGGGTCGAAGCGCGGCATGAGCCCGTTGACCAAGATGAACATGTTCCGAATCGTGTTGGACGAAGCACATACCATCCGGGAGCAAAGCGCGGCGCAGACGCAAGCCATCTTCAAGCTGAAGTCGCAGCGCAAGTGGTCGGTGACCGGAACGCCCATCCAGAACCGCCTCGACGATCTGTTCTCCGTCACCAAGTTCCTGGGGCTCTTCCCCTACGATGATCGCGCGCGGTTTGGCATGCACATCCTCAGTCGGTTTAAAACGGGGGATGCGACTGTCCTGGCGAGTCTGAGGGTGCTGGTAGACTCCTTTACTTTACGCCGGGTCAAAGACAAGATCGACATTCCCGCACGGAATGACAAGATCATCACTCTGCCCTTCTCCGAGTCCGAGAAGCAGCTGCACGAATTTTTCCGGAAGGAGTCTAACGTGATGATGCGGGTCATCGCAGGCGAGGACAAAACCAAGATGAAGGGTCGGATGTACCACCATATCCTAAAGGCGATGATGATCCTACGACAGATAAGCGCCCACGGCAAGGAGCTGCTAGACCATGAGGACCGGGAACGGATCAAAGGACTGAGCGTCCACGACGCGATCGACCTCGAAGAGGGCGGCGGGAACGACGCCCGCGGAGTGAGCGACAAGAAAGCGTACGAGATCTTCACGCTGATGCAGGAATCCTCAGCGGATCTCTGCGCAATGTGCCAGACGCGCCTGGAAGAGCCCAGCGGCGACAACGGCTCGACGGACAGGAAAGCTCCAATGGCCATCGTCCTGCCCTGTTTCGACGTCCTCTGCCCGGACTGCTTCTCGGGCTGGAAACAAGCGTTCGACGCCCAGACCAACTCATCGCAATACGACATCAAATGCCAAGTCTGCGACGGCTGGATCCCAGCTTCCTTCTCGACCATCACCCTCGCCGGCCTAGAAGACTACGAGGTAAACGAAGCGCAAGCCAAACAAAGCCGGCGACAAGGCAAAACCCTCGGCGAATACGAAGGCCCACACACGAAAACAAAAGCGCTCCTCTCGCACCTTCAAGCAACCGCCGAGGAAAGCAAGCAATTGGACGCAAACGAGCATCCCATCAAAAGTGTCGTCTTCTCCTCATGGACCTCACACCTCGACCTTATCGAGTTAGCCCTAAAAGACAACGGCATGACCGGATTTACCCGCCTCGACGGCACGATGACGCTCGCCGCACGCAACAAGGCCCTCCGCGAATTCCACAGCAACGACAGCATTACGATCCTCCTGGCCACTATCGGCGCCGGCGGCGTCGGCCTCAACCTCACCGCCGCATCGCACGTCTACATCATGGAGCCGCAGTACAACCCAGCCGCCGTGGCGCAGGCCGTCGACCGCATTCATCGACTTGGGCAGACGCGCGAGGTCACCAGCGTCCAGTTCATCATGAAAGACAGCATCGAGGAGAAGATCTACGATCTGGCGCGCAAGAAGCAGCAGTTGGCGGATTTGAGTATGGGTCGGGGGAAGCTCGATAAGAAGGAAGTGCAGGAGCAGCGGATGCGGGAGTATCGGGGGTTATTTAAATGATCCTTTTTCTTCTTCTTTCTTAATTCTTTTATTTTTTTTTTCCCTTCTCTTGTTGCCCCTTGTTTTATGCGTTGCAAAATCGTCTATTTGTTTCTCTTTCCAGAGCATGGCACGGCTTGTGTGGCATGACGGACGACACGGATTCTGATACCCAGTCATTAATGGCGTTTTCCTTCCTTTATCCTTCTATCTTTGTTATTTCTAGTATTACCTCTGATCTGGTCTGGTTCTGTTCTTCACGCGATCTATACACTGGTTTACTTTGACGGCGGATATTCATTGGCTATGAGCTATGGGTATATGATGATACACGAGGACGCAAGTCCATATACAAGACGGTTTCGGTCTAAACTTGATACTTGATATTAACACTGTGTTTATCGTATTAACGTCGTATTATGCACGTAGCTAAACGCTTTTTTGAAATGCAAAAAATAATGTTCAAACCCAAACCCCGACTCCACGCAACGCAAACCAACCAACCTCTTCACCATGAACAAAAGATATCAATCAGAACCACCAAATAAAAAGAACTCAAGAAGAAGAAGAAGAAGACTACCCCCTCTCCCCATAGATCCCCACCTGTACCGCCCCCAACACCCCCTCCAACTTCCCCCTCAACATCTTCAACTCCGCAACCCTCTCCTCCCTCTCCCTCTCCACCCCCTCAACTCCCCCTCCAGCTCCCGAATTCTCCCCTCCTGCTCCGCCTCACTCGAATCGATCCCGGGTAACACAGAAATCAAATACTCAATCTGCTGCTCCTTGATGACGAGGTCGCGGGCGAGTTCGCGCTGGCGGGCCGCGAACGTCCGCGGGGAGTCGGGCTCCGGGGCAGCGTGGGATCTGTTACTGTGCCGTCCGGGTTGGTGGTGGTGGAGGGTTGTTGGGGCTGGGGCGGGGGGAGCCTTGCGTGGCGGCGTTTGCTGTTACGGCTGCTGCTGGGGCGGAGGCGGGGGCTGGGGGCGCCGTTGAGTTTCGGGGCATTTTGGCGAGGGCGGGCGCGGAGGTGGGTTCGTTGGGGGGTGGAGTGGCGGGCGTGTTGTCGTGGTAGGTTGTTAGGTAGCCTAGGGTTGCGTAGAATTGGGTTGCGAGCTGGGGGTGTTAGTTGTGGTGGTGGAGGGGGATGTTATTGGGTTGGTGTTGGGGGAGGTATTGGTGTGGGTATTCGGAGGGGGGCGGATTGTTTGGGACGTACTTGGTCTAGGCATGTTTGCAGTTGGGTGAGGATGTCGGCCATGGTGGCTGTTGTTGAATTAGAGGTGTGTGGGTGAGAGAGCGCAAGTTGTGTTGAGGTGGATGGAAGATGGAGAAGGATGAGGATGCGATGCGGAGAAAATGAGAGAAAGCTCGGCCGGCGATAAGACAGTGAGCGGTCGGCCTAATCTCCGAGCATACACATCCGCTCACTTCAACTTCAACTTTTTCTTTATACAACTCATCTACCTACCAACACTCTTAACCAACCTAAAACATGCGAATACACCGACATTTCCGCCCCCTCCTCTCTCCATTCCCCCTATCCTCCCCTATCCACCACATCTCCCCCACATCACGATCAAAAACAATCCACACCTTCACCCAACGCCTCTTCAAACTCCCCACACCACCCACCCCCACCCCAAACACCCACACCAACCTCCCAACCTTCCTCACTTACACCACCCGAACCGCCCTTTCTCCGCACAGCACAACCTACATCGGCACCCACTACGAATACACCGTGCAGCAAACCCTCCGCGCCTCGAACTTCACCCTCCACCGCACCGGCGGCCGCGCCGACGCCGGCATCGATCTCCTCGGCACATGGCACGTGCCTGGCCGCGAACACCCCGTGCGCACCATCGTGCAGTGCAAGGCGCTGAAGACGAAACTGGGGCCGAACCTCGTGCGCGAGCTGGAGGGGACGTTTGCGAGTGCCCCGGCTGGATGGCGCACTGGCGATGAGGTCGGTGTTTTGGTTAGTCCGCGCGAGGCGACGCGGGGGGTGCGCGAGGCGCTTGCGAGGAGTGCGTTTCCGCTTGTGTGGATGCTCGTTGGGCGGGATGGGGTGCTGAGGCAGGCGTTGTGGAATGGGAGGGTGGAGGAGTTGGGGTTGGGGGGTTGGGGGTTGAGGTTAGGTATGGTTCTTCTTCTCTTGGTGGGGAGAAGAAGGAGGGTGGTGCGGCTGTTGGGTTGACGTGGGATGGGGAGGAGCTGTCCGGGATGGATGCTGTGGAGGGGGAGATGGCGAGCGCAGAGAAGCGGTGGATGGGGATGTGGATGGATGGGGGAGGGGAGATGGGTGATGCGGAGAGGTGGGAGTTGTTGGAGGTGGTGGAACGAATTTTTCCCGAGGAGAAGCCACTGCTGTTGGGGACGGGGAAACGGTGCAGTGCGCTGTCGAAGGAGGAGCGCGCGCGGGTGGTGCAGGCCTTGCGGGAGAGAAGGGCGTTGGAGGGGGAGGAGAGAGTGGCTGCTTCGGGCTGATGGGCTTGTCTACATCTACGTGATGTATGTTTATGATACCATGCATGATTATCTGTATAACAATTGTAACAAAATTTGGGTATATCAAGGACCGCAATCGTCGCATCGTAACCTAACGCCTATACCATCAACACCATGTCTCCGTAGACAAAACTATCCCTGCATCGTCGACCAGAAATAATTGGCGTAGAAGAAGCGCGAGAACTTCGAATCGATATTGACCACATGCACGTCTCCTTTGCGACTGTTCCGGATGACCGCGCGATTGAAGTTGCCCACCTCGTCGGGCTCGATATCGATTCCGAGCGAGCGGAAGATTTTCAAACGGAGACTGTTGCGATTAGCATTCCAACCCATTAAAAGGAAGGCGAAGAATAAGAAGAAAAGAAGAGCCCACATGGTCGAATCATCCATCTCCCTCTCCCGCCGGGTCATCTCATCGCCCTCCAGACCCTGCGCTTCCAGATCCGCCAACCGTTCTTTCAACACCTCAAGCTCACTCTCCAACCGCTCGCTCTCAATCTCCAGCTCGGTAGCTGCCTTCGCGACACGGAACTTCTTCGTGTCCAGCTCGACCATCTCCGCGGCATGCTTGCCCGCGTCGTGGGCCGACACGGCCTCCTCGTGCTGGGTCAGGCGCGAGTGGAGGTTGCGGGAGAGTTTGCGCAGGGCGGACTCGGCCTCGCGCATGCGCAGGTCGCGCGACTGCTGCAGGGCGGAGAGGGAGTCATTGATGCGGGTGACGGCTTGTTTGTCGGGGTGGATGTTGAAGTTTCCGATGGTGTGGTGGATGAGCTGGAGATATTAGACCGAGATTCATTCTCAGGGGTAGGGGTGGGTATACAGTAGCTGGGTTCTCGTCGAGCAACATCTTGACTGTTGATATTGTGTCAATGACTGTGTTATCTGGTGATATTCAGAAAATGAAGCTAATGTTATGATGGTTGGGGGAGCAACTGCCACCCGTCACCGCCACCGCCACCGCCCGGTTTTGCACCGCCACAGCAGGTGACGAAAGAAATGATTGTTTATCTTGTTATGCTCATCCTCTGTTGAAACGAATATATATCCGTTATTGATTGTACATTCATCTAATCCAGTGGGTTTATACTTTTCTCTCGAGCTCGATATTATTATAGCCATGTCGAATCTCCCATGTATGTTATCTCCTCCGTTGACCCTTGTATCCTACTGAGCTGACTCTGCTAGACGCCGCTGATGCCGAAAGGTCCGTTGAACCTTCTCTCAACCCTCCCTGTTCTAATCCCTAACATGTCACAGTCCGTTGAAGCCCGCGGAGCTTCACGTCCTGCGGTCGCAGTATGAAAAGGAAGGCGACTACGTTGGTGTGCAGACCAAGTTCAACCTCGCCTGGGTATGTCCTCGTCATGATCATTTTGACCCCCGCTATCCTCTCCACCGTTACGCCGGATGTCATCGCTCATACTGTCTTTTAGGGCCTCATCAAATCCAACGCCCGACCGGATCAGCAAGAAGGCGTCCGCCTGCTCTCCGAGATCTTCCGTGCCTCCCCCGAGCGACGACGCGAGTGTCTCTACTACCTGGCGCTAGGCAACTACAAGCTAGGCAACTACGGCGAAGCACGACGATACAATGACCTCTTGCTGGACAAGGAGCCCCAGAACCTGCAGGCGGCCAGTCTGGGGTCGCTGATCGATGACAAGGTGTCCAAGGAAGGTCTGCTGGGGATTGCCATCGTGGGCGGACTGGCTCTGGCCGCCGGGGTGGTCGGTGGACTGGTGGTCCGGGGGGCGAAGAGACGGTGAACCATCTGTCTTGGATCGCTGTGTACATATTGATGTCTTTTTATTCTGTCTTTCTTTTCTGTTCCTTTGTTTGTGTTTTATCTGGCTGTGGTCTATGCTCTCCATTCATTCGGGTCTTTTAGCATGTGTGGGCGTTTCATTTGTGACCTGAGTCATTGTTTGAGGGGTGGTCACTAGGATATCTGAGTGGAAGAAGATACATAATCTATTCATTGTCATCCATTTGAATGAAGACTGAATGAATGAATGAATGAATGAATGAAGAAGAAAGAACTGCGCCACACGGGAAATGACATCGACCGGATTCGGACCGAAACGTGTCAGCGGTTCCTTGCCCGCTTCTCTTTTGCATCACTCTTCGTTAATTCGCCGACAACTCACTCAGCTTGACTTCTTCTTTCCTCCTCCTATCTATTTGCTTGCCACGATGCATGTTTAACCCCGCCTGCGCAAGTACGTACATGGTACAGCGTGTATGGTCCTTCGACGCCATGAATGACAGCCCACCACCTCGGGATCTGATCGACTAGTTTAGTTATACTTCACCACTCAACGCCTGTTATATATTTCCCCCTCCCTCCTGGGATTCGGTTGCTGCTGGAGAGATACCACCTCCTCTTCCATTCGAATTCTTGCACATCTTAAATCCTTCGATCGAACAGAGACATGGCGGACGCGCGAGATCGAGTGTTTTGCCACGCATGTGGCGGGGTGTGGCTGCGGGATGAGCATGGCCTGGAGTGCCCGCACTGCCAGTCCGACTTTACGGAGATTGTACTTTATTATCTTTCTTTTACTTTTCTCTCGAGTCCTCTACTAATCGACAAAGGTCGAAATCCCCCCAGATCCAGAAGCAGAAGCAGAAGTGCCAGACCCCCCCGAAGCCTTCCCCGAGGAGCCACGACAGCCACCCCGCCGTGCCAACACCAATCCATGGGCCGACCACAATCCCTGGGCACACCAAGACGACGATCCGGATGAATGGGGACCCGGGGATGGGTTACGCACGCACAACTATCGGTCCCCAGATGGCCGCTTCACCTTCACCAGCACCACCTTCAACAGTGGCTTTGGTCCGCAACGGTCGGGCCAGCGCTCCCGACAGCCGCAGCCCGACCCGTTGATGCCGGTCATGTGGGGGTTAGATCGCATCTTTAACGGCCTGGCCGACACCTACCAGCAGCAGAACCACCCGCGGTCGGGACCAGGTTCCGCACCGGAACCTAATACCGCGCGGCCGCCGTGGGTGGCGGGGGGCATGTTCCGGCACGGGCACGACTTCGACACGCATCACGATGATGATACGCATGGACCGTATTCGGGCGGACCGGGTTTGCGACCCCGGGATCCAGACGGGCCGCAGCCTCAGGTCACGCCTCTGCGCACGTTGGGCGAGTAAGTCTACGGTCTTCTGTTCTCGCCTGGATTAGCTTATTGACCATCTCAGTATCTTGGAACAGTTACAGGACAACCTGGGGAATCGGCAAACAGGCATGGCGGGCACCGTAGCGGGCGAGGCGCATTTTACGACGGGCACGCACCCGCTCGCGCTGCTGTCGACGCTGCTGAATTTCGACCGTCACGGCGACGCGGTGTACTCGCAGGAAGAGCTCGATCGGGTCATCTCGCAGCTGGTCGAGCAGAATATGGGCGGGACGGCGCCGCCGCCTGCGTCACAGAACGCTATTTCGTCGCTGCCGAAGAAGCCGGTCGATAAGGAGATGCTGGGGCACGAGGGCAAGGCCGAGTGTTCTATTTGCATGGACGCGGTGGACATCGGCACTGAGGTCACGGTGCTGCCTTGCACTCACTGGTTTCACTACAATTGCATTGAGATGTGGTTGAACCAGCACAATACGTGTCCGCACTGCCGACGACCCGTTGACCTTCCGTATGTTTCTCTCTCTCTTTTCACATATATGGTGATACTGACAATCCAGGCGCCAAGGAACGAGACAGAACCCAGTCGTAGTCGGTGACAGTCCCGAGCCGGCCTCGCGCCGGACCAGCATGGCGGGATCCGCCCACAGCGGACCACAATCCGGACAGACGGACACACGACAGGGCCAACGACGGGCGAGTCGGGGCGAAGGACAGGGAGGCATATCGGGATGGGTGCGGAGTCACTTTGGCGGAAATTGACCTGGATGGTTATCCGGATAGGAGGATAGATTGGACATACGACGCGACGATAGGATTGTATTGAATAACGACATAGCGATGTTTCTGAATCTTTGATATGACCATGATCATGATCATGATATGATGCTCGGATGGGTCCATTCCGGTGGAGATCTTATCGATCAGCCTGGAGGCCCACTTGTCCCCTCTTCTGTTTCCCCTCTTCTCTTCTCTCACTTCTCTCTCTCTCTCTCTCTCTCTCACTATCTGTATATCTGTACTGTACTTCCACTCAAGCTCAACATGAAAATCCTCTTTAGAAACGGCACGATCGTCCCCGGCTCCGCAGTGACAGACTCGCTCTGCACCTGCATGATCATCGAAGACGACCGTATCGTCTACGTCGGGAATGATGAGCCGATATCGCTCGAAGGCTACAAGGTCGTCGACCTGGAGGGGAAGAAGATTCTCCCAGGCTTCATAGACGGGTACCCCATACTTCCCCCCCCCCCCATACTCTCCCCTCATACTCCCTACCATGAATCCCACAATCCACCCAATAAACCAACCCATAAACTAAAACAAGAATGCAGACACATGCACCTCCTCCTCTTCGGCGCCTCACTCTCCAAAATCGACCTCAGCGCCTGCACCTCCCTCGCCTCCATCCGCTCCACCATCCAATCCGCAGCAGCAGCCCGCCCCAACGCCCCCCGCCTCTTCTGCCGCGGCTGGATGCACTCCATGACAGACGGCGCCGCCCTGGCAAACATGCTCGACGACCTCGACCCCCGCCCCATCTTCATCGACTCCAAGGACCTCCACTCAGCATGGTGCAACACGCCCGCGCTGCGCGAACTAGGCGTTCTCGACTCCACAACAAGCCCCCCTGACCCCGCCGGAGGCGTTATCCACCGCGATCCGCTCACCGGTATCGCAACGGGTCTCCTCAGCGAAACAGCAGCTGTGAATATCGTCTGGCCGCACGTCGCCAAAGTAGCCTCCCCAGATGAGAAATTGGCCTTTATCCGCGATGCGGTCAGTGCGTATAATGCTGCAGGCTACACAGGCATGATCGAGATGGCGACGGACGAGAACCTCTGGGAGACGATGCGACTCCTTCGCGCGCGCGAACCCGTACCCATCCGTCTCGCCGCGCACTGGATCATCGCGCCTAAGGATAGTGAGGAGGAGGTGTTGGCGCAGGTTGATCGTGCTATCGCGCTACATAAAGAGTTCAATCGCGAGACCTCGCCTGATTTCCGCATAGCAGGGATAAAGCTCATCTGCGATGGTGTGGTGGACGCTTGCACAGCTGCGCTGGTAGAACCCTACGCTACGACCGATACAACAGGCGATATGCTCTGGGACCCCGCCATCCTGCGCAAGGTGGTGCACCGCGCTGATGGCGCAGGTCTGCAGTGCGCGTTGCACGCTATCGGCGACGCGGCCGTGCAGATGGCGCTCGATGCGCTGGAGTCGTGCTCTGCCGTCAACGGCGCCGGGTCTCGCGATCGCCGGCATCGTATCGAGCATCTGGAGCTCACGCGGCCGGGGGATGCGGCGCGGTTGGCTAAGCTGGGCATCACGGCGTCTGTACAGCCTGTGCATGCGGACCCTGCTATTCTCCGCGCGTGGCCGAAACTGCTCGGTGAGGAGAGGTGTCGTCGCGCGTTTGCGTACCGTGAGTTTGTGGATGAGGGGGCTAACCTGGCTATTGGGACGGATTCGCCGACTGCGCCGCATTGGCCGCTGAGGAATGTGTATACGGCTGTTACGAGGCGGTCGGCGAGGGAGCCGGATTCTCACGAGGTGGTGAATAAGGGGTTTGCGCTGGGGTTGATGCAGGCGGTTGGGGCTGCGACTGCTGGGTCGGCGTATTCGTGTTTTGCGGAGGCTGTGGTGGGGCGGTTGGGGGTGGGGATGAGGGCGGATTTTGTGGTGCTTGATATGGAGTGGGGAGAGGGGGGTTACTTGATGCTGTTGTGGAGGAGACGTGGTTTGGTGGGGGATGTGTTTATCGGAGGTCGTAGTGTTGAGGTTGGAGGTATGTTGTATAGTGTGTTGGATGTAGATTATTTTGGAGGGTATGGTGTCCTGGTAATTGTAGCTATGGTGTTCTTGCAATATGCTACTGGTAGATCATGATGTCCTTGTTTAGTCTGTTCTAACTGTCTATACTATAGTATACTACCAGTAGTATCCCCACTAAACCACCTATACAGAAGTATGTATATAAATCACAAATTAGCCCTATACTTCGCCCTCAAACTCCCACACACCTCCCTAAGCACACCCCCCAACCACTCGAAATCCTTCCTCTCAAGATAAACCTGCGCGCTCAACCGCACCCACAACCATCCCCCGTGCTCAAACACCGGCACAAACGTGCCGTACTTGTCTATCAGCGTATCTTGCATCCACTTCGTTACGGTGGGTGCCTCGTCTGCTTCAATCTTTACCCCCCTTACTCTGTCGTCACCATTGATACCAGCAGCAGCAGTACCACCATCACCTCCTCCGGAGACAGCAACAGCAACAGGCAACCTCACAGTCCCCATCCCACACGCCCTCACCAAACTCTCCTCTCCCCCCCTCAACCCTCTCTCCTGAAGCACATCTGTCCCCAACGCAGCAGCAACAACATCAGCGCCCTCACGCGCTAACCTCTCCAGATAAGCATAGATAGCATCCTCCCCCCCGCAGACATCCCTGCGGAAGCGCAGCGCAGCAGGCACACACAGGTACGGCGTGTCGTCTGCCGTAGCGACGAATTCGAAGAGCCGCTCGAAGGGCGTTTTCTCGTCGCCGTCGCTTTCGACCGGGGACGGCGCTGTAGTGGGTGAGGTTGGTCCGGGGATGAAGCCCCAGGAGGTGGGGAGGGTCGTGCGGATGAGGTGTTGGTTGTGGTGTGGGACGTGTAGGACGGCGCAGCTGCGGGGGACGTAGAGCCATCTTTATCATTATTCATTAGTAGCATTCATTAGTATGAAAGTACTTTTAGGGAGGGGGGGTTTGCATCCAAATATTGTAAGGAGAAAGAGGGACATACTTATGACAATTACTCGTAAAGAAATCCGGCTTCAGCGCCCCCAAATCCAACGGAATCATCCCCACCCCATGCGCCCCATCCACAATACTCAGTATCCCCTCCCGCCGACAAACACCCACCAACTTCTCAAACGGGAATCTGACACCGGGATTCGACACAACCGTATCAAACACGGCCGCCTTGACCTTTCCCCCCTCTTCTCTAACTTTCCCAACAACATCCTCAAACCCCTCCACCAGTTCCGCATGCCCAACCGGAAAGTTATACTCCACCCTCCGCAGCCCCAGCCCCGGCCGTCTCTCCGCCAACGAAACAAGCCCCTTCTCAACAGCGCCGTAGACAGTAGCGAAGTAAACGATGACGTCGCCCTCCCCGAGCGGCAGATTATGCAGGACCGTGTCAACACCCGTCGTGGCGTTCTTGACGAACACGCAGGTACTGGTCGGCACGTTGAGGTATTGGGCGATTTGGCGACGGGATTCGTCGAGCAGGGCGGGCTGCGTGCGCCGGATGAAGGGGTCGGTGCGGGATTCGGCGGCTGTTTGGTATTCGCGGAGGGTGTGTTGGAGGGTGCGGGGGTGGGTTCCGAAGGAGCCTGGTTGGGTTTTAGTATTTGGTCTTGTTAGGATTGGTGGGATTGGGATTGGGATTGGGATTGGGGGGGTTATATGGGAAGGGAGGAGGTGTGTATACCATGGTTGAGGTTCTTGTAGGCGGGGTCCATGAGGAAGTGTTTGCGCATGGGAGCGCCGAAGGGGGTGGGTGGGGGAGTGAGTGTGGGGGACATTTCTGTAGTTTTGGAACTAGTGCAGTGTTTAGAAAGTAGAATGGGGGTGTAGATGAGTAGATGAGTGTAGGGAATGGAATTTAAGTTGAATATGAAGTAAAGATGAAGGAAATGGAGTATGCGGAGAAAGTCACCCACAGGGCGTACGATAAGATAAGATACGATAAGTAACCACGTGATATGTCGATCATTGCTATACATCTGGATGCATCGTTCATGTTCAACTAATCGTACACATGCGCTCCTATGCCATCCCCTCTTCTGCCAGAATACATGAACTACCCCTCCTTATTCTAGAAGCCTACCGCTTCCCCTTCTTCCGAGGAGCAACCACCTTAAAGCTCGCACTGGCACTGTCCTCCTCGCGGTGCGCAGTCGACGACCCCTTCTTAGCCACCTCGCTCCATCCACCCGCGCTCTTCTCCGCAAGCACACTGGCCGCCACCGGGTCCACGATACCCTTGTCCGCCAGCTTGTGGCGCCGGATGAACTCCTCCGCAAATCGCCGGCCATCGAGCGTCTGCGAGTTGGCGTACACCGAGTCCGAGATGATCTCCGCTTCCGCCGGGAGCATCATCAGCTGCTGGACGAAGTCATCCACTGGAAGATGTTAGCTTGTCTCAGAGAATAATCAAATAGATAGATAGATAAATAAATAAACATACCGTTAATGTTACTGTTCAAACCCTTGGCCAAAGACAGCTTGGCCCACTTGGTGAATTCCTCAACTGCGCGGTTGGGATTGGCCGGAGGCGTGCTGACGGGGGCAACCCTGGGAGGGGCCACCACGGTCACCGGCTTGGGTTTCGCGGGCGAAGCCGCCGCCACGACCGGGGCAGGACCGCTGGGAGCTGCGCGAGGTCCGGACGGGGCGGCAAGAGGAGCCTTGGGCTTCCCGCCGGCACCGACGGTGGTCCACGCGCTTGTGCTGGGAGGCGTCGCGGCAGCGCCGGTGTTGACCGGGGACGGGGCGGCCACCCGGCTGGCCAGGTCGGCGTATCGCTTGCCGGTCGAGGAGGGCACGTTGGGAGGGCTGGCCGCGGCAGTCTGCGCCGCTGCGGCTGCGGCTGCGGCTGCCAGACGTTGCTTGCGAGCCTCCTCCTCCTTCTGGATCTGCGCCAGCGTCTTCTTGGCTGCGCCGCTGGAGGTGGTGGGCGCCTTGGTGCTACCCCACACCGAGCCACTAGCCGACGTCGGCGTCGCAGGCGATCCGCCGCTGGCCCAGTTCGCCGTCGAGGGGAGGCCGGGAGCTTGGGCGGCGGCCTGGCTGAGACGTTCCTGCTCCGCGAGCAGTTGCGCCCGACGCGCCGCAGCGGCCAGCTCTTCCTTCTGCGCGGCGCTGCGAGCCTCGGCCTCCTGGATCTCCTTCAGCGAGGGCCCCTTGGGCAGCTCATTGGCTTCCTTGGCCCAGGGCGCGATCGAGGTCGTGGGCGCCTCAACCGGAGTCTGAGTTTGGGATCGCGAGTTGGCGGCCAGAGACTCCGCCACATTCTGGCGGTTGCGCTGCGCCGCCGGCGCGGGAAGCGGCGACGCGGACGGTGGGGGAGGGAACGGCTGGGGCATGGCACTGTCCTTGGTGGCCCAAGCCGACTCGCCAGACGGCTGGGCCTGGGTCGGCTGGTGCTGCTGGGGCGGCTGCTGCTGCTGCTGCTCCTGTTGTTCCTGCTCGTGTGCCTCCTGCTGCTGCCGCTGGGCCGACGCGGCCTTCTGGACCTGCTGCGACAGGGTGAGAGCCGGCTCGGCACCCACGGGCCCCTGGTTCGCCTGCAGATGGGCCGACGCGTCGATATCGTCCGCGGTGAGCGCGTCCACTTCGTCTTCCGGCGAGAGCCCCGTGGCCGGATGAGTGGGCAGACCCTCCATCGTCCGGAGCCCAAAGTCGCCTTCCTGTGCGCGCAAGGCGTGGAACTGCCGCAGTCGCTCTTCGCGAGCCTGCTGGTCGAACAGGCTGTCCTCGTGCGTGCGGTCATACTGCTCCTGCTCCTGCTGCAGGCGAGCCCGGTCCTGGAGCATGCTGGCGACCTGTTGGGATTGGAACAGATTGTCGGGCTGCCGCGACGTAAAGGAGGCCGGGCTGCCGAAGGCAAACGGATCAGGACGGTTCACGTTCAGCCGGTCCAAGAGGGCCGGGAGTTGATCCTGGCTGCCACCCAACTCATTCCCAAGCATCCCCGGGCCAACCGGGGGCAAAGGGTTGTGCCGCGCCGCACCCGGGGCATCAAAAAAACCAGCGACCCCGTGCGGGGGCTGTTGCGGGGGCTGCTGCGGCGGCTGCGACTGGAGGGGACCCTGGATGGGGGAGGGCTGGAAGCCGACAGGAGAGGCGATGCTGCCGAAGCTGGGCTGGCTGTGGAGGCTATGCGCACTGGAGTGGTGCTGGAGCTGATGGGGGTGGATGGCGTGGGGGACACCGGGGAACTGCATCTGCTTCATCATGGCCTGTTGCTGTGCCAGGTGTTCCTTCTGCCGCGCCATCAGATACTGTTCCTCTTGCTTGCGGCGCTCCAACGCGTTCTGTTGCTCCGCCGTCAACGTCGTCCCGAAGCTAGGGAAACTGCCCGGGAACGGGGGCTGGGCGGTGCCGGTGGTGGCCGGGGTGTTGCCCCACGAGGGGCCTGCCTGGTTGGGATCGGGTCCGTGGGGGATTCCGATCTGAGGGACCAGGAACGGCTCGCGCGAGTTCCCGATGCGCCGCACCAGCTGCGCCAACGGCTCAAACTCGGGGTCTTCCAGCTTCTTGATCTGCAGATCCGGGCTGAAGAACCCGGCCTTGAACCAGTCGTGCATCTCGAGGCCCGTCCAGGGACCCTGGATGTTGCCCTGCGGATCCCGGTAGATCCAGCGCATGCGGTCCGGCATCACCATGGTCCGCTGCTGCGCGGGAGGGACCGAGCCAGCCTGGCCGGGGGTTTGACTGGTCGGGGGCACGTCCGGAAGCATGGAGCCCGGGCCCGAACCGACCGCGGACACTGGGGTCTGAGAGGTGGAGGTGGTGGTCGGCAGGTTGGCGGATCGGTCGGGCTGCGAGAAGTCGGTCGGCCGGCCGAGATCGTCCAGACCGCCCAGGTCGGCCCTGGCGTGGTCGCCTTGCATCTGCTCCTGCATCGCAGACGGGAAGAGCGAGCCGAGCTTGCTAGAACGGCCGATGCTCCCGGTGCCGGAGATGCCCGCGTGGGGACTGAACAGACCGCCACCGCCCAAGGTCGCCAGGCCGGGGGACTGGAGGTCACCCATCGACCCGAAGATAGGGTCGCCAAACCCACCGGCAAAGGCGGACCGGTCCTTGGTCGGGGTGCCCACGGCGCCGCTGCTGGACGGCCACCCCGACGGGTTCCCGAGGGAGAGCCCGCCGAGGCCACCCAGGCCCGAGAAGCCGGGGTTCCCCGCCGCACTCGAGGTCTGGCTGCGGTCAATCGACGGCAGGTCCACGCCCGAGCCCACACGGCGCATGGGGCCGAAGGCGTGGGACGGGTCCCGGATGCCCGACAGACCGGGATGGCTGGCCTGGATGTCGGACCCGTCCGTCTCCACCTCCTCCGCGTCGCCCCGGTCGCCCGAGGGGCTCTGGTAGGGGTTGGTGTTGGTCGGACTCGTCGGTTCGTGGCCGGGCAGGCTGGGCGTGGGGTTGCGCGAATTCTCCTGGCTCTGCATCAGCTCCCGGAATCCCGGAATGCTCGAGGTCATGCCAAAGGCCGAAAACCCCATGGGGTCCCCTGCACTCTGGGGCGGGGCCCCGACGTCCTGGGAGCCCCCGAGCGCCGCGCTGCCGCTGCGAGGCTCTTCCTCGGGGAAGGGATTGGTCTCGCTTCGTCCGGCGCGCGTCTTGATGGCCTCAGCCCACGGCGACTGGGCGCGCTTGTCGCTGGCGTCCCCTTCGACCAGCCGGTCGAGACTGCTGAGCGAGGGTTTCTCGCGGACCGCGGATGAGATGTCCTCGGCGCTCTCCTTCTGGAAGAGACCCTTCAGACGCGATTCCCCGCGAAGACTGCCAAATCCGGCCTTCTTCTCCGTCGTGGGCGATGGCGCGGCGCCGGATCCGAGCGAGAACGCACCGAACGCGCCCATGGGGGAGAAGTTGGCACTCTGGGAGGCCGACGGGCCCCACGGCGAGGTGGGACCGGCGGCCGCCGCCACGTGCAACGGGTTCGTCGAGCTGCGCTTGAGCGATCCGAACGGACTGGCCACGTCGGTGGACCCGTCGCGGCCGCCCGAGTGTTCCTTTTCCTTCTCCTCCCACCGCGCCGTGGACGAAGTATCGCGGAAGTCGGTCTTCCGACGGAGAAGCGACGGGGGCGGCGGGGCGGTGTTGGATTCGTCGCGGGTAAAGCGAGAGCCACCGGTGGTGGGGGACATGGGATTTGCACCCGATTCCCCCGTCTCCCGACGGCGAGGCCCTGGTCGAGCGGCATTCGGGGACGCGGTCGCCTGGTTGCTCTGGGACTGGGCGTAGGAGATGGAAGATTTCCGTCCTCCGGGGGCCACCGGCCCAGGGGTTTCCTTGGTCGCGTTGGTGGGGGGCGGCTTGAGGGGCGAGTTGACCGAAAGGGAAAACAACTGCATCACTTAGCACGAGTCGCGGTGGGTGGGGGAGGAGCAAGGAGAAAGCCCACCTCTCTCTCTTCACCGGTCATGCCCATCAGTCCCAACGGCTCCATCTGACCTCCATGCTCCCAACACACCTCGGGTCCGTTGAGAGTTTCTTTGGGATCTTCTCGCCGGCCCCAGGCGCCGTTGACGGTGGGGGACTCGACGTGCGGGTTCCAGTCGGCGACGAAGTACTCTGAGACGTTCTTACTCAACCCACCCAGCTCTCGCTGGGCTTTGTACAGACTAAGCAGCTGGTCCTTGGAATAGCGGGTGTCGGGGGCGGCGCCGTTACGGTGAGCGCTGGGGGTCATGTGTGGGGGAGTGTAGACGCCCGCCGACGGCGTGGTGGCCGACGGCGGTTGGCTGGTATCCCGGGTGTGAGAAAGGTTCGTAGCAACGGACGGGCGACGGAAGGTTTGTGTGGCGCCATTCATACGAGCTCGAGACCTGACCGACCAGAAGGAGGCAATCAGTATCCACGATGAAGGGTTTCACGATGATCCAAGGGGAAAGGAAGGACAGATATGACAAGAGATCTCTCGATCCATGCCAGATCGACGGAGGGGTGGTTTCCCAGCGTACCATTCTCCACCGGCGGTTCCATCACCTCTCCTAGCGGAGGGGTCCTGAACATTGCCAGCGGCGGCCGAAGCAAAACTTGAGGGAAGTGGTGTGGGCATTATGGTGGTCGAGAGATGAAGGTATGATGAAATCGGAGCGACCAGCAAAGGAGCTAAATTCGACGTAACGTCAGATCACGGGTCAGTTTGATTCGATTTGGATTCGGAGATGAAGTGATTCCTGATTGAAACCAACGATCTGGATTCAGGACAGAAAGCAGCAGTTTGACAGGGTTCTAGGTAGAGTAGACGAGGGGGGAAGAAGTGAAGAGAAGAGTGGGTGAAGGTTGTGTGTGAAGGACGGAAGCACCCACCTATTCTCCGGTTGGGAATTGATCGGGAGGATGATAAAAGCTTGTAGGAAGAGGAAAGGAATGGGACGAAGAGTATCGAAGTGGATGAAGGTCAAGAGAGGATAATTCAGAGGAGAAGATAGAGCCGAGAACGCTAGAGGATCCAGAGTCGAGAGATCAAGCAGAAGATCAGATCGAGAAGAAGAGAGAGAGAGAGAGAGAGAGAAGGAGAGCAAAGTCTGGAAAAATGAAATCGGCTTGCGGCGAATTTGGGGGCGGTGGCAGTACGCTCGATGACTGGGGGGTTTTATTTCCACGTTCATTGATTCCTTACCTGCGACCTTGCCTCGGTAAGTTACAATACAGATGTATGACCGCTGTTTGCATGAGGTTGGCATTGCCAGCCACCCACCGTGTGTCAGATTACCAGCTCATTACAATGGACGTACCCCGGCCACACAAAACCCACAACATCTGCAGCTCTTCAAGGGAGGATCTCGCAGTAGTGCAGCAGTTCGATTTCCTCAAACAGGGTCTTTTTTCACGGCGGATGTATCCAGCTGTTCCTATCCTACTATAGACACTGCAGATAGAGTTCGTTCGAAAGAAATCGTGCAGTGTCTTCCCCAGATGGTGCGTGGCTATAAACCACTTTCCTCCAGTGTTGTTTTCCACAGATCGATTTGGCCGCAAACGCTTCGTTTGTTTTCAACGTACACCAGTGGGATTCATAAATCAAGCAAGAAGGAAGAGATATAAGTGTGTCTTTTCTTTATCTATAGTCTTTATTTCTTTATATCTGAGCTATCTTTTTCCCCTTGTTTTTTTGTACCTAATGTGATCCTGGATATCCGTACTGCTGGGCTGCCATACATATACATGCATGCCAACCCCAGCCCCCACAACACCCCATACCTCAGGCATCCATCATCCAAGCCGCGTTTGATGCTCAGTGGTTTGATACTGGTTTGACCATGGGGCTCAATCCCCATCAATGAATCCATCAGAAGCTTCACATAATGGATGATTGATCACCGTCATCTATATATTCCCCGTAGAACTCATCATCATGGCTCAATCAATATACTCCTCCTACTTACATACTACAGCTTCAACTCACTCAACCATCCTCCATCTAACCAATAACAAAAAAGAAGAAAGAAGAAAAGATAGTTCAACATGGGCCTCTTCTGCAAACCCACTCGCAGAAGGACCACCCCCCTTCTCTACACTTGGTCCCGCCAACGCATATCCCCCCGACCAGACATCAGGGACCCCAACGTGGATGCCACCGCCGCCGCCGCTGCTCGCGTCTCCTACCGGGGTTCCTCGAGCTTTTCTCCCTCTCCCGGCGTGAGAGTCAGCGCGACGGCACGCGCAGAGCGACGTGGTGTGAGGGGAGAGCCTTCTCGTTACCGCGCTGAAGGTCTAGCGGAGACGTTCGACGGTGCAGGCCCTAGCTCGGGCTTGGGTTTGCGCTCGCACACGCGCCCTCCTCGACGACGTCGCGAACAGAAACTCTACGCTACGTCGGGGGTGGATGATGGCTGTAATGGGTGCGATGGGTGTTATTTGCCGGAACGGGGATTTGACCAAGAGGCCAAGGTCGCTTGCTGCGATGGCTGTTGTTCCCCCTCTTTCTCCACATCTGCCCCCTGCTACTGCTGCTATTCAGGGCGCCGCGGGGACTGGTGCCCTGATTGTGAGCAGGCTCCTAGCTATGATCGTGGTCGTATTGGGAGTCGACTAGATCGCTGCTGTGCTGCTGGGGTGGGCTGTTCCGGGGACGCTTGTGCCTACGAGGCCGGACTGGACTGTGCGGGTGGTTGTGATTGTTCGGCATGCTGATGTTGAGGTATTACATTTGTGCTGATAACGTATTAGAAGGGTCGGCGTTTGGTTATTTTAGATCTGTGCTTTTGGGTGGTGTTTTCCTTGTTGTAGTGTTTGACATGGTATGGGGAATAAATTGTAGCTCAAGACAGGGACCACCAGTTGCGTCATAGTGATCTGCCCCTGATAGTTCGCCCGTTTGGACCGAGGTTGGCTGCGTCTAGTGCTGTTTGCACCTCGCATTTAATGAATCCACGGTTGGGTTGCCAATATTTTGACAAAGCTGTATATATTATATTGCAGAAGAAAGAATACAACAATAAATGAGTGAGGGAGAGATATCGTAGAGGAAAGATGCTCAAGTCTTGTGATGATTACATTATGAAGCCGTCCATCCTCGGTTATCGATAAAGCTCCAGTTCTCCCCGCAAGAGAACAAAACACTTTCACCACTTCATCATACTTGTATATTTAAATCCACTGTACACGACACTCTAACAGCAGAGAACATATTACAAGAATCCCATAACAAAAGAAGAACCAAAATGTCCAAAGCCATCTTCCTCCAAAAAACAGACGGCAAACCCGGCCAAGTCTACTACCCGCTCTCCCTACAAACCCTCCCCCAGCCAACCCCCAAAGGCAACGAACTGCTCATCCGCATGACCGCGGCCGCCCTCAACCACCGCGATGTCTTCCTGCGCCAACACCTCTACCCCGGCATCACCTTCGACGTACCCATGGGCGCCGACGGCGTCGGCACCGTTGTCGGCGCCGGGCCCGCCGTCTCCAACCCGCAGCGCTGGCACGGCAAGCGCGTGATCATCAACCCAGGCGTCGGATGGCGCGACTCGCCCGACGGGCCTGAGGACCCCCGCGGATACCGCATCCTGGGCGGCACCAAGCTGTACAACAACGGCACTCTCCAGGACTACCTCGTCGTCGAGGAGACGGAGGTCGAGGAGGCCCCTGAGCATCTGTCGGATGCGGAGGCCGCTGCTTTCCCCTTGACCGGATTGACTGGGTGGAGGGCGCTGGTCGTTAAGGCTGGGGAGCGGAACTCGGGTAAGGGCGCTGCTGTCCTTCTTACGGGTATTGGCGGCGGTGTGGCGCTTATGGTGCTGCGTTTTGCGGTCGCGCGGGGGGCGGATGTCTATGTGACGAGCTCGAGTGAGGAGAAGATCCGGAAGGCGGTTGAGCTGGGGGCGCGCGGTGGCGTCAGTTATAAGGAGAAGGGCTGGGAGAAGAAGTTGTTGGGCATGTTGCCGCAGGGGAAGAAAAACTTTGATGCGGTGATTGATGGTGCAGGTGGGGATGCCGTGGAGAAGTCGGTCAAGTTGCTGAAGGTGAGTCTATTCTCTTATTGATACTTTTTCAAGAAGAGGAAGGTGAAAAAAGAAACTAATGCTGATAATAACCAGGCCGGCGGCGTCCTCTCCGTCTACGGCATGACCGTCTCTCCCAAAATGCCGTTCCTGATGCAGGCCGTCCTGAAGAACATCGACGTGCGCGGCTCGACCATGGGCTCGCGCAAGGAGTTTAAGGAGATGGTCGAGTTCGTGCGCGCCCACAAAATCCATCCTGTCGTCGATCGCGTGGTGCGGTCCGATCTCAGCGACATTGCGGGCCTCGACGGCCTCTTCCAGGATATGAAGGACGGTAAGCAGTTTGGGAAGTTGGTGATGGAGTTTGGCAAGTCGTCGGCTAGTAAGCTTTGATTTGCGTGTATATAATTGTTTGGTTTGGTTTACGTGTGCCAGGATAGATTACTTGGTTTGGATGTGGTTGTGAGAAATGTTAATGCTGGTCATATAGAGCGTTTAGTGTCTAGCTGGCCTATGTATTTACTCATTTGAATGATGAACGAGGCGGTTGATGGAAAACTTATCAGTACATCCCTTTCCTGATGACATGCAAAGTAACTTCACTAGCCAACAAGGTACCAACACCGCGACTCTCAGAAATATGAACCGAACAACTCCATTCCCAATTGCATCAACATACCCATTCGAATCAACGTACCCTAACAACCTAAACCAAAAGAAAGAAAGAGCAAAAAACGCTCTCTCCTCCCCCTCCCCCGAGTAGCCCCTTCCAATGAACACAGTACCCCAACTCCAGCCATCATCCATCCTCTGACCTTCCCAACCTCAGTATTCCAGTCAGTGTCTCTTAGCGTACAGCATTACTTTGCAGTCGCATAGTCAATCCATTCATCAACAGTAGAACTTATCATATTCTCTTCTCAAGCCAGCCATGGCCGATATCGTGCAGATGTACGGGCCGGGAATGTCTTTCTACCGCGTTGGGGAAACACCATTGCAAGATAAACCAGCAGCAAAGCCATCGGAGTCCGCCCTAAGGGTACGTCAATCCATCCAATAAATCAACAAGCATAACCACCCAGTCAAACCGAACCATATAGGACCCAAACCCGATGATACTAATACTAACCATCGCAGACCTACAACGCCAGCCTCGATGCCCTCCACACCAGCAACCAAAACCTAGAGCACAAGATGCTCAAGATCCGCACCGGGACCCTCCGCCTCAGCCTCGACCTGATCCAGCTCGAGCAGCGCATGCATTCACTCCCCAGCGACATGCTCATCACCTGGCAAGCGAACGTCCTCACGCGCCTCATCGAGGTCATCTACGAGCGGAAGCGGTGGAAGCTGCCTGGGGCCATCACCGTCGGGGATCGCGAGCATTTGGCGCGCGAGGACCTCAACCGGGTGTATAGCGTTGCGGCGAGGAAGGTGCGCAAGGAGGTGCTGAAGCTGTTTGGGCTGTCGGTGGAGTATCTTCAGGCGCTGCAGAAGTATGATGAGGTTTGTTTTCACAGTTATGTCTGGTGTGGGTTGGAGGGGAGTTCAAGCTGACTGGGGTATAGGTGGTGCAGTTTCGCAGCGAGAGCCCGTTTCAGACGGAGTGTGCGTTTGCGGTGTGGATGGTGTCGGAAAAGGAGAATCATAGCAATTTGTGTCGGTTTTGGGGCAGGTTGTATCCACTTTGTTATGGGCGGACGGTGGAGGAGAGTTCGGTTGTTTTTTGATGGCTCTGTTGGTTTTATTAATTATATCTGGTGTCTATGGTTTAGGACTAGGGATCAGCTTGCTCAGTGCGGGTTCTTTTAGGGCTATGAGACAGGCTCATCCACGCTGCATATCATGCCTATTGTTAGTCTTTGTATTATGAGACTCTGATCATCATAGTAAAACGGTACAACTGATTACCAAATACATTTAACCACAGGGTCAGTATAGCAGTAAGTAAAACAATATTAACTTACCCGACACAAATAAATCAAGTGATATCAAGCAGCGACACTCCACCAGTTCACTCTATCACTTCATTGAAGCAGTCTCCATGACAGCTTCATTACGTAGTACATCAATCACTGCAGCCCAAGCCACATCACCAAGCCACTACACAATGCCCGACTATGTAGAAGTTGGAGCCGTTGTGTAGGTAGCCTGTTCTACCGATTCTCTTCCTCCTTTCTCCTTATTACACAGTACACAGATCTACTTACGAAGCTCAAAACTGCAGATTCTCGAGATAAATTTAAGTCGGACAGACGAGCCGGGGCACCTATCTTCGATCTTTGCCAGCATGCCATCTACCAATGTCCTCTGGCTGTTATAGACCATGCACCGAAATAGAGATTGGTCACGAAGTGGGCCACATGCGTGTATGACATTCTAACCGATATGGCCTTCGCCGTGTCGGTATCAGACTTATGGACGGCAGTCGTTACTCTAGTCAGTCCCGAAAAGCATCCTATAGTGCCGGCCGTAAGGTGAGGCGAGAGTTTGGGCAACACTTCACACAGGCGGGCAAACTCAGAGCCCAACATACAACTTTGCGTTTAGGAAAGCCGAGTCGGGCGATTTTCTGATTGGTAAATATCTGCTGGGAAAGATAGTGCCCAAACTAGGTGCTACTATCGACCACTTTGAAAACCCGGACTGGTACATTGGACACTACCAACAATTCTGGACCATGTGAGTGGTATAAGCTACCAGCCTCGCGTGCAGGTCTGGAGGGCTGTCTCACATCGTGTCTATGATTGACAGAAGAAGATGACGGTGGAATCTGCATGAGGTCCTGGATCGAGAAGATGCGATGATACCCTGACGCTATCCAGTATTGAGGAGCGCTTTGGACTTCTCGAGATGATATGACACGTCCAAGAGAATTCTCCCACATATTGACATCAATAATGGACATCACTGCAAAGCTAGGTCTACGGTCTCAATCAAGGATTGTCCGGGAATTACGTGGCTGTCGCCGTGACAGTGTCCTACTCAGCATATGGGGGCTCTTATATTCCTAGGCGGCTGTCCAAGCCATTCTGGCTTCATTCGAGGAGCACTGCGCCGGGGTTATCCCTCTTGAAGATCAACTTCGTGAGTGGACTGAAGCAGCTGGAAGAACGGATCCTGTCACGTCAACATCAATCTCGGTAGGAGACCTAGTCTTGCTGCGTCAGTACAATTTGGAAAAGGACCAGAGCCAAAAGCTGGGAGCACGATAATCAGATCCGCATCACGTCACGAAAGTTCACCCACACAAGTGATCAGTACATCTGGAAGAACCGGCGTCAGGCGTATCTGTCAGGAAGCATCACATTAATCACATTCGCCTGTTCCAATCACGCACTGGGGATTCAGAGACTGAGACCCAAGAATTATCAAACCAGCTGCGGGAGCAAAGGTACAAGGCGAATCCTCTGTTAAAAGAGCTGCGAAGAGCGAAGCGACAACCACCAGTATCCCCATTACCAATCATCGGCGGCGATGCCATCTAGAACCAACAGCGGGAAGGATATAAGATCGACCTGAAGCGCATGGTTCAAATATAGGATTTAGCATTCGGAGCGTTTGACATGTATCCATCGTTATTGTTCTTGCATATCAAGAACTGCGAAGCTTCGAAATCCCTGTAGCGGCAGAATGGAAAGCAGTGAGAAGGAACGGCCAAATGGCCCTTCGGGTGGCAGGTCCTCCATTCTCTAGTCAACTATCTCTACCACTAGCTGCAGCCAAGTGGAAAATCATTATTACATCAGTTTTAGAGCCTTTATCATCAAAAATCATCAGTTTTATCATCTCTATTCGCTTTACAATCCCTGCTCCGCTTTGACCCTTTTTATCAGTCTTCACATTCACGCTGGTTGGAGAAGTGGTCACCATGCTAGTCGCTGGGAAGTCACATGTTAACGTGGTTTTCTTCCAGCACATACAGAGCATTATTGGAAATGTCTGGATATGACTGGTGATGGTAGAGCTCTGCTGGTGCTGGAATGATTTCATCACGATGTAAAATCTACTTCATGGTGTTTGATCAGCGTGGAGGTTGGATTTGGTTTGCGAAGACCCTGAGAGTCTCCAAGGTCAAGGCTGCTTAGGCCTGACAATTTGCATGGCCGATAGACAAGCAGTTCTCACAACTGTAACACATGACTTTGCTAGAAATCCCCAACGGTCTGGCATGACGATGGTGTTTTCCGAGTGGATCCTGAGAATACACTTCCACTGTCCACGACCTCGACCTGACAGTTGCGCAATTAGTGCCATACGAAGTTCAAACAAGGATTCTTCGGTTGGAAAAGGGGTTTGGCTGGTGATGAAGAAGCAGAGGGTAAGTCTCTTTCCTTTTTCCCGTGCTTACTGCTAAGGACTCCGACTTATTTGTCCAGATCGGTCTTACCTCCCATACGTTTGACGATCGCCAGTTGGGGGTTTGATTCTAGCAGTAATGGCTTCTTCTGACATGCAATGTCTAACTATTACAATTGCTTGTGCAGCGAATACTAGATAGAATCACTGGTGTCTGGACAAGATTTCAAGGGCATAATATACATCAAGGTGTGTACATAATTGATCACTCTACGATTGACACCTGCTGGAGACAAACTTCGTGGTCGCACCCATAATTTAGACATTATTCTATATATATATCTCAAGGCTAATGCCTATACCTTGAGAAACACATCCCGGTTCTCCTTCCCAACACCTAATAGTAATAACGCATTGCTGAAGCATCATTACCCCAAGACTGAAAAGGACAGAAAGGAGCTAAGCTAGAATAATCTATTATCAATATCCATTGCTCCAACGCCTTATGTTTATGATAATCATACGATATAGATATGAAAACAGAAAAAAAATAATTAACCAGGATCCGGGTGGGCCATCTATATATAATGGTGTGGGTGACCCATGAATCTTTTATATATATCACCAATGAACCAGTCTCCAAAACATCCATTAGGTCATGAAGCAAACACAATATATATCTCCTACAGTGTACGATGCAATTCCTACAACAGCTATATCCAAACCACTCCATGCCATAAATCATGTACTTCCATATATCCGAGCAAACAGACCGATAGACAGACAGCCTGCGTCTGACGTCACGTTGATTTAATTCACATCCTGCCCATCCACGCTGTACTGGCCTATTTTACTTTCTTGTCTTTTTTTCTTGAGGCTAGTCAGGCTAGACCGGTTGCGTTATGTATATCGCCATTCTTACTGTTGCTGATCACTTTCAAGAAGAAGCAGTCCGCTTGCTTGCCGACTGATGGCGCCATAACATCGCAGTGTTGCGATCTCTAGAGAATGGGCTAGGACAGGGTTCTCATCTTATTTGTTTTATTTTCATAATTCCACGATAGTATATACCCCTCAGGATAATAGAAGCAAAGAAGCCATCCGACACCGACCAACCAAGAAACCCAAGAGATGATCGACAAGCGACACGCAGCAAAAGGCCCAGATCGACCCGATGCACAGCATCGTTGCATACCACATAGCAACATCTGCCAACTTGATTAGTCCCCTGTTGATGATAGATGATACAACGTCGTTGATACGTTCGTATCTGCAGCGCAGCAGCAGCAGCAGCAACAGCACAAGCAAAGCTGAGCGATCGGCGCGGTGACGCGGAGCCGGTTCAGCTATACTATACCTAGATAGTGACTAGCGACGACGATCGAGCAGTGCCCTTCCCAGGACCCCCGTCAAACTGAATAGATTTCGGGAACAAAACAGAATATCATTGGAGAAGGAAGCGGAAGGGGGAAGGGGGCGGAGGAGATTGCCGTGTGCTGCGGCCTTGGTCGATTAGGTAGGTAGCTTGAGATGGTGAGACAGTTGTCGTTTTCGATACATTGCTTGATTGATTGCTGCGGCGTGGCCCCAGGGTTGGGTTTAGTTTAGCGTGGGCTGTCTTGGATTGATTTTCTGGGGGCGATCAATAGCGGAGTCGGTCGTTGGATTTTATGGTACAATTGTACGTAGAGACGGGTTACTCTAACGGTCTTTATCTCGTAATCTGAGTATGACGATTGGAGACATGGATCTATAGTACCTCGATGGGATCAAATGTACAACACCTAGTGGCATCCCAGCATGTGAATCGACCAGAGAAAGTACCAAATCAATAAAACAAAAAAGAAACAACCAGGATGCGTCCAGGAAGCCCAGGATGAACGAAACAGCGACAAGTCTCCATCGGCGATAGTAAACTGATCGACAACCGCCCAATCTCCCAATCCCATCCCCCTCCCCCAGCCCCCAAAACGTGCCGATCAGAACGGGGCAAGGAGTGGGGGGTTGTAGGACCTTGTTAATAAGTATTCTGGAAGTATATCGCATTCGAACCAATAGAGTCATAGTCTGGATAGCACATGTCAGTACCTCTGTCTGTACGGAGTACTTTTGAGAAGTACTGTAGACGGAGACAACGCCCTGTTATTATCGTGGGGGAGGGATCACATCCTTCCTGCGGGCCGTATGTTTTTCGTGCATAGCCTGCCTATCTATCTTCCTGTCCTGCTTTCTCTGTGCATACGGTGTGGTGCAATGCGATGCGATGCGCTGCGCTGTAACAGAAGGCAGGTAGGCAGGCAGGTAGACAATGGACAAGTCACACAATCTGCTTCGGAGTAATCTCACATGGTCACGTTCGAGATTAAAGATTGCGCACTGTGGGCGGAGGGCGTTGAGACCCTGCGAGGGTTGTTTAATTAAAATTTATTCTTCATTCATTCATTAAACAACGGATTAAATTTTAGATTGATTTGATTTCTTGCATGTTCTTATTTGAAAGCTATATTCTACCAAAATTTCTATCGAATCCCTTGTGTGGACGCGATATGCAAGGGGTAGTTTCTTAATCTTAACCGATAAATTGCCTCGAGCGTTAAGCTAGATAGGCAGCAAGGTTTATCTCATTCAATGAATGCTCGACACACACAGTCCGGACTTAATCCAACGAGAGAATACCTCCAATTGCAAGATCAGTAACCAAAACAATGAGCCAAGCGAGAGACCTCGGTCCATCCATCCAGAGGCGAAACGCAGACAGATGCACAAAGTAGGTACCCGAATCTATGTACAGTATGTACTCCGTCTGCCCTCCGCACGTCCCGGAGAATTGACCTCGTCGTTCGGAATCCCCTGCCGGATAATCACCTCCTGGCTGCCTGTCTACCTAGCCCAGGCTAACCTTCGGAACGAGCGACTCCGGTGGATAGCCCATGCCTGGTTTCATTTCTTCTCGCCGCTGAAAAACGTGGGTGCCAGCTAGCCGTTCCTACCTGGTACATAGTTAGTTACCTACGGAGTACTCCGTACATCGTTAACCACTACCTCGCCAACCCCACCCACTACCCACACGTGGATAACCATCATACCATCTACCATAAATCAATCCACGATCATGAATTGAGTAATGGATCAATGCATAAATAATATATATCCACCGCGGAATTCCTCCGAACGGCTCGTCACGGAGCAAACTCCAAAATCATGGTAACTAACCGACCGATTCAGCTGGACATCTCCGTGACCTAAACCGGATCGAGTAGCCGATACCTTCGGGAATGATCATGCTCATGGGATCCATAATTCCACAGTTCCATCGACAATCCACTTCGCTAACTAGAGCTCTTAGTGCTGGACCGGGGGTTAGAGGTTAATGGTCTGAACTAGACCGGAATGGGATTAATGGGGATTTTTTTTTACCCTGGCGTCGGGCGAGGGAAGGAAAATCAAGGCCTGTCTGGTCTTGACGACGGTGGCGAGGGCGAATTGGTTTGTTAGGGCCCACGGGGTCACGGGTGTCGGGTAGATTTCCTTCCCGAGCATTCGCCGATCTGAGCTTTTCTATAGTACAATATCTTCTAGGACACTAGTTGGATGGGTAACTAATAGTTACTTTATAAAAAAGAGGAGAAAATGGAGAAAATGGGAGAAAAGAAAGGAGGTGACTACCCAGAATTGATTATCGAATATTGTTGAAGAACTCCAAACCAAACCCCTGCCCAGTTGGGATAAAAACGTGGTACAACTAGGTACAGTCCAGGAGGTCAATCCGGTCCAGGACAAACGGCCGAACGGCCAACTCGAAATCATCGGGCGATGCCAGCTGAATCGGACAGACTAGGCCAAGCAGTCTGTCAACTCCGCCACCCTTAGTATATACTACGTATCTACTACGTTACTCTTACTATGAAGAGACTAGAAAAACTTGCTGATCATGTAGGGTCGGTCCTGCAACCGATCGTTTACCTCGTCTACGAAGAAGAGTCTAGTATCTACGGAGTACTCCGGACTATGGAAACTACCTAATATAGTGGACCTCGGCCTTCCGATCTTGAACCTACTTCTTGACTCGGTGTAAAGAAGTAGAAAGAAGACGAGAGAAAATAATAATAATAATAATCCTACCAAACCATACACCTGGAAATACTACCATAATCCATTGTTGAAGCATGGAAGCAGGAAGCTGAAGAGTGGGGTATCGCTCTTCCTTCACCCTCCCTTGATTCGGGCATAGGTTGATCATTGGTCCCTGCCCATGAGTATCCTCCAGATGGAGACGGTGGACTCTGGACTGGACTGGAGTCCACCATCCATCCATCCCGCAAAGTAGACCAGATTACCTAACTGCTGCGAGGGAGGTTGATCGGATCCTATCCTGTCCTGTCGCTCCCGCAAGGATCAGCGCCCTGCTTTACCTTTTTCTTCGGTGTTGGATCCTTGCTATGTTTTGTTTTGATTATATGTTTTTTTTTTTTTTTTTCAAGTCGGTCATCATGATCACATAGTTAGCAAGCATCAATAATGTTGAACAATAGTAAGAGAAAGAAGTGGCAATTGTTTGCTTCCGAATAGAATGACTTCATCAGTAGCAATGTCTAGCCCTACTATTATCACTCTTGTATATACCCTGTGCCACCGCATCATAGTCCCAGACCTACCAGACCCATCCCTGTCCTCCCAACTTGTGGGTTGCATGATTTAAAAATAAATAATTCGAGCAACACACACACAAACACACACACACACACACACACACACACACACAGCGAACGAGGCCACCACTCCATAGCTAACTACTAGCTCGTGTTGGAAAAAAAAAAAGGTGTGGTGACAGTGCAGAGTGACCCTAAGTCTACTACCACCTGACGGGAACCCCCAGGTTACTGTAGGCCCGGCAATGCATCTCATTGTATCGCGACGAATCACAAGACGCTTCCACCCCCCCTCTATCCTCTGGATGGATTCAACGAATCCAAAATGGTTTTCGACGATGGGATTCGGAAGGTAGGTAGGTAGGTAGGTAGGTCAGTGTCAGTGAGGGGTTTCTCTCCACCCCTGTACCTGGTTCTGGCCAATGAGGGCCGGATGGCCTTGCATATGGATAGCCAATGCTGGACCCGGCTATGTTTAGCAATGTTAGATCGCCCGCTATGGAGGTCTAGGAAGTAGGTACTAGGTGGGTAGGAGCCTGGGAGGGACGATTGGTGCGGCACGAGTGATGTGCCCATGTCCGGACTTCAGAGTATAGTCTGATTTCTCCAAATTATCCCCGGTACCACGGACAAGGCCACGAGCAGCTAGCAGTTGTTCAACTGCCGAATATCAACCTACCACTACACCCTTACCTCAGCTGGCCTAGGTAGGTCCCAATGCGAGGGGGCCATCTCAGCCGAGGTATCTGATTGGGCCCATAGTGGAGGGAACATGGCTGGTAGGTCAGAAGTCCACCGGTAAGAAGGCCGAGCATCCGTCTTCCCTGCGATACGGAGGCCACCGGTTGGTTGGATTCGACCGTGGGTTCTTCCCGAGGCCCAGCACAGCACAGCGCACTGCAGCGCGGAGTGCATCTGGTCTATTCTGTGGCCGGTTGGGACGGACGGGACGCCGATACTCGTGTTGGGATCGTATTTGGGCGGCGTCCAGCATGAGAAAGGGAATAAACTTTCTTGCTAACCCGGCTGTTATTGCCTGGATTAGATGGCAGAGATGTTGATATTTCTCTTCTTCTTCAACTTCTTCTTCTTCTTCTTCTTCTTCTGATTTTGGTTTTATGTTGTTTTGTTTGATTTTGTGTGTTTTATGTAGTGTAAATTTTATATATATTATATATTAAATTTTCTGTCCACATCCCAATGGGAAAGAAATACGCCAGAAAGTGGATAAAATGGAGTGGAATACTCAGTACCCACCGTCGCTCACCCAAGCCAAGATGCGGTTGTGGTTTCCTTAGATCGCCGTGGGTCGAAGGTAGTCTTCTGTCAATCATCAATGTCAAGCTAGTTAGAGCCATCCATCATCCACCCATCATCCATCCCTGTCGTAAGGTCTCTGGAAGAGCGACAAAGGAAACCGTTGCTTGTCGGGCAAGGGTTTCTGACAGCCCGTATGATGTATCAACGTCCGATCGCAAGAATGACCTCACGGAACATCCACATTCCAGAGCGCCTTCTGGAAATCAGTCCCAACCAGTAGAGGAGAGCTCAGGCCCCTCTCTCTCTATTCACGACACGAGATGGGTGGAACTGCTGAAGGCTGGGTTGGAAGTGGAGGCTGGAGACAGAGTTTACCTGACCTTACCTTCCCCCCGTAGTTGACACGGAGCAGACACTAAAGAGGGTTAAGGCCCTTGGGGAAACAAAGGAGAGCGCAGAAGTTTCTTCCTCAGGATGCCAAAAATAAGAATCAGGCAGACATGATTATGACCTGATGGGGATTAGTGTCGGCCGGGTTTGGGAAAGGGAGTGGAGACCATAACAAAAGAAAATACAGAGGGAAAAAAGTAATAGTAGAATATTGACAGAATCATGGGCTTATCATATCATAACACGGGTATTATTCATTTGGTATATCCAGGATTGGAGCTTGATATCCTAATATGTCACGGCTTAACTGTGCTGGTTCATGTTATCTGTTCATGATTGATGTTTTCCATCTTCCGGCCTCAGGCTCCAAGCTCGACTGGCCGGCAGCTCGGGCCAGCGCTAGAACGGCACCTTTGATCCGGACTGACAGTCGGACCTTGAGGTACGGAGTACTTCGCTTCCCCACTAGTCAAGTAAGTAGTGCCAGACTCCAAGCAGGGCTACTGTGACTTGAACATAGTACTCCGTACTTCCTAGGTAGTAGGTACAGTACCTCCGGCGGGACCCCTCTGTCATCCATTCCTAGAGTCTGGAGTTAGTACCCTTTTACAATCCGATTGGTGCTTAACCCCGTGGGTCGAAGCGAATCATGCACCGTGGCTGCGGCATGGATGGAAAAAGAAAAGAAAAAAAAAAAAAAATAGGAAAACAAGAAAAAGACCTGCACCTTTTGGGTAGAATCCCTGGGGGAGGGGGAGGGAAGAGAGGCTGTGCAATGGATTTTTTATTTTATTTTATTATATGTTTTTTTTTGCCCATGCTACCGCAAGTACATTCTTGTCCTGGACCGGGATGTTGACATATTCCGGAGTGACATGGAACGGACCTTCGTCAAGCACGAGTCCCCTAATCGGGTAATACTCTGTCAACTGGGCTCAGCTACTGTGGTCAGTGGTAAGGAGGTTGGTCAGGTCATGGTCTGAGGACAGATTTGTCTGGACCTTATTCATGAGGATTATTTTTATCATGTTTATTATTGTTGTTGTTGTTGTTATTATTATATTGTTATCGGTGGATGCTGGCGTACCGATAGGGAATAGGACCCTACCTATTTGGCTATAGTGCCAGTCTATTGCACAAGTCACCTGCTTGGTTTGAGGACCCGAGCATGGAAAGATGGAAAATGGAAAATGGAAAATGGAAGATGGAAGATGGAAAAGGGCAAGGAGAGATTCCAGGAAGGAAAAGAACCAAATGGAAGGGAGAAAAGCCCTGAATAGGACTGGACTGAGGGTGCAGTGGTTGATGAAGACCAAAATAGCCCATCCATGGCCAGCTTCCATTGGGCCAGGGTTATTTTTACCGCAACCACGAAGAATCAAGGCGACCAGCAGGTCATCCCAGTGGTTGAGTGGGAGAATGTTCATGTCATGTCAAACCACAGTCCAACCATCTTTCCTTCTCTCCCTCTGTCTGGCTCTCTGCAGCCTTGATTTTCTATTCTATTCTATTTTATTTCTGAATTATTTCCATGCGAGGATCCACCTAGTTCAAGCGGCGTCGACCGCCCGAATGATGTCTGCTTCATCTTTTGCTTCCAGACTGTCACCTGTTCCTATTCCCACTTGGGTTTAGCCGGTGGATGGAAATAACCCATTCCATTATTGGTGGCCATTATCATCCAGCTTTCTTATTTTTATTTTTATTTTTATTTTTCTTATAGGAGTGACGCTATTATTTCAATGTTTGGTTCTCTCCATAGTCAAAACAACCGATCGCTCCTAAGTAATCCCTCCACTTTTTTTTTTTTTTTTTGCCTCCCATGGTTTTTATCAGAGGGAGATATTTTCCCACCCTCCAAGTTTATCCATGGGAAAGGTAAACTACGGTGAAGTGTTGAAAGAAAATAAACGAGGCCAACAATGAGACTAAGACTAAGAATATCTAGTGACTTGACCGGGCTTGAAAGAAATAATAAAAATACATAAATCAATAATGAAGAAAAAAAGGTTCCAAGGACAGGTCAGTAACGGTTGAGATGTGGAGGATGACCATGACCATCTACAAGCGGATCAATCGAAGCACTAACCAACCATTGTTCCTCCATCAGGGCTCCATCTGTCAAGGTGTGGAAATCGGGGGAACTTGGATCGATTGGTCGAAGCGCATGGATGATAAACTCGACAATCGTTCATTTCAATACTAACAAATACTAAAAGAAAGATAGTAACAGAAGGTAGTATCATAGTATGCCCAGGTATAATCACCTGCCATGTACCTGTGTAGGTCAGAGACTTCCTCAGGTATCTACCTTGATGACAATAGCAGACCCTGTGTAATGTGCATGAGCATGTCCCTGTTTTCCATTTCCATTTGTATTCTGGATGGACCACTAGACGTGAACTAACCTCTTCCTACCTACTGCCTTCTAGCAAGAAGACTCGATTCATGCCTCTTGTATCCCCGCCACACTAGGCCAGACATCTCCTCGGCCTTAGTGCTGAGAGTAAGGAATAATAATAATCGGAATTATAATAATGGGAATAATATATCTCTCGTCATCCAGATAACTCTTGGGTACTTTTTCTTTCATATTTTTTTTCCTTCCTATTTCTTCCATATTATTTTTGATTTTCCTTTCCTCTATTCCATTTCTTTTTTTAAATCCTTCTCTTTCCCGACCAACGTGATCACCACGCCTTACCTACTTACTCCTCCGTCTACTACTTCTACTTACTCACTTCTACTTCTGCTCTCCCCTCCCCTCCTCTCCCCTCCTCTCCCCCCTCCTCTGATCTGACACCTCGTTTGGTATGGCATCTGAAATCATACAATAATTTTTATTTCCCCCTCTTTTCCCTTTTTTTCTTCTACCATACACTCGCTCATCTGACGTTTGGCCTCACACTCGCTTTGTCTTGGCTTTGACGGTTTACGTTCGCTACGGTTGATCAAGTTTGAGACCCTGGAATTACTAAAGAGTAAACTTGATTATTTAATTTCTTGAAAAAAAAGGAAGAAAGAAAAGAGGAAAGTAACGAAAATTGGATACGATAAAATTGATCGTCCAACCCTTTGATACTCACGGAGATCTTTACGTTCGTTGATCCTTCGACATACCTTCGTTATTGTTTTGTCGTGATATCGATCCTGCACCAATCCGACAAGAAGAAATTCGACCATCGCAGATCAACCTCGAAGAAGGGAAGCGTACGAGTTTCCCGAGAAGATCGTTCCGATCGAATTCCCCCCTGTGGAGTTGTCGTTTGTCGGGTCTGATACGGCGACTTGTAGAAAGGTCCCCGCAAATCTCGTTTGCCCAACGGGAAGTCCACTTTCACATCTCAACCACGACCGTCCGGAAAGTAAAGAAAGGACGCCAGTCTGATAATTCCCTCGCATCTCGTCTCCCTCTCCGCCCCATCCCCTATCAGCAAGTGGACCCTCCAGCCAATATCTCTGCCAATTTGGGGATATCATCCAATTTGGTCGGACCTGGACCCTGAACATCGTGGATCATTGTCTCGGCTGCGCACACCACTTCATTTCACGTCTTGAACCAGGACCCTGGGAGGAACGGGAATCGTCTAGATCAGCTGGACTTATTGGCTAGCCAAGGTGAGCATGATTCTCCCTTTCGCCACATCTCCTGCGATGCCTTGCATCGGCGCCCTTCTTGTCCCCTGTGCGCTGCCCTCCTTGCATTGCCTGGGTCGTGCCTCTGGTGCGCAAACCACCCAGGGAAATTAGGGAAATTAGGGCCCACGATGGACCCCATGCGCTTGTCATTTCCCCCTGTGGTCATCGCCATCGGAGATTGAGTGTTTGTTGTTGACATTGTCATGGCGTAGGTGCTGTCGTCAGTCGTTTATTTGCCCGCGCATTTTGCATATTAGCCCCCCCCCGGAGGCCTCAGCAACGGAATTAGGATCTTTAATTTCCTTCATCTGCCGTCCTTTTTCTTCTCCGTCTCCTGCTCCTTCTCCTTCGTGGGTAAGCCTTGCGCTCTTCTGCAACCAACCGTCCGCTTTCTTCACTTTGGGAGGGTCGTGCTGACGAGTTGTATAGCCCATCGCTTGACTGCTTCAGCTTTCCGGGGCTAGTTGTCAGCGAATCCTTATTGATCTTGGACCAGAGACAACGGAGTTCGCCTGTCTCTCTTCCCGTCGGATCAACTCACTGCGGAGGCTTGAGACCTTCATCCGGGTATTGGGCATTGTACCGTCCGGCCTGTCCTCCGATTGGAAGCAGACGAGATCGTCTGGACGTGGACGCGGTTCCCCGATAGGTGGTTCTTTTCTTTTTTTTCTACTCTCGTAGCAGCTCCCGGCAGCGTGGCGTGCCTGTTGGTCCTATTCTGCACCTAGCCATCCACGGTCTCAGTATTCCTTGTGGAAAGCTGCTCGTTCATTCGAAGCCCGTTCTGGCGGTCCTTTGTTACGCCTGAAATCCGCTTCGTGTCGTCGCTCGTTTTTGTCTCGGAGTGCAGTTTGCTCGCCCTCCGACGTCCAGTCGTTTTCCCAGAATAAATTCGCTGTCACTCGCTTCTTTCGGCTGTTGTTTTTCGTTGCAGTTGCTGCAACACCTTCAAACTGGCTTACTCGAAGGAACACGGTGTTTTGGTACGTCCACGCTCGTTGTCTTGTCTCTCCCCTGATACCCGACGGTTCCTCTTCTCGTTCTCTTGCCTACCACACTGCCCGTTGCGTTTGGAATCGGTGATTCAATTCCTGTCTCGCGGAGGCGATCCCAGACCCTATCCTCTGAACCAGTGAACCAGAATCCGACGACCCCTTGCTGACACGTCGACTTGATAGTTCGATCCCGAATTTCAAACGCCGGTAATCTTAGGGGATTCTTTCGACTTCTCCGACCCTGAAGAGTCGCAATACATCGGTGCGCTGTCAGACGGCCTGCTGGCCAAGTCTGAACCCATCCTGTCCATGTCTACTTTCCAAAAACCCCCACAGACGGCCTTTCTTGGTAAGTGTTTTGCCCCAGGAAGTCTCGGGTCCAACGAGGCTGATTTCCTCCGAGACAGCCGGATGGGTGCTAATGAGTCTCGCGTAGACTACGACTCCGCTCGATCATTGCAGGATGGTGCTTCTTATTCCAGCTACGGCCAGGGATCCTATGTAACGCCTGCGCCGATGGTCCCGTCACCGATGGCCGACCAGGCCAGCCAGATCTCCGACTGTGTCCCGTACATGGGAAACCCGGACTACGCCAGCTCCTACGAGGGAGGTCGCTCTCCTGTCGTGGGCGGAGAGCCGCGCCAATTGCCTGAAGTCATCTCCTACTCCCCCCAGCGGGGCTACGAAGGAACCAGGGTGTCCGTGCGGATCCAGTCCCCCTACGATCTTCATACCTCGTCCTACACGACCCTCTACCTGGCGTTCGGCTCCAAGAAGTGCGAGTGTGTCCCCCATTTCCTGGGGTTCCAGGGCTCGACTTTCCAATACGCGCTTTCCGTGGACAGTCCCGCTTTCATGGCCACGGCATCTCCGTCGCCGACCGTCTCTCTCCAGGTGATCATGGATGGCCAAAACGAGTGCCCTTCCACTACACTGCAGGTGGGCTATTATTCGTATGAGCACTCGCCTCATCCGTCGCCGTCCAGCGACTCCCGGAAGAGAAGGGTGTCCAGCATGGAAGACACGGGTCCTCGGCCTACCAAGAGACTCACTGCCCAGCCCGTTCACTCACGAGAGCAGTCGGTGGGGTATCCTACCGCCTCCTACTCCCCTTACCTGCAGTCTCTTCCCACTGCGAATGGATTTGTGAACCCTTATCAGGCGGGCTCGCCGCGGATTGTGTCGTCTGCGTCGCAGTCGTCCATTCGCGCGCCGTCCCCGCTTACTCCGTCCTGGAGCCCCTCGTTCGTCTCGGTCGCTCCGGATTCGAGGGCTCACGGATATATGGCCAACCACGGCTTCCGTCAAACGAAGCCGTCGTCTCCCGGGCAGGGCAAGAACCCTACGCTCATCCGTACTTCGACCCTTCAGCAGTCCAGCGGCATCGCTCCGCCGCAGTCGTTCAATCCCTATGCGATGTATCCGTCGAAGGCGGTGTTAAAGTTGAACGGAGATCTGAATTCTATGACGGAGAAATGGTCCAAGGAAGAGCTGGAGACCAAACGCCGCCTGGTCCAGTTCACACGCATGCAGAGCGGGAGTACCATTCACGCAGACTTCAAGCCGGTGTCTCCCGAAGACCGAACCCCGAACAGTATCTGCATCAGCTGCATCTACTGGGATGGGAAAGACGAGTGCTTCGTCACCAGTGTCGATACCATCTATCTGCTCGAGTCCCTCGTTGGGGTCCGCTTTACCGTGGAAGAGAAGAACCGCATCCGTCGCAATCTCGAAGGATTCCGCCCGCTTACCGTGTCCAAGGCCAAGGCCGATAGCGAGGACTTTTTCAAGACCATCATGGGGTTCCCCGCCCCCAAGCCTCGCAATATCGAGAAGGATGTCAAAGTGTTCCCCTGGAAGATTCTCAGCCATGCTTTGAAGAAGATCATTGGCAAATACGTGAGTGGCCCTTATACATAGGATTGCAATTTTAAAAACCTTACTAACCTCTGAGATCTAGTCGGCCAGTTACTCCTCGACTGCTGGTGCCCTCCCCACGCCAATCGGCTCGACCTATGCGAGCAACGGGGCTGCCTCGGATTCCGGCACCGAACCGCATACTGCGCCCTCTCCTCAGTCAGTCTCGGACACGTCTGCGTCTTGTGCCTACGGCCCCAGCATGACTGCGTACTCCTCCGCCGATCACAGCGGACCGCCCATGTCGGTTCCCGAACTGCGCTCGGTGCTCCCCGCCATCAGCCAACCCTACCACCACATGACCCCGTCATACTCCTACCCGACGGTCTGTCAACAGCAAAGCCATCTGGGACTCACTGCTCCCATCAGCCGGGGATGGGAGCTCAGCCATCTGATGAACAACGCGGCCAGCGCGCCCCCTAGCAGCGGCTCTTGCTATAGCTACATGGGCCCGATGCCGTATTCCCTGTCCGACCCCTCCCACGGGGCCTGAGCTCCGATTCCAACAAGAGCTCACATTTGCATCTACCGGCGTTCTCTCTACTTTATATTCCAATATCGTCGCTCCCGCCACTCCTTCTCATCGTTCGGGCTAGGTCAGCCCATCCTTATTCGGCCCCTGGAGACTTAGCATTTTCCAACGATTCCAACGTCTCTCCTTTGATATCATCACGTCTTGATGCCCCTGCATTATTGTTTTTGATTTATTGCTGAATTTTGTTTTTCTTCATGACGCATTATAGATACGTTGTCCGTTCCTTTTCGGCTTGCATTTTATCAGCGGGGCATTGGGATTCCACTCCTTTTACGAGAACTGTATTATTACCTTGGCATGGCATAGCACGGCGCTGCAGTCAATCCTTTTCTACTTCGCAGGACGGGGGAAATACCAACTGGGCACTTCACTTCACATCTGGTGTGGCGACGGTGATTAAAACGGGATATTGATTGTTTTGTTTTGATTTGTTTTGATTTGATTTACTTTTGTTTTTGACTTTGACTTTGACTTTTGATTTGATTGAGTTTGAGTTCAACAGGGCACACCTTAAGGGGTGTACGCTGATTGACTTGATATACGCGCATAGCTTGGGCGTCTGTGAATATGTTGAATGTTCTGAATTTTTTTGGTTTTGTTTTCTCTATTTCTTTTATTTTTAATATTTTTGTTTTTCTTTTCCTTCTCTTCTGTGTTAGTGTTGTCTCGCTATGTTGGATTGGATATGGTATAGTATACTTATTAGGGCTACCGGGCATTTATATAGATGCCTGTATCTATGATAATGGTAATAGTGATTTATTCATCTCATCCTTTTCGTTTTCATACCTTTTCATTCCCTTTCATTCCTAAGCTTGGGCTATAATCAATCGACTAAGATATCCAACAGTACAACCGACACAGTAATGATAAACACCCCCGAATAGCCCACCCATTCCAACACATCCAAGATGTCAAGCTGCCTCGGTACAGGACATATACACCTTCTCAATCACATATTAAAAACCAAAGAGAAAAACCAATATGAACCGCCCAGTTTCGGCCCCTCGGACGACAAATGACTCCACTGCCGGTTCTGGCGCCCGGTGGGGGCCGAATGCTCCGGTTTGCACTAGTAGGCGTAGTATGGCGAACAAACCTGTTAGCTGGCCATATATACAGGCTGGTACCTGCATTGATGTGACGATTGTGTTGGATGGGGAAGGATTTGCCCTGTGGGGGATGAAACTTGTCTGGTAGTTGCTTTGGTTATCAGTTGGGGGTGATGGGAGATGGGAGAGGTGTGTATGTCGACGGGTCAGCTGATCTGGGGCGTTTCTTGCGCGGGTTGTGTTTGAATCCTTCAGATAACCTGCAACTTGCAACCTTTCATAACTATCTCTGGGGCAAGAATGGCTCAGCGTCATCGCTGTTTCGACACTTTCCATTGCCGTCCATCCCCACATTATCAGTACATACTGTACTACTGCAACTTGTCTTGAATTATGAAAGAAGGTCAACCCAAAGATACTATTCCAACAGGAAAACCTCCCCGTATGATCCTCCCACGGAAGAAGGATCCATCCAAAGATGCGGGGCGCTACCGATGGAATTAGTCCCAAGTCCACTTCCTCTCCTATCAGACCCGTCCCTGACGATGATCTGCCTCCGCCTAACGCTTCCCCGGCCCGGCGCAGGAATCTGAAGACGGAGCAGGAATCTGCGAACGGAGCATGGGACTACAGTATCTCCCGATGCGAATTCTCTATAGTAAAGATTTCAATTCCTGGCTCAGCCACCGGATCCTTTGGAGAGGGGGCGCGCGCGGGCAGGATGAAGAGACGCGCGGTGGGGATTCAGTGGGAAAGGTATAAAGTGGGTGTTTGAGTCGCTTGGATGAGTCTCTAATTGTCATCGGTCATACTTGTTACTGTTGTGTTGGAGCCAGTGTCTGGCTCATATTTTACTTGACTTCTCTTCTTCTGCAACTTTACTTACCCATCTGTCGTGCCGGTGCGCGCAAGACTCACCGAGCCATGTATACTCGCCAGGTCTTGTCCCTGGCGCTGGCTAGCGGCCTGGCTACGGCTTTGCCGCTGGCTTGTCCTAATGCTGCGAACTCCGAGTCTGGCTCTGGCTCTGGCTCTGGCTCTGGCGCGCCTACCGTCTACTTCATCCGCCATGGCGAGAAGCCCAGCGATGGTGGCGTTGGTCTTAGCTCCGAGGGCGAGGACCGAGCCGAGTGTCTCCGGAATGTCTTCGGCAAGAACTCCGAGTACAAGATCGGACAGATCCTGGCTATGACTCCCGAAGACGGTATGTATCTTTGTCTCTTTATCCCTTTCTGTCTTCGGCGCCCCGACGGGACTGACATAGAATCAGATGGCCATCGAGCGCGCCCCCGTGACACCGTCGAGCCGCTCGCTAAGGACCTAGGCCTTAAGGTCGACACGTCCTGCGATAGAGATGATGCCGCCTGTGTCAAGACCCTCGTTGAGGGCTACAAGGGCGACGGCAATATCTTGATCTCCTGGCAGCATAGTGCGTTGACGGAGCTTGCCAAGGCGTTGGGTGATGAGAATGCCGAGACATACCCTGATGATAGGTGAGTGGATCTATACCATTGAACTTACTTGCTTTCTTTCTTTTCTTGATGGAACGTCAAGGCTAACTGGTCTGCGTGTTAGGTTTGACTTGATCTGGACTTATCCATCGCCCTATGATAAGTTGACTGAAACTGTTGAGGAGAAGTGTCCCGGTCTGGACGAGGGTCAGTCTGGCAACAATATTCAGGCCCGTAATAACCAGCAGCCCACCAATAACGGCGGCGGCGACAGCTTCTCCACCAATACCAGCAGTGGCAATAGCAATGACAACTCCTCTACCAACAACGGCGGCGGTAACGGCGGCGGCAGCGGCGGCGACAGCTTCTCCACCAATACCAGCGGTGGCAATAGCAACGACAACTTCTCTAGCAACAACGGCGGCGGTAACGGCGGCAACAGCACCGGCGGCGGCAATGACTCCTCCTGCGCCGGCAATGATAATCAATTCAAGTGCGACGACGGTCTTGACGGTCCGAATAATAGTCTGACTGATAGCAACAGCAACAGCAACAGCAACAGCAACAGCAACAGCAACAGCAACAGCAACAGCAACAGCAACAGCAACAGCAACAGCAACAGCAATAGCAACAGCAATAGCAACAGCAATAGCAACAGCAATAGCAACAGCAATGCCAACAGCAATAGCAACGGCAACGACAATAGCAACAGCAACAGCAATAGCAACAGCAATAGCAACAGCAATGCCAACAGCAATGCCAACAGCAATAGCAACGGCAACGGCAATAGCAACAGCAACAGCAATAGCAACAGCAATAGCAACAGCAATAGCAACAGCAATAGCAACAGCAATGCCAACAGCAATAGCAACGGCAACGGCAACAGCAACGGCAACAGCAATGCCAACAGCAACAGCAATGCCAACAGCAACAGCAATGCCAACAGCAACATGGATAACAACAGCAATAGTAACAGCTGGGCCAATACCGGCGGCAACGGCGGTGACGACTCCATGCTCAGCAATGATGATGAATGGTATTGCGACGAAGATGACACCGACAGCAACATTGATAACAACGCCGACAGCAACATTGTTAACAACGCCGACAGCAACTTTGTTACCAACGCCGACGACAACAGCGACGACGACGACGACAACAGCGACGACGACGACGACAACAGCGACGACGACGACGACGACAACAGCGACGACGACGAAGATAGCGACGACGAAGATAGCGACGACGACGAAGATAGCGACGACGACGAAGATAGCGACGACGACGAAGATAGCGACGACGACGAAGATAGCGACGATGGTGACGATGATGACGATGGTGATGAATGATGGCAAGGGCAAGGACGAGGATGAGTAGGGATAGAGATAAGATGAAAGATAAGATGGAAGATAAGATAAGGGTTAATGAATTTGATATGAATGCAGACTTATGTACAGTATTAGTCACAATGAACAAAATCTTTTATCACGTGCTCTCTATCTTATCGCCACCACACGTGACCGGAGCGGTGATCGGCCGAGGGGGAAAACGAAGTTATTTCACGATGACTCAAAAAGTAGACCAGATCAGCCCTTGTGTTCCCCCAGACTTCTCCTCGTCTGTCTTACTCCCTCTTTTTGGTCTCCTTCCCCTCTCTCACTCCCTTCTCTCTACCTCACCATTCCATATCTGGCCTTTTATAATCTTTTTCTCGCATCTTCTTTCCCTCTAGACCACTTCTCCCCCACTCTCCCCCCAAAACAACGACATGGATCACATCAAGGCGACATTCGCTAGGGCCAAGGAGGAGAAACGTGCTGCCCTTGTGGCATACATCACGGCGGGTTATCCCTCAGTCGAGGAGACCGTCGATATTCTCCTGGGTCTGGAAAATGGAGGCGCTGGTATGTGTCGCATCCCCCCGCCATCCAAAGAGAAGAGGATAGACTTCGTTGACTATTCAGCACAGACGTTATTGAGATGGGTGTACCCTTCACCGATCCCATTGCGGATGGTCCCACAATCCAAGTCGCCAACACCAAAGCCCTGGCCAATGGGGTCACCGTCACGACAGTCCTGCAGATGGTCCGCGATGCCAGAGCCCGGGCCTGAAAGCCCCCGTGCTTCTGATGGGCTACTATAACCCCTTGATGCGCTACGGGGAGGAGCGGATGCTTCAGGATTGCAAGGAAGCCGGTGTCAATGGCTTCATCATGGTCGACCTGCCCCCGGAGGAGGCCGTCCGATTTCGGAACCTGTGCACCAGCCATGGGTAAGTCTCCTGTGCCCCTTACCAGATCGAGCGAGAATCGCGATTGTGCTAATGCGAGTCTCCAATCACAGTCTGTCTTACGTCCCGCTCATCGCCCCCTCCACCTCCGAGTCCCGCATGGAGCTCCTCTGCAAAATCGCCGACTCCTTCATCTACGTCGTCTCGAGAATGGGCGTCACGGGCGCCACCGGACAGCTCAGCGCCAACCTCCCCGAACTCCTCGGCCGTGTCCACCAGTGGTCTGGAAATGTGCCTGCCGCCCTGGGCTTCGGTATCAGCACGCGCGAGCACTTCCTCAACGTGCAGGACCTTGCGGAGGGTGTGGTGATTGGCAGCCAGATCATCTCCGTCCTTGGCAAGGCCCCTGCTGGACAGGCGGCCAAGGATGCGGAGGAGTACCTGTCGAGCGTCACCGGCCGTAAGCTGCAGCGTGATGCCCAAGGGACCGTCATCGGCGAAACCCATGTGCTGGAACGCGTCGATAAGAAGCCGGATACGACCCCCGTGTCGCAGCCCACGGCAGTCGTCAAGGACGCCGACACCCCCGCCGGACCCGGCCTGGCCGACCAGCTCGAGGCGCTCAACGGCGCCGGCAACCCCGCCGAGCAACCCTCGCGTTTCGGCGAGTTCGGCGGCCAGTACGTGCCCGAGTCCCTCATGGACTGCCTGGCCGAGCTGGAGCGCGGCTTCAACCACGCGCTCACCGACCCCTCCTTCTGGGAGGAGTACCGCTCCTACTACCCCTACATGGGTCGACCCAGCAGCCTCCACCTCGCCAACCGTCTCACCGACCACGTCGGCGGAGCCAACATCTGGCTCAAGCGCGAGGACCTCAACCACACCGGCAGCCACAAGATCAACAACGCCCTCGGCCAGATCCTCCTCGCCCGCCGCCTCGGCAAGACGCGCATCATCGCCGAGACCGGCGCCGGCCAGCACGGCGTCGCCACCGCCACCGTCTGCGCCAAGTTCGGCATGAAGTGCGTCGTCTACATGGGCGCCGAAGACGTCCGCCGCCAGGCCCTCAACGTCTTCCGCATGAAGCTCCTCGGCGCCGACGTCGTCGCCGTCGACGCAGGCAGCCGCACCCTCCGCGACGCCGTCAACGAAGCCCTCCGCGCCTGGGTCGTCGACCTCAACAGCACGCACTACATCATCGGCTCCGCCATCGGCCCGCACCCCTTCCCCCTCATCGTGCGCACCTTCCAGTCCGTCATCGGCGACGAAACCAAGCAGCAAATGCAAGAGCAGCTCGGCAAGCTCCCCGACGCAGTCGTCGCCTGCGTCGGCGGCGGCAGCAACGCCGTCGGCATGTTCTACCCCTTCTCCAAGGACCCCTCCGTCAAACTCCTCGGCGTCGAAGCCGGCGGCGACGGCGTCGACACCGCCCGCCACTCGGCCACCCTCTCCGGCGGCAGCAAGGGCGTCCTCCACGGCGTGCGCACCTACGTCCTGCAGGACGAGCACGGACAGATCTCCGAGACCCACTCCATCTCCGCAGGCCTGGACTACCCGGGCGTCGGCCCCGAGCTCAGCTCCTGGAAGGACAGCGCGCGCGCGCACTTCATCGCCGCAACGGACGCGCAGGCCCTGCAGGGCTTCCGCGCGCTCTCCCAGCACGAGGGTATCATCCCTGCGCTGGAGTCGTCCCACGCTATCTACGGCGCGATGGAGCTCGCCAAGACCATGAAGAAGGGCGAGAATATCGTGCTGAACCTCAGCGGTCGCGGAGACAAGGACGTGCAGAGTGTGGCGGATGAGTTGCCCCGTTTGGGCCCGAAAATTGGTTGGGATTTGCGGTTTTAAAAAAAAACCTGCTCCAACTTGGAATGGGAAGACTATCACAAGAATTACATGATTGATTTCGGGTTAAGCGCTATCTTGAATAAAATATTAGACTAAAATGAAATAAAAGTCTGTTTTATACGAAGTGTTCTTATTAATTTAGTTATAACTGTACACTAGGTACGTACCTATAGTCATGTCACTAACTGTTTGCATGGAGTTAAGAAGAGACAGCTAGGTAGATAGAGTTAGGCAGATAGAGTTAGGGAGATAGAGCGAGGTAGATAGAGCAAGGTAAACGTCACCATGTCTTGTATCTTGACCATGCGACCAAAGACACCATTTGGCGAGTGGTAGAGTCTTGATATCCAACAGTAAATAGTTATGTAGATGGGCCAGCTAACTAGCCCTTTCATTGTCTTAAAAGAACGTCGATAACTAACCTAATCAATACCTAGAACAATACCATACGGACTGTACAATCTTATCTCATAATAGTATGACATAAATAAGACATATAATAGATATACAACTACGGCAGCACAATCAATCCAGACAAGCCTAAAACGAGAAAGAAAAGAGTTTTAAACACGCAAAACGGCATAGATATCGGCGAAAAGGAAACAGACATATCATATCCACAAGACAAAATTTAAAGAAAACTAAGCATCAATCAGATCCTCGCCCTGCGTGTGAAGCTGGCCCGGGTTGGTGCTGTCCCGGGTGTCCTTGTTGGCGACCTTGCGAGCGGAGCGGGCGTAGAACTCGTCGAGGACGCGCTTGGGGATACGGTTGAGGAGCTCCTTGGGGTAGATGCGGAGGAGGTTCCAGGCGATGTCGAGGGATTCGTAGATGCTGCGCGATTCGTAGGCGGACTGGCTGATGAAGGTGCGTTCGAATTTGTCGAGGAATTCGAGGGACAGCTTGTCTTCGGGGGAGAGGGCTTCCTCGCCGACGACGGCCTTCATGGCGGCTTTGGATTGTTAGTTTGATGTTTAGGTGGGTGGTGATGGGACTTACCGGCGTCTCGTCCAATGGCGTACTTGGCGTACAGCTGGTTGGACACATCGGAGTGGTCCTTGCGCGTGTGGCCCTCGCCGATGGCAGACTTCATCAGACGGGACAGCGAAGGGAGCACGTTGATGGGAGGGCTGACACCCTTGTTGTCCAGCTGTCGGTCAATGAAGATCTGGCCCTCGGTAATGTAACCGGTCAAATCGGGAATGGGATGGGTAATATCTGTCCATATTAGTATGGGACGTATTGGTAGGAGATAGAAGGAGGTAGAAGGAGATAGAAGAGGCAGGTAGAGGCAGGAAAGAGAAACACACCATCATTAGGCATAGTCAAGATAGGAATCTGGGTAATCGACCCATTACGGCCCTCCACACGTCCCGCACGCTCATAGATGGTCGACAAATCCGTGTACATGTAACCGGGATAACCACGACGACCAGGCACTTCTTCTCGGGCGGCGGACACCTCACGAAGGGCATCACAGTACGCCGAGATATCCGTCATGATGACCAGGACGTGCTTCTCCAGCTGGTAGGCGTAGTATTCGGCGGTGGTCAGGGCAAGACGGGGGGTAATGATACGCTCGATCCTGCACACTCGTATTAGTTAAGCCCTCGCGGCAAGGATTGGGGAGCATACGTCGGGTCGTTGGCCAAGTTCAGGAACAGCGTAACGCGCTCCATACTGCCGTTCTCCTCGAAGTCGCGCGTGAAGAAACGACTGGTCTCCATGTTCACACCCATGGCGGCGAACACGATCGAGAAGTTCTCCTCGTGGCCGTCGTGGACGTCCTTGGTGGGCTTGTTAACCAGACCGGCCTGGCGACAGATCTGGGCGGCAATCTCGTTGTGCGGCAGACCGGAGGCGGAGAAGATGGGGATCTTCTGACCACGGGCAATGGAGTTCATGGTGTCGATGGCCGAGATACCGGTGGAGATCATTTCTTCCGGATACACCTTGTAGATGGTTAGCTCTCAAAGTACTCGTCTCCGGCACAGGATCGGGCCAAGCATACTCGCGAGTATGGGTTGATCGGTTGACCGTTGATATCCAGGTAATCCTCCGCCAGCACCTTGGGACCCTTATCGATGGCACGACCCGAACCGTCAAACACACGACCAAGCATGTCCTCCGAGACACCCAGCTTCATGCTGTGGCCGGTGAACTCGACTTTGGTCTAAGAGGAATCAGCATTTCATCCCCATAATTTAGGCACAGCCTGCCCATATAGAAACAGCAAGAATATACCCTTTTAACATCAATACCCGGAGTACCCTCAAAGACCTAAACAAGCACCAAAGCGGGTTAACGTCCACATCCCGCACGATAAGCTCAGACCTCCGCTACGGGGAAAGAGGGGGAGAGGGGAACATGACGCTCGCACCTGAACGACGGCTCTGCTTCCTAATCACACATCTATATCAGTCTCCAGCTCATACCGGCACCCATACAGCTAGACAGCATAGTACATACCTCTAGCCTCCAGAACCTGACCCGACCGTTCGGTTCCATCAGGCAGGGTCAGGGAGACGATCTCGTTGTACCGGGGGAATTTGACCTAGCGGGGTGAGCGTCAACATGAGAACATCCAGTTTAGAATATGATATCTTCCGCGGGGTGTAGACGACGGAGCTTATCGGGTAGGAGTTCGCATACGTTGTCCAGAACCACCAGCGGTCCGTTGATACCTCCGATGGTGTTGTAGCGGATGTGAGGCTTGATGGAGGTCATTCTGGGGTCGATGAATTCGGACGCCATGGTGGAGGAGGGGGGGGACCTCAGTGAGGTACCACGTATAGGAGATAATAAGAGAGATGAGGGGGAGAGAGGGAGGAGAGAGGGAAGGTGCTTCCGTACGTGTGTGAGGTGGAGATATCAAGCCAGCTACGGCCGGGGTGCGTGGATGATGCCGCTCCGCTGTCTGGGCGGTGAGCGGCTGCCCCACGTGATGTGTCATGCGGTTGCCTGAGGCATTTTACAGTGGAGTCGAGTTTATAGATTCGGTCCGGACCATTGACTGAGTTTACGTGGGTGGTCTACCATATTACAGCTGCTAGAGTGTTCATTGAGATCATCACATTGTTGGAACTGAAGAACATGAAAAAAGCGCTAAAAACCGTAACATCGGAGTTGTGACATTCAAATCGAAGATGGGGCCACCAAATGATTCCTCAAAATGAGGAGACAGGTTGAAGCAGGATCATAACGGTCCATCCTAAGGGGAATCGTAGATATACACATGTAGCAGTAACGAGATTGGGACATCTGAAGGTTCCCATTGGAGAAGAAAATCAGGAAAAAACGGGAAAAAGTAAAACAAAGGAAATGGGGAAAGAGAAAAAGGGAGACCTGCGCCATGGGACCAGCCAGCCAGCCAACCATAAAGGAAAACCACAGAACGCCATCCGATGGAGAGAACGCAAGAATCAATCGATCTTGGCCTGGGCTAGTTTCTTCGGCGCCGAGAGGTTGTTCGACAGACGAACGGTGGCCTTTTTGTTCTTCGACTGCTTCTTCAATTTCCGGCGGGCGACCATCACGGGGACGGAGGAATGCATGACCAGGTAGTTGGAGAAGGATCCTAGAAGAACACTACGCAGCTGTTAGTTTCTGGACTCGTACAACCAGTTCAGCGGGAGCTTACCCTTTCAGTGCGCTGCGACCCCGAGCGCCCACGATAACCAAGGTCGGATCCAATCCGTCAATCTAAAACCAAATCGTCAGTCAACCGCTATCGATCATGGAAGAAAAAGAGAGGCTCACCGCTTCCGTGATCATATTCTTGGGACTCTTGCAGTGGATCACCTCCACGGCGACTCGCACTTGAAGTAAGGTCTTGCGGAGTAACCGCACGCAGGTCTGCGAGATGATCTCGACGGCATGCACGCGCTCAGACTCGGCCTTGGACATGCCCCGCGCGTCGACGGACCCCGGTCTGCTGTCCGTGCCGGTGCCCAGGCGGCCCAGGATTGTCCGCGAGAGGTTGGAGGCGGAGTCGTTCTGGGCTTTTCGCACCGTCTCTTCGGTCTGGGATCCCACGACCGCGGCGGCGTCCTGCATGGACTCGGCGCCTTCGCCGATCTGGGCGCCCGTCTCCTCGTGGAGACAGAAGACGGCGAACATGGTGTCCCCATCCCGCAGGATCGTCCCGATGGTCCACTCCAACGCGTAGACGGACTCCTCGCTGAGGTCGGTGGTCACCATGTACTTGCGCGGGCGGCGACGACCCCCTTCGGTCTCCTCGGGCAGGTTGGCGTAGTCGCCCCGGATGATGGTGCGGATGGAGCGGCTGCGGACGGAGTTGTCGATGGCCGACATGCGGATGCTCAGCTTCTGGGCCTTCTTGATGTCGGACAGCTCCGCTTCGTCTTCCGACCCGAACGGCGTGTTGGTCACTGAGGCCGAGTCAAAGCTAGTCCGGGGGTGGACCTCAGTTTTCTTCGGGGCGGGGCCGGGGCCTTGCTTCGCGGAGGCGGAACGCGTGCTGCTCTCGACGTCGTCGTCGTTGTTGTCCGTCGTTTGGGCGCTGTCGCGGACCGTGGCACTCGGCTCCGTCGTCGCGGGCCCGTTTCGACCAGGATCCTTGGTGCGGCCTCGCGGGGCCTCCTCGTCTCCGTCACGGTCCGGACTGGACTCGTCACTCGACGACGAGGAGTCATCGTCCTCGTCCTCACTGGTCTCGATGAGATTGTTGTCACTGTCGTACACATCCTTGGCCAGACGCTCATCCCCCGCGGGCGCCGACTTCGCGGCGGTGTCCCCGTCCGACGGCTCCTCGGGGGGCGGAGCCAGAGGGGGCGAGGGAGGCTTGTTCGCCGACAGGTCGGTGGTCTCTACGACGTACGGTTTCGCTTTTGCCATCACGGGGGAGGACGGGGTCGACGCGGGGATGCGCGGCGGACCGGGACTCATGAGGCGCGTGGCCGGCGAGGTGGAGCGGGAGCGGGCCTTGCGGGAGGGCAGGCGCGAATCCAGCGAGGCCCCTCGCTTGGAGTTGTTGCGGGAGGAATCCCGGCCGCGGGAGAAGCCCGGCAGGCCGAAGCTGAGGTCGAGGCCGGACATCATGGCGGCGACGGTATTCTTGCTCTGGGGTCTGCTGGGGGGCCTCTCGTGCTGCTGGCTGCTCCGGCGGGCATAATTGTAGCTGTTGGCGGTGGGCGACATGACGACGCTATCGTCCCAGCGAATGCTCGGTCGGGGTTTCTCGGCGGGCTTGTCCTTGCCGTCGGGGTCGGTGGTGCCACCGTTGGCACTGGCGGTTGGTTTCGGCTTGACGATGGGGGGCGGGGCGCGGGAGGTGGTGGTGGCCGCCACCCGGTGGGTAGACGGGGTGGTGGGGGTCGAGGTGGTGGGCGGAGGTGGAGGGGGCGGCGTCGCTGAACGCAGCGGTGACGGGGCGAACAGGGGCTCTTGCAGGGAGCGGCGATGTGAGGGCGGGGTCACCCCAACGCCAATGCCGGCGATGGACCCATGCCGCGGGGGGAACGGCGCCGGCGAGGGGTTTCCGAGGTCTGGGACGGTATCGAAGACACTCCGACGCTGGGATGGAGGGGCCTTCCTGGTGGAGGTGCCGTTGCGATTCTCGAGTTCGGCAGCCAGCTCCAAGCGTTCTTCTTCCAAGGCGCTGGCCAAGCCCATACCGACACGTTTCCGATTGCGATTGTAAGCCATCTTGGGTGGGGTGGATGCCGCCTGCGGCGTTGTTGGTGGTCAACAGTGGAGACCTTTGAGAGTTGTCCCGAAGAAGTCTTCCGAGCGGACAGGGTGGTGAAGAATGTGGAGAGGGCAGACGTCAGTGCTCGAATGACGATTGGCTCCGCTTCGACCCGCGAAGGTAGCTCCGCTTTAGGACCACCACGGGTATCCGAGGATCTATCAGAATAATGTATCAATAATCAATAACCACTTGAATGGAGCACGAAGGCACAACCAGAGAGGCAAGGAGGGGAGGGGCAGGGGGTGTGAGGTTACCCGATAACTATCCGGTAGGAAGAACCACTTCCACGTGCCGGGCGGTGACAATCCTGACGATCTGTTGGATTTCACGGTCGCACCGTACTTGGAGGGGGAGATCCTTTCTTCTTTTTTTTTTTCGTTCTTCTGTCTTCAAGGGACGAAAGAGGGGAAGATCGACGAGGAGGAAAGTGACCGACGGGTGAGGTTGAATATGGAAGAGCGACAAGGGTGCCTGAGGCAGGCAGAGAGCTCCCGCTCAGCTCAGCTCAGCTCCGAGTAGCTGACAGTAGCTAATAGTAGCTCAGGCCTAGCTTAATTTCTAGCTCCAAGCTCCAAGGGTCCGATCGTGGCAGGAGTGAACCGAGTCGACGAAAACAATCCGGGAAGCCGTACTTTTTCCTGGTTCCTTTGGTTGAGACGGTCGTTGATCGCTGTCAGGCACGAAAGCAACAGGTCCGAAACGAGAACCTCAGGCAATGAGGCACGCAAGAGAAGCACGATCTGATGCTGGATGTGATTGGAAGTGGTTCAGGATGGAGCTCGAGATCAGACGGTCAAATCAGAAGGCAAGGAAGTAGGTCAGATCGGATGAAGGAGTGTCCAGACGAATCAACAAGGCAGAGAGAGAATGAAAAGCAAGAATGAAAAAGAAAGAAGAGAGAGAAAAGAAAAGAGGAAGAAGAGAGAATAAATCGAGGGGCTGAAGGCAGACGCTATTCATTCACCAGATACAAAAGGTTCAAAAAGGCTCGGCATAGCGGGGCACGACGAATCTGGGGACTTTTCTTTCTTTACAGTCATTCTCTCTGTACTTCTCCCTCTGGCGGTCTCCTTGCATCTGAAGAACAAGGCTGAAGTAGCTGGGATCATGTTATCGACCGTCATTCTGTCTGCGTAACCTATAAGTTCCTATACTGTTCTATCTTATTATTTATTCTGTTTCTTATTCTATTTGGTTTTATTTTATTTTATCTTATATATTTATTCCCATACTAACTCCTAGATCGACAACTCGATCCATGCCAAGGTGTGGCAGTGACAGCTCGACCTCGGTAACCTTCATTCTCCAATACATCTCTTGACATATACACAGCCAGTGCAATACACAGACATGACCATAACTACAACAGGAAGAAGACAGTCATGCCACAGATACAGTCACAGCTGCACATTCCACCCCCAACTTCATCCCATTCTTCCCATTCTCATACTGATAATACTATGATGACTAGTCTCCTGGTGTAACATCCTTCGTCCGATCCCTTCCTGCCTGGGGTGTCCTTTTTCTCTGTTGCCTACGCGGATTCAGCCACTATAAAAATTTTCTGAAAATTAAAATTAAACATTAAAATTAAACATTAAAATTAAACATAAATAAAGTAAAATAAAATAACTCAATTTAAATTAAACAAGATAACAGAAAAGACGGGGTAACGATAAGAATATACAATTCATTCACAGAAGAAAGAATAGATCAGACCGATGTTTGCTGCCTGCAATCCTGTATGCACCCGGACACCTGATCCTCGCCCAAACTCCCAAACTCCCAAACTGCAGTAAATAGATAGAATAAAAAAAAAATTAAAAAAAATGATTACGCCCTTCCCTTCTTCTTCTTCGCACTCCGAGCCGCATTAGCCTGGAACGCTTCCTCCGGAGGTTCGTCCACCCCCCGTTTAGTCCCCCCACCCCCATATCGCTCCTCCAATCGATCCAAGAAGCCCACCCCGCGAGATACCTGCCGCTGCTGGATTATCGCCGCCAAATCATCCATACTGCCAGCTCCCTTCTTCCCTGCGCCCTTCTTGCCCTTCTTGCCCTGCGACCGCTTCTTCTCATCCAGCTCCTGCGACAGTTTCTCAGCTTCCCGCGCCTCCTTCTGCGCACGCTTCACCCGCAGCTGTTTCTTCTTCTCCGTCTCCTCCACGTACTTCTTATACCCAGGCACCGTCCCATCGGCGATCGCCTTGTCGATGACAGCGCGGAACCGCTCGTCATCGTCGAGCACGTTGCACAGCAGCACCGACTCGTAGACCCGGTCTAGGTCCCCCTCGGCCTGTCGATACGCCTCTAGAATGTCCCCTTCCTCCTCGGCTGACCCCTGGTACTCCGCTTTGAGTTTGTCGAGCGCCCCCACGTCCACCGCGGCGGAGAACTGCTCCCGGTAGAAATCCACCCAGTCGAAGTCGTCGTCGTCTTCCACTGCTTCGGCTGTGTTTCCTGTGAGGTCGTACCGGCGTCGTCGCTTCTCGTCGGAGAGGATGGCGTATGCGAAGGCGATCTGTTGGAATTTCTCGTGCGCGTCTTCTTTGGCGTCGGAGGGGGCTTTGTCTGGAGGGGCGGTCTGTCAGTATCCGTTCACTAGCCTGGCTTTGAATAGACCATAATCTCTAGTGTGTAGGCGATAGACATACCAGGGTGGTGCTTTAGGGCCAGTTTCCGGTAGGCGGATTTGATCTGCTCCGGAGGGGCGTCGTTGTCAATGCCGAGGACCTGGTACAGGTCGGTGTCTTCGGGGACCGGCACGTCCTCTTCATGGTTTCTGACCATGGTGATGGATAATTGAATTTTTTTATTCAACGAAAGAAATTTGATCGAAGTAAGAGAATTCAAACTTTAAGATGGTGAGTGGTTGGAGTGATGAACCAGTCGCGACACGCGACTCCGCGGAGCCGGCTATTGATTGCCCCGATCGGGTTAGACCAATCCCATACACCGAGTATATCCACTCAACCTTATTTCACGACTTCATATCCTTATCTTGGTTTCTTGCTATGAAGCCATGATTATCAGCTACAGCTTCCATATGCTCCAGTACTAGGACTACATTCTAAATCATTCACACTCATATCATCCACATGACCGTCTAGCAAGATTCCAACAATCATGCAAGGAGTCCATCTGTGATACCCAACCTCATGTACGGTGTACATCCAGGCAATAACGGTCAACCAACTTCTCGTGCCACTCTCACCGAATGTAGCATGCTCAGGAAGAAGTGCATACGTGTGATAACTACCGGACAAGTCAGACCGCACGAGCACAACAAATACCACCCCCCCCCCTCCCCCCCCAATCGCCTATCCAGGACTCGACTCACGTTCCACAGACAGACAGAAGGAGAGGAGACGTGTCGCCGATAAACCCTCTTCACCTACGTAAGGAGCGCTGATCGACACACCGGAATGTAAGTATGCACATCGTACCACGCAAGTTCGGTCAAGCTTTGCCGAGACATGTCACACACTATCGTGTTATCTAGTACAAGATTTGGATTTGGATTCACCGACAACCTCAAAAGCTTCGTTGTTTCTTGTGCGCCTAGACCTGTGGGTCGACGTTTTGTACTACTGGCTTTGGGCCGCGGAAAAGGTCATCACACCGTGGACGACGACTACATGTTCATGGTGACTATGTCACTAGACAAGCCTTCGCCTTTCAGGGTAAGACCCCTGTCCTTTGGAGCCTTCCATACATGATACACTCCGTGTCCAACCACATGCATCATCGCCCTTGCACTAATAACTAGGAACAATCACCTCGTGATCAATCTTCTGCCCTTGACCCTCATATCTCCACCGACTAACATATGCCTCCGTCTGGCCTGACCCCCCGTTGCTCGTTGCATATACCCCAACTAGGGTGCCTGTTATGGTCAGAATGTCCCGAGTCCACATCACCGCAGGAGGGTTCACTCACCGGTGAATTTTCCCGTGTCTCCACTCACCACCCTGGCATCAACAGACCCAAGGACAGTCTCCTTGGACCTACCTGTCGACCGTGCGAAGAATTCGTACTTCTCGTCACTCACAGCCCGGATGCCGAGCCTGATTGGTTTGCCCAACCACTCGCGTGGAAGCTCGATGGTCTTCGTGGGGGTATCATCCTCGTAGTTACCACGTCCTTCGGCGCGGAGACGGAGCGAGGGCGTCAGCGCTCCGCTCGAAGACTCCAGCAACACGATGCCCATATCCACATGCTGAAACTGGGTCAGGAAGAGGGTGATTCCCGCTTCCTCGTCGACCACGGTAGGCGAGAAGTCAACATCAACCGTGTAGGTGAACAGCGTGTCGGTCTGGCGGCGAGCTATGAATGTGATTTCATCGTCCGGCTGAAAGGACGCATCCCCTGTGAGGTTAGCAAACGCAGGAGTAAGGCGAAGGGTATGCGGATGGCCCGGCGGCGAGACGGCGAAATGGTCTTCCTTTGGATACCGCCAATACACAAGGTGCGCGGGGATAGACGAGCCCGGCGCGAAATCCAACCGATCAGGCCGCTTGATGAACGGTCCCTCGCCCCGGCCCTGCAGATAACGACTGTCCTTGCGAGGAAGCGGGCCCTGCATCTGTCCCCTGACCGGCTCGATAACCGGCCACTCGCCCTCCGCCCACGTCGCCGGCGCCATGACCGTCTCGCGGCCCATCGGATAAGTCACGAACTCGGGCCCCGACCGCGTCCCCAGCGCCACAGCCCACCAGTTCCCATTCCCATCCTGAAACAGGTCCGCATGCCCAACAGTCTGAAAGTACTCCTCGGTACCCCTATTCGTCAACAGTGGATTATGCGGACACGGCTCCCACGGACCGGTCCGATGCCTCGACCTCGCCATCATCACAGAATGATCAACCTCCGTGCCCCCCTCCGCAATCAGCAAATAATACCATCCATCCCTCTTATACACATGCGGTCCCTCAGGCCAAACCCCCCAGTCCCATTCCACAAATCAACAGCCGGGCCCGTCTCCCCCGTCTCCAAATCTAGCGAATAATGCTGAATCCGCTGATCTTCCGCCGACGTCACATACACCTTCCCATCATCATCATCATCCCAAAAAACATCCGGATCAATCCCCACAACATCAAACTCAACCGGCTCACCCCACGCCTCACTGCTAAACGGATCCGCGCTCGTAAACACCAATCCCCTAGTGGAGGGCCCCAAAAACGACACAATTAGGTAGAACTTCCCCCCGCGGTAGCGCAGCGTCGGCGCGTATAGCCCGCCCTGCTGGTTCGTCGTCTCGCGTAGATCCGGGATCTGCGACGGCCGGCTGAAGGCGTTGCTGACGAGCTTCCAAGCTTGCAGGTCTCGGGAGGCGTATATGGGCAGCCCAGGGAAGGCGATGAATGTAGAGGCTACGCAGAAGGTGGTGTCGTTGTGGTCTGGGACGTGGACGCAGGAGGGGTCGGAGTGCCAGCCTGGGAGGAGGGGGTTTGTGTATGGTTTGTCTTTCGGGTTGGGGGTGGGAGATGCCCATGCTGTGCATAGGATGCTGGAGAGTATGGGGAGGATCTTCATGTTGGCGGAGTGGACTTGGACTGGTTGTCTTAGCTTCTAGGGTTGTGGCGATGGGAGACTTAGATTAATATAATACCCCCGATGCAAGGCACGGAGAGACTCCACCGGACAATCTACCATTTCATCCACCGATAGGTAAATGGATACCTAGGCAGGTACACACCTACTATATAACCTAAATAAATACCCATGTCATGTCCATGGCATAGCACCATTCAGGCTAAATCTGCTGTCCGTCTGGCTTGGTTGACTGCATTTGTTAGTTAGGTATTATGGACGAATGGGTTTCCACCACTAGCGTGGGATGGTTCTGATGGTGGTGTGCTTGAGTTTAGGCGGATTGTACAATGCATTATGGCATAGGTTATTATATTGATGAGGTTGTTGGGGCGCAAGTCACAGAAGTATATACGGTATTTGGTTAGTGTGTCTTGATTGGAGGCAATGTCCGATGATTGTACTTTTTCTCAAGCTCTATCTATATGAATATATAGTATAGTACATATCTCCCATATGATCGTCCACGCCTACACATAGGATATACTCAGAGTATACAGTAGATGATCAATTCCACTCAACTGATACCATAGAAACATCTCATTCATTACCAGTTCCATACTCGCATAGTTCGCATGAATATATCAACAGTAACATATCCACAACCAACCAACCAACCACAACAAAAACGACCAGAACACAACCCCAGCACTGAATCAACAAGATCTCTCAAATCCTAGCCTTACTCCGCAAACCCTCCCTCTCCGGAACATGATACCAAGCCTCATCGTATCCCACATGGCGGGGCCAGCGCGCCACCACCCGCATGATATCCCGGGGTAATATCTGCCCCATTATGGAGCTCTCGTTGACTTGGTCGACTTCTTGCTCGACGGATTCGGTTTGGAATTTTTCGGCGCCGTCCATTGCTGTCATTATTGTTAGTATTTCGTATATTTTTGCAAAGTGCATGATTCATGATGAAGATGGATGTGATGGAGATGATGGAGAAAACTGACCCATATGAGCAATCACCAAAAACTCCCCCTCCTCCTTCAGCGGAAACTCCCTCCGCTCAGCATACGGCCCCGCAAGCGCAGCAGCCGTGCGGATCCCCCGGATGAGCTTAATCAAGTGTCCATCGTCTTCGTACTCGCACGCGCGATAGAACAGCTCGCTCCATCCGGACGGATGAAGGGGCTTATATCTCGCTATCTCTTCAGGACGGGGCAAAGGCGCCCCCGACTCAATGTAGATTAGTAGAGCGGCGCGGCCGAGCCATTCGAGGATACGGGCTCTGGTTGGCTTTGGGATCCATGATGTGCGGGCGAGGACGGGCGCGAAGGAGCTTGATGTTATTGCGTGCATGAGGAAGAAGTCGAAGCGAATTTGTTTGTTAGGGCGTTGGGCGGATGCGGTTAGGTAGGCTGTGGGTGTTAGTTAGTGGTGATTGTGAGGGTGAAGGATTCGATGTATGCGTACTGAATGTGTTGAGCAGCTCTGCAACACGAATCTCTAGCTCGTCTGGGTGGACGCGCCACTGCCCGACCAGTCTGACGACGTCGTCTTTGGCGTTTGGGACGACGCTCTGATGCAACTTGTCCAAGTCGTCGTAGTCCATTGCGTTTCGGATGTTTTGGTTCGAGTAGATGTCCTGTTGGATGTCGATCAATGAACGGCCTGAAGAGGGAGTTGCCGACTGGACGGCCTGTTCGATCATATGTAGCGTTTCGCCGTAGGATGAGGAGTGGACGGATGTCAGTGCGAATGCCTCTGCCGCGATAAGAGGCTGGTCGAATTCGATTGCGTAGCCCAAGTGGATGGGAGCATGTAGGTAGCCTTGTCTCGTGTCAGCACAACAGACAAAAGCTAACATACGGGCAAGAAAGAAGGAAAGAAGAGGAATACAACTCACCACCAAAGAACCGACGAAACATCTCCTCTCCCAGCTCGTCGCCCTTGAAAATATACTCCTTCGCCGTCTGGGCCATCCCGTTCCGCTCGACCTCCTCCTGAAAGAACGCACAGTAGTCATTATAGTACTTGCCCTTTCCCACGCACGCCTGGAACTGCGATGGATCTTTGAAGTTGTGCACCCGTTGACTATTGGGCATAGCAGCCGGTTTCTGGGAGATCGTCCCTCGTAGAAAGGCCTTTTCGAGCTGGGCGGGTGTTGCGCCCATGGAATATAGGGCTAGCAGGTGGTGGAGGATGTGATCTGTTCTTGAATCAGCATACATCTAGATGGGCTCGGGAGTAAACTTACTATGCACGCCCGCATTGTGGATCAGAAGATGGTAACGCTCGTTGTTCGTCTTGATCAGCTCTGCTGTCTTGGCTGCGCTTTCTGCGCTGAACGGGCGGACCTCGAAGATGCCTGTTGGCCGTGGATTTGTGGGGAGGCTGATGTTTGCAAATGTCATTATATTAATTGATATATATTATAACAGTCAGGTATGTAGTGAGATTGGCAGACATAGTGTGTGGATACAGTGTGGCCATTCTATATATCCAGCCTTGGCTCCCCACAGTCAAATGCGGAGAGGCTGCATGATCGACCGATTGGCGCGGTTCTCGGTACATGGCACCGCTGGACTTGTATGCCGAGCCACTGGTCATTATCGCAGTGTAGTATTGTCAGCATGTGCTTGCTTGATAGGTAGTGTTGAGGGTCTGACCAGCTACCAGTGAATCCGATCGTCTTGAAGCGATCCATTCTGGTCACACGGGTAGACTCGTTTTCATCGATAGACACATATCAGAAGCCTCACCCTTGACACGCAGATCAATATACATTGGATCCACCTTCGTTAATAGCATGGATAAATTATATAGACATGCATCGTGGATAAACACAATAGTGACAACCAGTCCAATCACATGACATTCACCGCAACCGCCCCACCACGTGACCCCGCGTCGACTCTCACCCGCCTCGCGTCAACCTCATCATCTCCGCATTTTCTACTTCCCTCCCTTAAGAAACAATCCCCCAACGGAAGATATTGAAAATGTCCCCATGGCGACAGTCGACGACAATGGCCTCGAATTCTACCCCGCCTACTGCTTCAAAGCCGCTCCCACCCACTTCACCTGGGTAAAGATCGCCGCCGCGGATGTGCATCGCCTGAGAAGGCGGTTTCAATATGGAGGTATTATCAATGACCCATATATATAACATTGGGGAGAGGGGGGTGGAGAGGCAGAAATTAATATCCTACTATAGACCCATCCACCTACTTCTACCACAACCACCCAATCCGCTACATCTCCCTAGCAGGGATAATAGTCGCGCGCACCGAAACGCCCTACCGCACGATCCTCACCCTAGACGACAGCAGCGGCGCAACGCTCGATATAGTCGTTGTCATCCGGCAGATCGATAATTCAGCGAACCCCAGCACACCAACACCAACACCAACACACACCTCCCCCACAACATCCACCCCGCTAGACATTTCCCCGCTCGTCCCCGGCGCACTCGCCCACGTCAAAGGCACAATCTCCACATTCCGCTCCACGCCCCAACTCCAACTCGAGCGCTTCTGGCTGCTGCGCGACACAAACGCCGAGATGCACTTCGTGGCGCAGCGCGCGCGATACCTCGCTGAGGTGCTTTCGCATCCGTGGGTGCTGAGCGAGGAGGAGGTTGTGAGGCTGGAGGAGGAGGCGGAGGTGGAGGAGGTGCGTGCTGAGGAGGGGAGGGATCGGGCTGTTAGGAAGGCGCGGGCGCGCGGGGAGCGTGAGGATAGGCATTGCGGGGTTATCTTGAGGGCGTGGGAGCGGGAGGAGAGGGAGAGGGAGAGGGAGGCGGATGTTTGTAGGGTTGAGGGGGCGAGGTTTATGAGGGAGTTGAATTGTAAGGGGGAGTGAATCTCTCTCCCCACGCCCCCCAAGACTTCTATAATTTATTTATGCATATATTTTACAAGATAGGAAGATAGAAACCCCTGCGACTACTTACTCGCGGGGGTGTATATATATATATATACACGATGGAACAGAACAAGATAAATAAAATTCATGAAACGTCGCGCATGAGTCGTTATGCCACATATGGCCCAAGAGAAAAAGAAAAGCACTATCTGCACTAATTACATGACACAATATTTTGGAAACGCCAAAGACGGGGCTATCCACCAGCCAATACATACCGCCTAGAAAAGAAACACCCTGTCTAACCAACAAACTCCAAGAAAATGATGGAAAGACGGAAAGACAGAAAGAAGGTGAGAAAAAGGAATACATCATTTGTATGTGTATGTCTTATAGTCAAACCCACCAACCGGACTACCGCTTTGCGCACCACGATAGTATTCGTCGCCGTCGGTCCAGCTGCTTCGCTTGGGATTCCGGTCACGGTATTGGGCCCAGTCGCGCTCTTTTTCTCGCTCGCGGATGCTGTCGTATAGTCGCTGGTCCTCGAGTTCGCGGTCTAGGTCTCGGTACCGGCGACTGTCGTCTAGGTCTCCTGGGAGGTTGGGCGATGCCGACGTGTAGTAGTGCTCTGCGCTTGATGTTGCCGGGTATCTGGAGCCTCCGTTGCTGCTGCTGAACAGGTCACTCTCGGAGTGTCGGTAGTCGGACGTTGCGTGGGCGCCGCGGGGCGGGCTGAGTGACCGTCCGGTTGCAGATCGTGGCATCGTGCTGGACCCTGAACGGTGGTGGGAGGGGCCAGACCCGTAACTATCGGAGCCTCTGTTTGCAGGTACCGGGCTGTTTCTAGGGATGGAGCCCGTTGATGAGGTGTTGGTGTGCCGGTTCATCGGTGGAGCCGCGTTGTCGTCATATACCTTGCCCCCTCCAGGGTGCGCGATATACGGCTTCCTCTCGCGCTCGATCCGCTGTGGCGGAATTATCTCGTTCTCCTCATCGTCGTCATCCTCAACCGCGGGTTGGTAACGGCTTTGGCGCTCTCGTTCACTGAATCTCGGGACGGATTCTCTTGTAGACGTATTCGAGCTCGTCGACATCTTGTGGCGGCGCACCGTAGCCTCCCTAATTTCTTCGTCCGTAATAGAAGGTAGTTGCAAGCCGCATTGCTTCATAATACACTGATCAAGCTCCTCTCGGAGTGCGAGGTCCGGCGCGTCCGGAAATAGCCGTCGAGGGATCTCCTTTGGAAATCGCTCTTTCCTATCGTCCGGATTACTGATTGGCATATGCCTGACTGCTTTCTGCAGCCGCTCATACTCCCTGTCGGGGTGCGCTCGGATCTGGAGAGTAGCCCAGCGTTGGAAGCCTCGCGGCGTCAGTCCCGGAATGTCGGGCCGTTCCTTCAGCTTTTGTTGAACGAGATGGTGCTCCGCTTCGGTGTCTCGGTATAGCCTCGAAATTGCCGATGTACGATCATCGAAGATATCTAATCTCACAGATCAGCGCTGTCTCCAACGCGGGAATGTCTGACTTACCTTGCCAGGGATAGGGATCCGCAGGGATCTGCGTGTCCTCGTAAAACTTCTGCATCTTTTCGGGCACCACCACGAGTGAATTTTCCGGCGCATAATCTTCAATCTAACAGAGAGTAAGCAATCTTCCAAAGACAGAGGCTACGGTACTCACCAAGTGGGCTGCGATGCCTCGCAAGAACTGGCCGAGCCGTTCTGTCGGCTTCCCTTCCTCAAAGAACTTCCCCCATATCTTTTCCAGCGTTGTCATCTCCGTAATGGTTTCCTCTCTGGACGGCGGCCGCGGTCGAGGCTCCACCCTTTGACCCCGCTCACTCGCTTGACTGACAGGAGATTCTCGATGTTCTGCGGGAGACATGGGTGGCGGTCGCGGATACGGCCGAGGGCTGCCGGAATACCCACTGGACGGGGCGGGAGGGTAATCGGGCCTCTCACGGTAAATATCAGGCGGGATCGGAGAGGGATTCTGCGAAACACCAGGCGCGGGAGTCGCGTACTCGCTGGGGTACGGGTTTTGTGGTACCTGTGCCCATTGCGGCAGTGGCGCTGGTTCCGCGGGCGGTGGCTGAGTGCCTAAATTTGTGGACTTGAGCTGCTGGATAACATTCTCTGTGATTCGGTTCAACACATCCGGCGAGAGGTAAGCGGGGCTATCGTTCTGGTGGAAGGCGGAGTGGACAGCCTCGTTGATCCCGCCCGGGTGATGCTGCGGCTGCGTCTGCCATGCACTGGGGTTTGGAGGTGGCTCCGGATAGTGGTTCGTCGGGGTCGAGCTTTGTGGAACTTGCGGCTGGGGCATGGGAACCCGATCGGGGCCATAGTGAGATGGATAAGGAGGAGGATAAGAGGGAGACATGGACTCGTTGGGGTTCACAGGAGCCGTGTGACCCTGAGAATACGGGCCCGGAATGTCTTGAAAGCCATCGGAAGCCATAACGAGGGTATTTGGTTAAAGGACAGACACTCGAGGCTGGTCCAACGGTGGCTCTTTAGATATTGGCCGATTGTCAAGGGAGCGACTATGGAGGTGAAGACAAGGAGAAGAAAGAGACCGGGGGACCGAAGGTATATATATTTGAGCCCCAGCAGGCAGACTCTTTGGGGCTGACTTAGTGCAACCAAAGACAATGGCAAACAATGAGGATGATCCAGGAAGGCACTGAGGGGCACCGGGCATTCAAGAACCGGACCTTGAAACAATCAAGTACTATGCAGGGCAACAGCTGCAGATGCAGAAGGAAGGGTAGAAGTTATGTGAATTAGATAGAAACAAAGAAAAGTTTGAATCGAGAGATGCAAGGCTAGACGATCGTCATAGCGTGGGCAAGATGGATGGCGGAGAAAGAAAGAGAAAGAGGGGTGAGTGGCCGACGCTCTTTCAGCCTCCGACCATTTCTTCCTACGTCACCGTGTCCGATCTGACTGGGGTTTAGAATTGAACGAAATGGTTCCTCGACACCGAATAACTTTATTATGTTTACTTAAAGATCACGGAGTCTACTGTTACTTCCTGCAATTCTTTCTTTGTACTTGCACCCCATGAACAACTGCCATGGACAAATGCCCCAGGTGACCAGATACTATGCTGCGTCATTACGAGTGATCGATCTTACTCCACATGATCGGATATCGAAGGGCTGTGTCGCGCTTACATTCGCAAGCCGGGTTATAGTGGGCCACATTGTCCAGGGCACTTGACGCACCTCGCTGAAGAGGGTTGGCATGCAAGCAACCATGGTTGGAGTAAGTATGGATCCGGTGGGCTGGAATGGGACCGGAACCAAGATCGAAGTATCCATGGCGTTGAAAAAGGGGTAGGAGATCTACGCGCCGAAACAAGAGCGGGTCTCATTCCCAGATACATATTCGTGAACTGCATTTCGTAAAATTGCTTTCTGCTAAAATCATCAATACCATGGGGCAACTGAGGCACTGGGCCAACACCCGGCGACCGATTGCAGATAGCGACATCTAAAAAACCAAGATATGGGTCCTAATCACACCCTCGTGTAATGATAATCTCCCGTGCTTGAGAGACTGCCTCGTGCTTTGGAAACAGCATCACCTCAAAGGTACTGATCCAGCGGCTCGGGATCCTCGCCATCAGAGTCCTCGAGGTCTTGCGTAGGGTCAGGCACGCGAAGAGACTGGCCGGGTGGTTTAACCGCTTTCTACCCACCGTCAATTTTGACTTTCGGCCAGGAAATAAGGTAACTTGCATTACTCACCACCCTAGCAAATTTGGAGTCTCTCCGGGGAGTCATTGGAGAAGAGTGAGTCACGCTGGCAGCGGTGTCCGAGGGAGTGATGCCCCACGAGGCCCATCCACTCTGACGGAGACGATCTGCGTTACCCCGGGGGTCAATAGTAGCGAGCTCGCGGCCTTTGTCCCTGCCTCTGTTGTAGTCATCGATGCGGCCTCGCTCAATCCAACCAGAAGACTCATCGTCGCGTCCGGAAGCTGCGTGGGGGACGTCTCTCAGCGCGAGTCTCTTGGTGGACTCGGCCAGAGTTCCGTCCAGCTAGTGGAGTTGATCAGTAGTTGTCCTTCCATTGGCAATAGCTTGTATAAAAACTTACGATCATGCCAGGATGCTGAGCACTAGAGAGCTCGCTCCCAGTGAGCAACTTATTTTCTTCAGCGACAGGTTCAGCCTCGGAGTGCTTCTGCACGCAAGTCAAACATCTCTAGATAACCACACATCAGCGATAAGTTCCATAGACAGAGTAGAGCAAGCCATACAGCAATATCCCGATCATGTCTCTGATTCTTCGCAAACTCATCGAGCCCCTTCACCTTGTCACAAATCACACAGCGGAGCTCGACGACCGGGTTTCCCGAGCATTCACGACAAGTAGCATGTCCAGGACCGGTAACAGCGTTGCTCTGGCCCTGGACGACCATCGCGTTGCGCAGGATGTCTAGCTGTCTTTTGGAGAAAAAGCTCTGCAGGCGGACTTTCTTGCAGATCTTGCACTTCACTCTGTGGATTGGTTGTTGGGGACTGTACCAGAGTGTGGGGTCGTGGGTGTAATGCGACGTACCTCTCGGGGATGACGACGTTGTCGAGCCTTGGAGATGGATTCTTGAGCTGGGGGATAGGGGAGATGGGGAAGATGATGGTGGTGGTATGACTTTACTTACTGGTCTCGGACCTGCTGGCTCCAGCCTCCGGCGAAGGCACTTCTGACGGAATTGTGCTTCTTGCCCATGTTGAGCTTGAAGCAGAGGGAGGCTTGATGGATGTTGGTGTGTTGATCCTTGAATGATCACTGAGAGATACACTGGGAGGGATGGCACTGGAGAGAGATGAGAGAGGATAGATAGGAGGGGAAGATAGAAAGGCAGCTCAAGGTAGGACTCAGCAAAATATCCTCTCCCTTCAACCAGTCAGTTTCCGGCACCTTCTGCCAAACATGTTCACTGCGATGTGCGTTGAGAAATTCACAGTGCTGATGACAGTGACAGCACAGTGAATGATAGAAACGTTAGCACCATGGCCGAGAAACTTGTCACCATGGCGATGTTGCAAACATCAAATAGATATTGGAATGTATAGACATGGAGTGACAAAGAGTAGTATTGGCCGTGGAAGTGACAAAGAGTAGTATTGATCGTGAGAGAGACAAAGGTGATTCCATAACAATATGTGCCAATGTCGTTATATAAAGAGTTCTTCCCCATATGAAGCCAGAAATCAAATAATGGTCAATCTACAAAGCGGTTATCTGTTTGTCCTTATCCAATAGGTATAAGTATCCTGATTGTATGTACATCCTAGCTTACCGTAGACCGTGCGGCTATCCACCACCGCAAGACAAACGCACAGCATTGAGCAAACGGTTCCCACACGAGCAGCGCATCAAGCCCCATCTGAGAGTTACAGAATGCAATTAAAGACCAAATCATTTTTGGACGTCATCCAAGAACACGTAGAATCAGGTATATGCTCGTATCCAGAGACATATATTCCTAAAGAGACACTATGGTCTATGGTCTCAAGGAAGGGTGAACCCAGTGGACCCAATATCCCACTCCCATCCCAAATGACTTCACCATAGAGACCATGACCTCATGTCTCGAATCACACACCAGGTGGACGCCATGGCCACTTGCTTAAGCCTGTGAGTCGCAATCGATAAGCATAGCATCGACTCCTTTTCAGCGTTCCACTCGTCCGATCTGTAGGGTGAATATACTACATAATAATATACATAATATACACTAAAGAACAAATAAATTAAATCAAAAATCAGGGGAAAAGCGCAAACCCAACAATTACGACCATCCACCCAAGACCAAGGTAAGTTGGAACATCATGCATTCCTATTCCTATTCCTGGGTATGCCGTCAGAGCCTAGGAATCAACCGCGTCGTCGGGGCTGTTGATCCGAGAACCGTAATAGGGGAACTCCACGTCGATGACGTTCAGGTACCTACCCACTACCTGGGCTACTGTACCAGACTGACAGAGAGACAGACAGACAGGTAGGTACTTTTGATCACTTCCACACATCAGGGGCGGAGGGGGCCAAAGAAGTTAAATTATATGATCCGTGATCAACGACTTAATGTGACCTGAAATGATACGATCTCCCTAGCGCAGTTCCAGAAAGATGTCTAGCTGCCTGACACTAAGGGGGGGGACTCAGACTGGAAATTCCGGAGAGCGGAGCGGGCGAGGCGTCGAATGGTGCCCCGTTCAAGCCAATCCAATCCAAACCAATTTAGTCCGGTCCCTCTCCGTGTTTTGCAGGGGGGGGGGGGCCCTTTGTTGATCTTCCGCGGACGGTCAACTTACTAGTTTATGGATTGCGGATGTACGTGTGTCAGTTACGGATATGGAGGACGGAGAGAGACTAGGGAGGTAGTACGGTGGTTTATGGACGGTTGTTGACGTCGGTACTTGAGCTCAACGGCTGGTTCGTCAGGATTTAAGCAGGATTCAGGAAGCGGGTAGAAGGGTGAGTGCATGGTTGACGGTAGCCTATCCTGTTGCTCTGGGTGTTGGCTAACTTTACTCCGGAGTGTCTCGAATTGTATCAACACTTGGTTAGTCTGTCGTGGTAATATCGGGATAGTAGTAGTTAATTAGCAGTAGCTGGTTAGTTCGGTCTGCGATTCACGCAACCGAGATGATGTACGGAGTAATTCCTTCTAGAAGCCGACAGCTTCCAGAGCCAAGTCCCGGTCACCGAATGGGAAGACGCTTAGCACCTATCTTGCCGTATTTTGCTCACTGCTGTGGGGGAGGAGGGATCCATCAGACCGTCCGACCAACGACAACTAGGAAGGGAGAAAGCAATATACACACTCCTTCAGCATTGGACGGGACGATAGACGACGGAAGAGCAGGATGATTCAATAGGACGGGGGCATCAGGAGGTAAGCCCCATTATTTTCCGGCCGAAGCGCAGCGGACCGTCCTTGGAAGCGCCACCAAATCGTTAACCCATGGCGAAAGTGGAGATCCGCATTCCCCGACCAGTGTGAGGTCAGTATCAGACCCAATTCTGGGTGGATGGGTCCATTGACTCCACGCTTTTTCTTCTCTTTTTTGTTTCCTTTTTGCCGTGAGTAATCTACTAATCAGCGTCATTTTAGTAGACAGATTTGTCAGCTTGGTTCCATTTTGTTTGGACTTTTCCCTTTTCTGTTTTGATTAGATGTGGTTTGCTTCCAAATCGGACGATTTAGGAGAAGGCCTTGTCGAGGGCTGACAACGGTGGAGGCGAATCCAGTAGGCGAATATCGTCAACACGAGATGCACGAGTCAAGACCATAAGCAATGACAAAGAAAACAAGGCACCACCGTCCCTGAAACAAAGAAAGAAGGGCCCAAAAAAGAGGGCAGGCCAAGAGTGATGCATCACCCCGCCAAAAGTCCCAGTCCTGTCCCTGTCATGACCCAGACCCGGACCATCAGTCGCTCATTCGCATTGATCTGAACAGACAAGGCCCGTCCATAACGTAATCCACTACCGAGCCGCTCACCCCCACCGAGCCGCTCACCTCTTCCAAAATACTCATGCCTATGAAAATTGAAGGTATTCCCAACCACCCAAACACGCGTTTTTCATTGAAATAATTAAATATGACGTGTAGGACATCTGACTCTAGTATGCCCCTGAATATTACAATTAGAACATGTTAGTGGAGCGCGTCTTGGCATGCTTGAAAGTAGAGGCGCAGAATCTATTATAGTCCCCTCCATATTATTTCCTAGCTGATTTCTTTGGTGTATTAGATCCCTAGCCTCCTGCACCGATATACCTTCATTTAGAGTTATTTAACATTGTGATTAATGTCTTTTTAGCCTCTCTTTTTTA